CATTTCTATCAATGAAAACCCCTGCGATTTTCATCAATAACAATATAGTACTGAAAAGATTTGTTAAATTGCTTTCACTTGTCTCTTCTCGGTCACTTCTGTTAGCGATTTCTGTAGACTTAAATCGGTGGACTCTTGTTTTAGGCATAGTCAAAGTAATCCCACACAACGTCAGATTCGTTCTGTAACGTTTTGCTGGATTGTCGTTCACTTTACGCGTCAATGATGCAATACACACTTCTAAGATCAATTTTTGATTGCACCATAGAAGAGAAGTAGAAGAATACACAATATTAAGTAGTTTTCCGATTGGTCAAAGGTGGATAAATTAATTTATGTCCGAAAGTGAGATATACATGTTTCTCTCTAAATAAAGACCGAGATTAATTATTTGTGTCAATTTGCCTTAATGGTGCGAATATTTAATATCTGATGGTTGATCAGACTGATGTCTAGTTGTGAGGGCAGTTGTTAACATGAACGTACAATTACTTTTATCGATTCAGGAGTTCTATCCACAGACGGATGTTATCAATGATTCCAAATACCGCATTCTATTATTTATGTATTTATGATTGGGTTTTCCTATCGATTTCGTCCTACTAGAAGGACAGGTCCGTGTGATTTTGTTTACTCTCTCGGTGACAAACTAATTCATGTTTTTATGTTACTGATTGCTAATGATATTTACATAACTTTGAGCACATATGGGAAAACAATGAAGTGTTCTCAAATAAAATCAATATACAAATATATCAAATCCAAATCTTGATGTTAATGAGGCAAGGTAGTCACTTATTAAAGATGAAATATCATTAAAACTTCACCAACATGTCACTACCAACATTGTTAAGAAAATTATGGGTGTTAAGAAGAGAATATAAGAGGTTATAAAATTTTTTGAATGATGTTAATGAACAATTGAAGCCAGCAATGTAATTCTACTAGAAATTTGTAGCTAAGACAAGGACGTAAGCGACCTGTTAAATGTATACATGTACAAGCTTGTAGTGAGGCGAAAGTGACAACACTGTTCTATAAAAGAACTCAAATGCTAATCTTCAATACCCTCTTCTAAAAAACAATTTTTCTGTGAGAACTTCTTCTTTTTCCACTCTGTTCATCATAATACTCCATTTTAAATTGAGAGAACCCTTCACTTCTCTTATATCAAGAAAGGTGAACAGCGGTATGGTTGTGAAATATTCTAAAGTGTATTTCCTTAAAAATACGCCCAAATTAAGGAAAAACATACGGATGACGAAATCATAAAGATACTGAAATTTCTGGTAGTCAATATCTTCGACGAATTGGTGATAAGATCTTTCAACAGACTATTGGCATACATATGGAAACTAACTTTGCCTCTTTATCGAAAAGTTTATCAAAACAGATCACAAAGATCTTGCAAATTCCTTCATTTTCACTATCAGACATATCAAAACCTGATATTTATGGACCATGACCATCATATAAACCGACCAGAATTGAAAAAAAATCCCTGTAGTGAATGTTCCATTTCTGGATAGCAACATCCTCTGCATCCATATCCTGTAGTGTTTACATATCGCAGTTGATTCGAAAATCAAGGGACTTTTCCTAATATCACTATCTCAATGCAAAATGTCGTCAACTCACAGACAAATTCATAACACATGGTTTCAAAAATTGCAGATTGGTGAAATTAATATATATCTGAATATAAAATTGTAAATAAATATCTCCTACGCCCACTTTTAGGTATTGCATATTTGATAAAATGTAGATCCTTCAGGCCCAGTCACGCCGTTTCGAGACGAACTTACGTGCTACTTGCAGGAGTGTGTAGGGAGCAATTTTCGCTAACCGCAGATGGCGCGGACTCGAAATTATCTGTTGCGGATCCTCATCCGGACGTCATCGAGGGTCTGAGATGTCCGGATGAGGTTTAGAACATGCTCAAAACGTCTTAGCTCACAGAAGTCCACGCAGAACCCCAGCATGGGATCCGTTGCAGAGGAAGCTGCGGTATATGCGGTCTTCCCACCGGGTTGTTTTGTAATGTATTCCAGTGATATCTTCTGTTCCTTCTGTCTAAGTGTTATGTGAGTATGGGGGTCCAATGCTTCATGAACTTGTTGTTCTCATTCTCACTTACCGGGTTGATCATGTGCCATACAAAAGCGAATGGTAGGATATTTCCGAACATATAGCAAACGCACTTTTTTTCAATTTTGCTGAAATGCGTAAGGCTCTTACATTTTGTAGACAGGTTTGGCTGGGGTGTCTGTCTGTCCGAGCGTTTAGTTCGTATCGGGCTGGAGAGAGGATGACATTGTGAAGAAGTTGTAGCACCTCTAACCCGTAATCTATTATCGGTCTTACAAATGTAACAATGTGAATGGTACATAATTTGTATTCTCTTGTTATTTGTTTCTTAGGTTTATTCAACGATATAATATGTCGCACACTCCGTAATTGTCTTGGTCACGTGACAATACATGACATGGAAGTAGGTTAACACTATATTAATGTTATTTTTACCTAGTTAGTTTTAATAACCTTTTAATCAGGCTATTCGTGAAGATCCCATACATGTGTATATTTTTAAAATACAGTTAAAAGTTGATTACGGAAATATTACGGAAAATTGCAAATTGTTTCGACCAATCGGATCCAAGCGGTCAGTTCAAACCAATTCTTTGTCATCGATTCGGCAGTTACTGGTCAGACAGCGGACGACCAATACATGTCAAAGTAAATTGATTCTAGATAATCTATCTCCGATCAAGACAAAATATGTTCCATTCATATATCACACATGTACATATCCTGTGTAGGAAACAGTAATCTTCCTGAAATCTTCCTTAGGACAAATGCTTATGCTAGTGATCATGATTCCGAAATGGAGTTTATACTCCAGAGCATAAAAGAACTTGTGCATAACTCAGATGGGTTTTGGTGTTGTCTGCATGTTACACAAATGTAACATACGTATGGTAGGGTTCACGTCCATCGAATATCGAACATATAAGGGCGTTAACCGGCTGTGTTGAATCCCTTCTTCAATCTTTCCTGCCTGTCAATATTCCGAGTGATTCCTTGATGGTCCGCCTGTTTCCTCTAGAATGACTTCCCTGAGATTAAGTTGATAAGAGGTCCTGTTGTTACCTGCTGAGCCTACTGTCTGCGACGGTCGTTACATCCACAAATACATTCTTTATGAAAACTCCAAGTTGATCCTCCTTGAAGATGTTAAGTGTGGCTTTGGTGAAATACTTGTACAGGGATGGAGACTACTTTGCGCCTTGCCTTGCAGTTCACCTTTTCCAATGGCGGACTGATCCCCTAACTGGTCCCTCCATTTCACCTGTAAAGCAGTATTTGTTTACAACTTCATGGTGAAAAGCCAGATGTCATTATTTATACCCACGTCATATAGCTTCCCCAGTAGACTGCCGTGCAGAACCCTATCGAAGGCTTACTCCCCGATAAGTGTTACCATGACTACGGGTTGCTCGACATCCTTGTCTTCATTTATTGTTTCTTCAACAAGTACAGCAGCATTACTAGGTGAAGTCTTTGGTGTAAAACTCTTTTGTGTCAGGTATTGAGTGAGCATTAAGGTCTCATCAATTACTCGTAACAAGAGAGCTTCAAATGCTTTTCCTTTAACTGATGTGGGTGTATTACCACGATAACACCCAAGTGATGTGTAATCTTTACCCGTATTTTGGCAACTGGGATGATGATAACACTTTTGGTGTTCTGTGGTACTCTTCTGGGTCCAATAATTTGGTTCATACTGTCTACAGTAGGGACACGTAATGTATCCCTATAAAATTTAAAATGTGCTACTTTGAGTCCAAAGCGCACATGGAGCTTTTACCGAGGCTTATCGATTTCACTGCGTTTGTAGCATTTTTGTTTGTCATCCTCAGCTGTGGAGTAGGTTTTTTGGACAGAATATTTGCTATCAGGATGAGTTCGTCCTGTAAATGTTGGTTGTGTAACTTGTTAAGGTGTGGCGTTTCAGTAGTTGCTAGCTGTTTCAAGAAGTTGTCCCATTCGTCTATGATTTTCACGGCTGTTCTTACTATCTCCTTCCAATACTAACGTTTCTGTGAGGGGTTGTTGGTTTTCCTTTGTTTCTCCTGTGTTGGACTCCATTATCTCGTGAGTACATATTTCTTTCGATTTCTCGTCCCCTTATGCCTTCCACTTAGTGTTCTTGGTTCGGTATAGAATGTCTGCTGGACTTGGCTTGTCCATGCATGCGAAAAATTGTCTCCCTTTTAACATACACAACGTAGTCGTTCACCACACGAGCCTGTGCCGATAAGGACGGCCATTATCGACCATGAGCCCCCCGCAACGACCATAACATGGTGTAAATGTAATCCTCGTAACAGGCAGTGGTTAAGGATTCATTGTCAATGGCATATAGGTCTGTGTTGGTTTCATATCAATAAATCATATAACATTCATGAAAAAAGCATGATAAGTTGATGGACAAAAACTGTATTTGTTTTCTTAATTCGTTCAAATGACGAACGGTTTATTGAAAACAACTAAATTTTAGAAAGAATCTTTAAATTTGAATATTGAGAATACATATTTCTAAGTCGTTTTACTTTTCACTTATAATTTCTCCTAAACTTTCCTTTCCATGTTCTCATTTATTTCGATAAAGCTGTGTAATATCATTTTGATTTTTTTATATTGCTTCTATATATACAATTAATGGGTTTAAAATTAAATGATTACATTTAAAAACAATATCAGGTTGATTCTACTTATTTCTTTCAACTTTATCTACACTTTGGTTTCAATAGTACTTAGTTGTTTGTACTTACGGTAGTTAAACTGAAGTTGTTATTTCATTTGCTACTATCTTTTATAATATCTTACTCAGAACTATTCAAATGTGAACACTCTTCCGGATTCTACCGCGTGTCGTGTCCATAACTAGAATCACCCTGGTTTACATGTGCGACTTCCGGTTATTGTTGAAATGGAAGGAAATTTTGAAATTGCCTGCTAACTAACATTTTTATTTCGGTTGCAAGAACAAATTTCCGTCATTATGGCACACTGGACACCAAATCAATATCTGCAGTCTGTAAGTTCAATGAAATGTTTGTGTCAATGTTCCCAGAGACCTAGATCAGGGAATGGTACCTAGTATGGAGACATCGACTGAGATTGTGAGAATACATCGTCAGTCTCTTTCTTGTCACTTTTCTCTTTCTTCACCCTGGCCAAAATTCAACCTAAATTTCAAGACACTGGCCATGCATTTATTTATATTGAAAGTCAGACTATTGAAACTGTTTTGTTCAATCTGTGTTTACGTGACATGAACATTAAGCTGAATTTTGCCTGATGACGGACTCCAAATAATTGCTCCGTACGGAAACATGTAATTCTGTCAAATTACTGCACATGCTACTGTACAGTTGTTTTCCATTATTGCCGAATACAGCAATCAGATGTTGCAGATGTATTCCGGCAATTGTAGGATAAAGTATCGTACGCATACGTCCATGATCGGAATATATCGTGTTTAGATTTAGTTATTAAAACTGCATTATGTCCATGGATTATATAATTTAGAATTGGGGAAAAGGAGCTGGTCGTGTGGTTTGTACATGTACATGTTGTTAGAGCCATGAAGATCAATCCGGAGACCCGGATTTGATTCCTAACATTGTACAGGACAGGAATGTGAATTTTCCTTGTTCATTTGCAAAATGTTTTTCTGTCTGTCTGTCTCTCTCATTACTTTTGGTTTTGCATCTAAAAACTAATATGAAATAATAGGCCTCAGGTCGGCTGTGTACGCCTTTGATGTAGCAAATGGGAAAATTATATAGGTTGACATAATTTGCCACATAAAATCATGATCAGTCAAAGTGAAGGCTACAGGTTATGATTATTTGTGGTATTTAAAATATAGATCTTGGATTAAGGTTTAGGAAATCTCTAGATTAGTGGGGGTAGTGTGAAAGGAGGCGGTCAGTGTGGCTTGTACCAAGTGTAAGATAGGGTCTCATTCACACAGCCGATTGATCAGGCTACAGTGGATCAGTTGGTAGAGCTGTAGCCATCAAGCCAGAGACTGGGGTTCAATTTCTGTTAGGGCTGTATAAAGGAATAATTATGTTTTTGCTTTTCTTTCATATCGGCACCAATTTGCATGTACAGACTCAAGAATTACACTGAGCATTATTATCGCAAGCATTGTTGTAAACCCAGGAAACGGGAGGGGGGGTATATGTTACCATGGCAAAATATTAGTCGCAATAAACTGTTCTGCTACAGGGGGATCTTCTATTTAGATTAATCATTTGATAGTAAGACTAGTAAGTCTAACAGAGGCATTGAAATAACAAATAGATAATACTATTACAGTAGTAAGGTTAGTGTGAACATGTTACCCTTTCTCCTTCCTTTTGACCAGGTGATGCAACATGTTATATATAGGTATTGTTTAATAATTGCGTCTCTTTATTATGAACTAACAATGTATATATTATATCTTATTTTTGTGCCAAGTCATATGTCTTGTATGTCTCTGTCTCCTTTGTCTCTGAGATTCCAGTAGCTACTGGTGGCTACATCACTGACCATCATGCAGAAGGCCCATACCTATTGACCCCTCCCCCCTAATTTTGGGGTAGTTTTTTGCTCTAAATTGTGTATTTCAATTCTGCATGTTTCTTAAACCTTAAATTTAAAATTTTGAAAATTAACATTGAAATATTCCAACAATGAAAGAGATTTACTTGACGAGATACTTATGACAAGTAAGAGATTGACTGACCAGCATCCTAATGGATAGAGATTGAACCACACGCTTTTGTCTTCACTTGCAAAGATTGCTTTTACATGGACACTCATTCTACAGGCTGAGCTATTGTTGGTATTGTTAATCTGTATAATTCTATATGCAGGTACAATGTATAAGTATCTGATTAGAATGAAAAACACCTGTTACCCGAGCATATAAAATATTTTTCTATGCATTAAGAAAAAGTCACCAACCATCCACATCCCTACACCCATTTTTTGTGAAAAAAAAAATGAAAAATATGAAGATATAAACCTGTCTATTTCAGATGGATGATGCACTTTCAGAGAAGGATGGTGTTGTGTGTGCAGTAAGTTATTTGTCAATAATGACCTGATTTAGTCCTAGGAGAGACTAATGAGTCAGTCTACCTTTTCAAATATCATTAGTTTCTATCTCAATATAGAATAGACTTACATCTATGTGCTATATCCTCTTGGTTTATAAACTGCCTATGGAATCAGAGAAAATATCATTATTATAATTAATCAATATAAAAGTAGTTTCAAAAACTCAAGTTTAGTAGCCAATTACAGTACTTAGCTCTTGCTATAATCATTTATATGAAAAAACAGAATTTGTGATTAAAAAAATGAAATTGTTCAAAGTTTAACTGAAATATGCTGTTGACAGGAGTTACTTTCCTTTAACCATCCTCACATCGCTAACCCACGCCTCCAGATGGAACATCCTGAGTCAACTGTTCAACGAGTGTTTGATCCCCCATGTGATGAGCTCATTGCTGCCCATTTACGGTAAGTCATTCTTTATCTTCGTTTACATCCAAATGAAAATTGTAGACCCCTTAAGCATCAGTAATTTTGTTAATGTTACAGTTAAGGTTGAATTGTACTTGTGTTGGTGTCTGTAATAATTTTTGTGTCAAAAATATGTACTTAGGTATTTCTAGTACCTGGATATACAAAATCATGTTTCCATATATAGCAATACAAGAATTTAGATATGCTGATTTGGGCTGTAAATTTCATGCAGTATATTCATATTATTAGAAGCTACATAAAAACAAATGAAAGTCAGCACATGTGAATGGTAAAAATGATCATGAACCAGTGATCAGTTTACAATTATGTTGATGAGTACTTTTCATTTTTATTGCTAAAACAATGGGTCCAATATTGTAAAATTTAAGTCTTTGCGGAAATTCTGGACTCCCATAAGAATTCTGTGAGTGCAGGACAACAGCCTTCCATGAAGATTTATCACTGAAGAACATGAGTTCACTTTTGTAGTATAGAAAATACAGTTAACTCATAGTTTATAAACAATATTAAACAAATGAATTTCATTGAGAATTAACTAAAAGTTTGTATTTATCTGACATCTTGATGAATTTATTTTTCCCTGAATCGGTCAGTGATGATCATCACAGTATACATTGGCCCTGTTTGTTAATTTTCTACATGACTTCAATAATACTCTACATGAATGTGATAATTGGATAAATGCATTTGTCATTGTGTGTATATTTTCAGATGTTGCTGGGCAGTGTCAAATCATGACTTTATTGAAGCCTATGGTTGCCAGTCTGTGGTGGTACAATATCCTTTTCATATAAAACATACTGGGTATTCTGTATCCCATATGGATTCTCTCAGAAAAACAATACTAACAAGCAGTGTCAAATCAGGCTTTGAGAGGAAGGTACACCTTCTCCAACAGGATAACACTTAATTGTACTTCCTACTTATAAAAGTAGGGACAGTCCATGATTTTGTACCATGAGAAATTTCCAAATCAATGCTTTCTCTTTATTCTGTCCTTTGCTGTTTTTCCATTCAAAATCCATTCAAATTTATATTTGCATCAAAGTATAGTGCTGATGAATTAAGAATATAATGTATTGGCCTATTTTTTGCTGTTTATCAAATTTTAGAGAGAAATTAACCTCAAGATTTCTTCTTTCCCAATGTTATTTGTATATTTCATTTTCATATTAACTTTTGCATTTGTGTAGTAGATGTACATAGAGGATTTATTTGAACCATTGGTTGGTGGAAAAGCCTCTGAAAGCATCTTGTATCATGACATGTCACATCAGAAATATTTTATCTTTAGTTACAAATCCTCTACTGAATTTTATCAATACCTTGAGATGCCATTGTTGGAGATCTTGTATCACTAGTTTCTTCAATGAGAGCAATTCTGTGCACTAGCTTGTTTTCATCAAATCCATCCATATTCAACAGATTTTTTTTTACGTAAATTATGAATATATTTCAGGCAAATTTCAGGCAATGTACTTGCATTTAATTAAGATACAGTTTGATTCTATCATCAATATGGAAATCTCGGCCTTCACTAAGAATTGCCATGTTATAAGACTTAACAGCCGTGTCACTTTCCTGAAAAGACTTTTCCTTAATTCCTTTACAGCATTCGTCAAACTGTTTCAAAGTGTGAAAGAGGAGAATTGGCCGCTTTCTATCATGTTTTCTGTCTGTCTTGATCTCAGGCTGTTTGCTAACAGTGTAAGTTTGATAGGAAATTAACAAGAATGGTACATACACTTTAATTAATAAATCATCCGTTTTGAAGGTGACTTAGATTGTCTCCCTTCTTTCTCATCCTTGTACCATTAAATGAGGAAAATACTTTACTTGACTCTTAACTTTTATATTTCAAAAGCAAATGTATTCATACCTATACAAATAACTTTATTAAATGTACTTTTCCTGTAAAAATCATTTTTCAGACTAAGATTAAGAACCTAGTCATAATATTTTACATCTAGGCAGACCTTCAAGCTGCAAAGAAAGGAAAAGGAAAACCTGGTGAGAGACTGGAGAAGTCAGCTGAACTCTTGATGTCATGCTTCAGAGTGTGTGCAAGTGATAAGTAGGTTTCATCTCGGAAGTTGAATTTCTATCTACTTTTTTCTTAATCAAATGAAAATCATACATCTTTTCATGGATTTTCTTCATATTTTTCCAATTTATATGATTTTGCTTTCATTATTAGTCCCCATCAGGAACAGGGTTTGGGATGCAGTGAGGGGGCTGGGTTGGGATTAACCATAGTTTTGCATTGTGTTAACACATCCTTCTGTCTTTCTATCCTCCTGCTTATTCAGGCTTTATCTTCTGCCTTGTACTGTCATTGTGTATCAAAAGTGATCACTCTGGCCTATATTTTGACCTCTGACCTATATCAAAGAAAATTATTTTCGTTGCTCTTATTTCCTTCACTACTAGTCATGGGAAATTTTAATGTATGAGCTCAAATTGATGAGGCAGTGTTTTGGTTCGGGACTGTATTTATTTACCTTTTATTCATGTTTTTTTAATATTACTCAGTTAATGTTTTGAAAGGCTTTTGTTTGATTCCAGATGAACAGAAGAGAGCTCTCCCAGAAATTTTGAAAGTCAATTTAACAAAAACAAAGGAAGATAGTAGTTGTGCTGAAAAATGCTGAGAAAAATTAAGAACTTAAGAACAAAATTTCTGATATTTTGCTTTTTATTTGGATTAGAATAGTTTGTACATTAGATTTTAAATTCTGTCATGGCATTGAGCTGATTTTAATGCTATTGATGTTTGTATATTTATGTTTACAGTATCTCTGTTTTTCAGCCGAGCTTCAGTTGAGGACACAAAAAAGTGGGGAATGCTGAATCTAGTGAACCAGTTATTTAAGATATATTTCAAGGTCAGTTTTAGTGATTTTTCATGTAAATTAGAATTTTTTGTCAAAGTTACATCATGTGGCTCAAGAGTACAGTTGTGACATCAGGAACTGATATTGTCATTAAGTGTAAGGGATAGTAACCTGAACCGAGATATGAGGCTGTTTAGAGACAGTACTATTCATTATTTGTGTTGTAAAGATAACTTAAATTAAGGAAATTCCCATGGAATTGTTCAGACTCTTGTAAAATATTAGTAAAAATATTTATTGACTATGCTGAGATTCCATAAAACCTATCCATTAATTTAGATGATGTTGCATTTTGGTATATTTAAAATATTTTGAATATTTTTTGCAGATAAACAAACTTCATTTGTGTAAGCCATTAGTGCGTGCCATAGACAGTTTACCCATCAAAGACAGGTTTCCTCTCTCCCAACAAGTCACTTACAGGTACAGTTTGATAGTGCAGGTTCCCTCTCTCACAACAAGTCACCTACAAGTATTAATCGAAAGGTTTCCTTTCTATGAACAAATCACATAATAGCCTAGCTTGATTGAAGAATTTCCCTCTCTCTTACATAGTCACCTACCATTACATGTGTGGAGTGATTAATGAGGTATTAATGTAGTTGTGCAGAGTTCATCCTGCAACAAAGCCAAAGGCTAACATATCACCCTGATTCAAATTTGAGACGTAGGCTTATTACAGGACAATAATGATATTTCTGTGTAAAATCCTGTAAATATGGTTAAATATAACCAACTCTGTTAACTAGCAAATGCATGTATTGGATCTAGTCTGAAGTACTGCAAAAACTATAATCATCTGGTCATTTGAGATTTTCAAGGAAAGTTGGATGTCAGCTTTGAGTTAAGGTAAAGATTATGATTTTATTGTAACATACAAAAGTTAGTTGATGGAAAGTTTGGATATCTTAAAATGATTCCCAGTAAAGTATAAAATATCATAATGAAGTTAGGGCTGTTCCAAAATTATCTCAGTGTATGGGAGGGATGGCAGGTAGTTGTATTATAACTTGATGGGTGATGGGGTAACCACCATTTTTCTGTTATTCTTTAAACTGTATACACGTATATTTTGATATTTGATGGGTATTGAGGTCTCTGAGGTCCCACCCCACCCACACAGATAATTTTGGAACAACCCTTAGAGTAGAGTATGATATTTCAATCACAATCAAGATGTCCTACTGTCATGTCCTGTAGGCATAGCTTTTTAGAGAAAGAATGTTTTGCAGAACTTTTTTTAATATTGTAAGAGTCAAGCTGTCATGTTATTCAACATTATGAAGAAAAATTACCCCCCCCCCCCACCCCCTCCCTTCTTGAAAATATATATGACTTACTGCTTTGAACTTCCCTGAAGTAAGTGAAATATTCTCTTTTATCCTAACTTCCACTGACCTTGGTCTTCTGAACAGTATTTATTTAGTTATCCAAACCAGAACTCTGTGTAAATTGTCCTTACTATAACTACCATTTCACCTTCTGGTGACAGATGGTCCAGTCATCCAATACAAGTTGACGATGCTGTATATTGCTGTTCAGTAAAATCATAAACCAAATTTATTTCCTTGTCCAGTGATATGTCCACCTTGACTAAGAAGTGGTATGTTGTTTCTGGGATGAATTTAGCTTTAATATAGCACATGTATGTATACACTCCAGTATCTAGGATTTCTAAACCAGCTCTCAGTTGGCAATCATCAATAGGATGTTAGATCTAATGACATTGGCACTTTACCAACCCCTTTAGTTCTACCTTGAACTTTGTATAATGATGGTGATTGCTCATCAATAATGAGAGACTTTTATTTTGTAGATACTATGTGGGAAGGAAGGCTATGTTTGATAGTGATTTCAAGAGTGGTAAGTCTTTAGATTGCTTACATGCATATTATACCCTCGGGGAAATACAGGTTAATTTTCTTGCAGTAACTAACTGCTTCACTGCTGTTTTGTCATCTTTATGATCCTTTACTTTCAATTGATTTCTCTTAATTGCTAAACACACATATTTTTCTATACCTGGTATCAAACAATGGATTATGCTTTTGTTATACAAAATTGTGTACAAGAAAGTCCAACCAGCTGTTGTCCTATAAAGCAATTTATTGTCTTCAGTCATATTTTGTGAAAATCAGCAAAAGGGTGGGTGAGGGGGACATAATTTTTGTTCGTTACTGAAAATGCTGATATTTATTAACAGTAAGTTTTGTTACATACCATTGTTCCTGTTGTGGTATGGTGTTTCTCGATTATTTATGTTGCTTACTAGAACTAACATTACATTTCAATGTATGGGGCACTGTGTGAAGCTCCTTGTGTCCTTTATCATGTACACATGTTTTATTTTGTACATGTATGTATAAAATCAAAAACATTAATTTTTGTCTGTTGCAGCGGATGAGTTCCTTTCCTATGCTTTTGAGCGTTGCCATCGAGCCAGCAAGAAAAACAAGAGAATGACTTTAATATACTTGTTACCTGTGAAGATGTTGTTGGTAGGTATATTCTACAGTGGTCTCTTTATTAATGGGAAATACAATTATAAATATTTCCTCTCGCAAAGTTTTTATGCTCCCCAGAGGGAGAGCATATAGTCACTGCTAAAACCATACAAGGTATAAACAGGAAACTTCCTAAGTAGATCTTAACAAATAGGAGGGTAGTGCACCAGAATCATATCTCTCTAATTGCCCTTTGTTATTTTTTGTACTTAAATTTTGTCCCTTTCAAGGAGCATAACCTGTCTCTGACAGCCATTGTATTAGATAAATACTTTTTGGAAGGAATCAGGCAATGTCAACAGCCGGAAGCCTAACGTACAAGTGGACTGATACACACCAAAGATCGTAGAATGTAATAATTGATGTTAATTTCTCCCATCATTCACAGGCTTGTCACCTGTTTTACTTGTTCAAGATTTCTCTGTCAACCCCTATGGTATAACAGATAGCGCCTGCACTGGAAGTGAACCGGAACTACTTCTACACACGTCGTCTGCTGCATATGAACAGTATTTTTACCTGTTTGTTTACATAATTACTATCATTGAAGCTAAGGCTCTCTGAGAAAAAGTAAGATGGGAGAAAAAAAATCATCCCCTACCTTGAGGGTGTGATGGAGAAATCTCTAACCCTTGGGGTGATATTCTTAGTTGTCTAACCCTCGGCAATTTTATTAATGAACATTGTAGACAAACCAAATAGCATTTACAGTTTAGGAGAGTTATCTCCCTTCTGTAATCAGACTTTTTCGGACACTATTGATATTTTATCTGGCTGGTTTTGACCTCACTATGGTGAAGGAGCAGCAGCATGACTAAAGTGGGTTTTTCAGTAGAGCTCATATGTCAGTTATTTTCTCAGATTACATGAGTGTTACTGCTACAAGCTGTGGTATACACAAAGATGTGACATTGTGAAAACAGAATCTGGTAATGATTGCATTGGTATGTATTATCACATCGAAACTACAAGTATAGGTGATGTGTGTTTGATTCATACAGTCATTACAAAGAGTCTCAAACAGGAAAGGGACAGATCTAGAATTGAACAGCATCCACTAAATATGTTCTCCATAAAAGTCAAAAGTAATTTCCTTCAAAAACAAAAGCCAAGAAAAATGAACAGTATTTCAACGTTTTGTTATGTTGAGTGCTTGATTTTTTCTTAAACTGTTCTTGTTGTAAAGCACATCTACATAGAAAATTAGATGATGATGTTCTTACCATGTTAACTTGCTTGGTATTATCCTTCCAACTTACTAGACTGATTCTGGCCATTTTTGGTGATATTGTCAATACAGTCTCAAAGGTGTTTGTATAAGTTATAGGTTTCATTTGAATGATATCTTTGAAATTGAAGATTATGTAATATGCTCAGTTATGTATTCAACAATTCTTATTGAAATATAAGCTCTTTCATATCTCAATATAATTATACAAAAATGTTATTTCATTGTCTTTGAGCCCAGAATTGTAGGTCGACCCATTTGGCTTATCAAATGATGATTATAGTATTAAGTTTTCCAGCACAGATATGATTGGTGTTGTAGTAAAAGAAATCACTACAATAACTCTTTATTTTTCTCATTCAGGGTCACATGCCAAAACAATCCCTGTTACAGAAATATGATCTGATGCAGTTCTACGATGTAGCAAAGGCTGTCAGGTAAGAGACAGTAGAACAGAAACAGAGATAGGCCATGTCATCAAAATTTTCAATTTCAAAATTAAGAAAATGTTGGAAATAAGGATTTTTATTTTATTTTTCAATTAAAAATCTTATTAATAATACCCGATAAATTCTTCAATAGTTTGGAAAACTTTTAAATATGGAGGTTGTTTCAGAATGTGAAGGTTTTAAACATTTAAAATACTGTTGTACATAGACTTGTTTGCATCCTTATAGTGACATTTTAACCTGTCTCTAGATGTGTATATGTGAACAGTGAAGGTCAGGGTCACAATTTTTGAAAATAGAATATATTGTCAAATACATGTATGAGGACATACACAGTACACAGTAAGGCCCAGGCTCCCTTGTTTCTTGTCAATAATCTCATATAACTCTTAGTGGTTAATTCCTCCTTCACATGTCAGATGTCACATATTTTTCCGATCTAAAGATGCTTGCTATGTCCAACATGAAAAACTTATTATTGAAATCTTTTTATCTGGAAAAAAAATTTGCAGAATGTATTTGACTTATCCAAAATATCAGACTTCCGTTGAAAATTTCACTTTGGAAAGTCCTCAAGACATACATACAATATGTACACATTAGACGTTCCTGGAAATCTTACATTGGAATGTCAAAAAAACCCACCCATACATATAATACATTGTACATATACACAGTAGACTTTTGTGTAAAATCTTATATTGAAATGTTAAGAAAAAAAATAAAATACATACAATATGTACACAGTAGATATTCCTGGAAAATCTTATAATGGCATGTCAAAAAAGACAATTCAGTATTTATCCATAGTAGATTTTCCTGAAAATCCTTTATCAAAATTTGAAAAACCATGCACATAATATGTATACTGACATTCCTAAAAATATTTATCAGAATGTGAAAAAACACACTTCGAGTGGTTAGTGTTATTAACTGCCACTTTTATTTCATGTTTTAGTTCTGGAAATCTGTTGCTGCTGAATGAAGCATTGGAGAAGAATGAAGCTTTCTTTATCAAGTGTGGCATTTTTCTCATTCTGGAGAAACTCAAGATCATTACATACAGAAATCTCTTTAAGAAAATGTAAGTATAAAAAGCTGGTGTTTTTCTGACAATTAGTCACATCAACTAGATGAGAGGAACTAGGTTACTGAATATATCAAAGCCTTTTTTTTTTGCTTCCAAGAATGTGTATGTTCATGATCCTTGTCTTTCGAACTTGACTTCTTGATATCACTATGATAGGATATAATCAGTATTTTGATCGATTTTTTATCAAGTTCTATATTCAACTGTTAAAACCAAATGGTATGGATATATTTTCCAGTTTTTGTTTAACTTACCAGAAATGTAACTAGGGGTAGGGCTGCTTTGTTCCCAAAGTCCAGGTAACATTTCAGGTAGATCATCAATAGGAAAATTTCATATTGTGATTTCTATCAATTAAATAATTTTGAAATTTCATGAATCATCGATCAGAACTGGTTTATATGAAAAATTAGTTTCTATTATAATCAATCATTTAGAACAACATTTACAGATATATGTACATCTTCTGAAGCATCAAATAAAATTTATAATCCAGTTACCTGCTCCTAAACACTCACCAGATACCAGTGAAAGCCTTCACAGCAGCTCTCAGGATGATGGAGGTAAGTATACCTATATCATAAAGTGGGGAGTGAAGCAATGCATTCACTTTTAATTTGTCTCTTAAATCTGTGATCATTCCATCCCTGGTGTTGGTTGTCCTCAGATTATATTTACAATCCCATAACAGTCTGTTTTAGTGGTGAATTAAACCATTCCCACTACCAAATGTTGTATATTGCCACTGTTGAGCACAGTTATCTCCCTTGCTATATTTTTTAAAATTCTGCCATATTACATCAGTCTGAGTCTCCCATCTCCTACACCAGACATTTGAGATTTTGACCTGATGCCTAGTGAAGGAGCCACAGGTAACTGTGTAGACTGTGTAGATTGTGTAGATTGTGATATAATGAATTTGCTTTTGAAGGAAATATCTACGTTATCCATTGTATCAGATTTGTAATGATGAGAATGTGCCATACAATGTGAAAAATATAATACATAGTGTTTCCTGTGGATGTAGAGTTGATATCAATATGTTGTGAAGTTATAAATGTATCATTGCAGGTTACAGATATTGACGACGACGAAACATCATGTATCATCGCAAATCTTATCTACGAGGTTTGTTTCTGTTTTTCTACTATCATAGTGTTCATGTAAAAGCAAACTTTGACAGTAACTAAACTTTTGTCAGGAATTGAAAAGAAAATCCTGTTATTGTATCACTTTTGCAAATCATTTTCTATTAAGTCACTCGAGATTTAGTCTCAAGTTACTTATTGAATTTGTCTCTTGTCCATCATTATGAGTCATCTGTCGTGCATCCATGAATAATTTACAACTTTTCAGCTTCTTATCAAAACCCCTGGTACCAATATCCCAATATCAATGTAATTCTGCAGAAACTTTCCTTTGTTAAAAAGTCCTCATTTCAAAATGGCCTGAGGACCCAAAAGGAATTAAATTGACTCAAAAATCTTCTCATGATTCAGATATGGTAGAATCAAATATGTATTCTTCATAGGTGAAATAGACTTCTAGTGCTTAACCAAAATGTTCATTTTGTGTTCCCCATGGTCCTACATTTCCCATCTTGAGCACAATTTCTTAAATTTACAATGACAAATAATCTGAAATAATTCAAACTTGATTAGCATTATGCAAATGTAATTATAGACTGACAGTTTGATATTAATTCTGGCTAACCACCAGGGGATGATGTATAGTTTCAATTTGACTAAAGCATTAAAAATCTTCTTCTCTGGACCCAGATATAGTAGAATCAAATACTCTTTATGAATGAAAGTGTTTTTATTTGAATATGAATTCTATGACCCAAATTTTTCACAATGCCACTTACAATGGTTTTTGCAAGAAAATCACATTTTTGAGCATAATTTGACTTATTTTCATTTTTAAATAATTGGTTAGGATTATTTACATGGGATAGCAGTTAATGCACAATTTAGTTTTGCATTACATTCACAGACCTTTTGGCCTCTCATCATTGAATACTGCCTTTATTGATATCATTATTTATCAAAAAATATGTACCAGTTTTTGTTACTTTTTCAGAACAAGATAAAGGGCTACATTTCCCATCAACATCAGAAACTAGTGGTCAGCAAGCAGAATGCATTCCCTGTCCTAGCATCAGTGTTATCATAGTTATGTTGGCATAGCAAGTAAAGCCATCACTACAATTTCTTGTTATGACTTCAGCTATGTTAGATTCGCTATTCTGAAAGCAACGTTATGGCTGTATCTGTTTTTATAGAGGGCCACCAAAACTATCTGTAGCACCAGTGATTGCTGTGACCTTAACTTTCAATGTCTTGACACAGTCATTCAATGCAAGATACATGTACCCAATGTCACCTGACTGGATTTTAAAAGCTGCTTGTTGGAAATTATCACAAATAAGATACAATGGTTAAAGTGCTTCATTGTTGAATTTTAATGTTGGATCTTTATACATGAAAAAAAGAAAGTGTGGAGTTGTTGGAGAAGAGAAAGTGATAAAGTATGTTCCTAGAATGTGTGATACTGGAATATGATGTGTGTGAAATTAGAAAGGTGTATATGAGAAATAGATAAAAGTGGTGGTATTGGAAAAATAGTGCTAGCATTAATGAATGTGCTATGTATGGTGAAACTATCTTATGAATGATTTGTGATTTTAAATGTGTATGGAGTTTTGATGTGTGGATGTATTTGTAATAAAACAATTTCAGAATACTTCTCTTTGATGGTTTCATTTCTAAGTGACAAGCATGGAAATAACAAGTTTACAGTTGGCAGTGACTGATAAGAAAGGGGGAAAAGAGGATTATGTCATATTTCGGAAGTGTAAACATCAAGTTATTGAACAAAATTCAAGTACACCCAATAATATGATTACAACAACACAGTCTTAAAGAAATACATTGTTTTCGCTTCTAAGTGATTCTTTTTCTCTGCTGTGGTGTCGGTATTTTTTTCACTTTAGAATAAAATCTAAGTGTCCCATTTGATAATTGCAGAGGTTATACAGTGACTGTTCACACTGTCACAGGAGGGCTGCTCCAGACTTATCATTCACACTTGCTCTTATCATTCACACTGTCACAGGAGGGCTCTCATTCTCCACACATATCATTCACACTGTCACAGGAGGGCTCTCATTCTCCAGACTTATCATTCACACTGTCACAGGAGGGCTCTCATCCTCCACACATATCATTCACACTGTCACAGGAGGGCTCTCATTCTCCACACACATCATTCACACTGTCACAGGAGGGCTCTCATTCTCCACACACATCATTCACACTGTCTATACTTTCAAGTCACATGCACATACCTATACTCTTTTAAATATGCACATTATTTTTTCCACTGTTTCAGTAACCAAAACTGACACAAATGTGTATACATAATGTTATTAAAATGAAAACCTGCTTATTTTATTATCAAGACAAGATGTTTCAAGTTAGAAAATATTTTTTGTATCGCCCGAGAAATAATGCTGGTGAGCAGGACAATTGATATATAAAATCTTACAACTCAAGCAAGTTTTACATGATTTTTTAAGCGAGTCCAAATCAATTTTCCAAAATTGTGAGTCTGCTTTATCAGATATAATTGGTTCCCCAATTTTCAGTGAGTCCCATAGGAAAACCATATGAGCCCAGGACTCCAATATCTGAGTACAGTATCTTATGCTATATTAACAAATGTGAATGCAGGAAATGAAAGAAACACCACAAATAGAGCACAATGTGATCATAATGAAAACTTCCAAGTTTAAAACGGAAACAGGTATCCATGCGAGATTAACATGAAAAACAAAATTATAAGTCTTTTAAAAAAATGTGAAGAAATTCAATCAGGAAAATGAAGAGATCTACATGTCCTGTTGATAAAAGTGAAAGAGATACATGTGTAGGTTGCTAACTGTGGGCGATGCACTACAGACAATAACCCCTTAAAAACTGGCCTAATGATCATACTTTTGAGGAAAATAATTAAATGTCCTCCACTGAGAAAAAATAATTTTACATGTGAGGATGAAATAGCCAACAACAAGGAAGAGAAAAACAGGAAATGTCTGGACATAATATTAAAACAAGAAGCCCACAGGCCTTATCAGTCATCTGATCACTACAAAAACTTTCAGTAGGGAGAAGGGTTATGTTTTCTACTTTTAATGTAATCTTACTAAGAAGCTGTTTTCCTTGATGCAGATGGTAGTTTTGGTGAGAAGTAGGTAACTGTAACAAGTGTTACCTATTTTTTGACAGTAAAGTTTTCAAACAGCATTCAACCCTAAATCTGAGTCAGATTTCTTTTTGAAGGCACAGCCCTTGTGTCAAAGGGAGTTAATCCTGCCCTCTATATATGAGAAATGTTGAGTGACAAGTTTGGAACACAGCTATGATTGGGGAGTATATATAAGATAAATATTTCTTGTGATGAACTTTAATTTGGTAGTGACTTATGTACAGTACTTAGTGTATTAAGAACTGTTTCTAGCTTGTGATTGTAGTTTTAAATTATTTAAATTTTACTTTTTAATTACAATATTGTTACAAATGCTATGAAATTGTTATGTAGTATGTATTTAAATTCAAATTTGATAGATTTGAGCAATTTTTGCATCAATATGTAGTGGTGATACCTGAGAACTTTTAAATAGATGTTGCACAAGAAAACCATGATTGTGCAGTCATGTTACAAAATGGCCTCCCTTGCTGCCTTGTTAGAGTTTTGACAAGGTAAAAAAACCCACTTTGTTAGGTACCTTTCCTTAACATTCCCACCACTTTTTAGCTCAATGGCACCAGTGGAACTGGAGAAGAAGTTTGAAATATGTTTTTCAAGATGATGGCGATCTTGGATTTTAAACAGACTTTAAAATGACAACACATGGTCAGGACCATCCCAGGATCATTACAGACAAGTTGGAGTTAAATATCATAGGTGAAATGTAAGAAGAAAATTGAAATGTTGGATGACGACGACGGACGAAGCACAATGACTATAGGTCATTAAGACCCTTTGGGTCAGATGACCTGATAAGATCATGAAAAAAACAGCATTAGGATGAGTTACTGTAATTTAACGATACTGTGTTTTAATGTCTGACTCACTGCATGCTTCAATATCGAAATCCATACATGTAATTATTCTAAATTTAGACATGCTGAATATTTATTTTGTTAATATGTACATTGTATGTATTTGAATTTCCCGCCCAAATATCTTCACGCTGAGAAAAAATATTCTGTAATTTATATCAACCTTACCTTTATTTTTCGTTTTTGTTTTAGCATTCCATCGTTGATTTCGATCAAATTAAATTCAATAATATACTTGTAATTGAAAATGGTTTTATCTTTTCGTAATATGAATATTTGAACTTAACAGTGCGTTTCATTAAATTTACTTGCAATTCGTTAATTTTATAGAACCTATCAATAATGGCGGACACGTTGGCTTTACCTGTCAACCAGAGAGTGATACGTGATCGTTTGCATGCTTGGGAATCAACCACTGAATCCACAGCTCCACTTACTGGCACTCAGAAGGATGCTTTGTTGGAATTGACATCAAAAACGTCAGAAAGGCCATTTCCTAAAGATGTCAGTACTTGTCCTAATGTCGTTCTGGCCGAAACCGGCCTTGGCTCTTATCCATAGGTTCTCGGTTAAGGAACATATCTAGTTTATAAAGAATCCCATTACATTAATAATGATTTATCACTACAGGTGATTTTTCCAAAGTTGTATGTTTAATAAACCAGGTACATCATATCTTGTGATTTTTTTCTTTACATGTAAATTGTATGACAGTATAATGCGAGTATACATATGCTCCCGTGCCTTTATCAATTTGTTCTCGACCCGAAACCAACATTAGCCTATTGCTGGAAACTTGTTTCTGGTTGTTGATGCTTCTGATATATATAAATATATGTATGTATGTGCAATATATGCCTCCACATTAATAGCAGTAACTATAGTGTATAGTCTATATATCGTCTGAACATCAGTTCCTGTCCGCAATATGTTTTAGGTTTGACCATTGTATATGAGTTGAATTGTATTACATGAACTAAATGACCTAGCACACGGGTGTTATTGGTAACTGTATCATGTATCAAAAGAACAAAAATCTTGATTAAATCCATTCATTGTAAAATAAGAGCATTCGTTTCATAGGCAAATTTGGGTCTTTTTCTTAACACACATTTTTACATGCCAAACATCCTTCCAGATATCATAAAACAGCCAATCAATCCATCCTTGGAAGCAAGTATTTTGTTGCAGTCTATCAAGTGAATTAAAATTAATTGTGAATTATAGGCCACGCCTCATTGCAACTGCACGTCTTATATTGGGAAAAAATATGATTTTAAAATAATCTTATTTGGTGACTGCTTTCCAATTCGAATGAACAAGTGAATTGAAGACTGGCACATGAGGATATAATCTTATTTGAAATGTTTATGGTCTGAAAAAAAGGCAAGAAATGTAGCTTGTTTAAGAGAAAACAGATAAAACAACGAAAACTTTAATCTTGCCCTGTAGAAAAGCACACATGATCACAGAAATCTGCCATTTTCTGGAAATGGTTTTACATTGATTTTTTTCATTGAAATGTCATTCCCATTGTAAGTGATGATTTTATGAAAAAAATGTGCATTTCTGGGCCACTGTAAGGCTAACTCAAGAGTCTCTGTGATACAATGATATCACCAGAAACAGAAGTGAAGACATGTTTCCGATACATGTCTGTTATATCAGCTGAGCAAATTTGTGGTTGTATTTTTGGATATCTTTCAGAAAAATACTGTTTCACCGGTCATTTTATTGAATAAATTCCATAGTATGAACACATTTCAATGCATTAACAGATTTTTTACATACCTCAAATGCAGGTGTGGTGTTCTGCCCAACCTGTTAGGTGTTGGGGCATTTTGGTAACAAATCGTGTAGGGACAAAGGAGAAAGACAATTCAAATTGATTCAATAGTTTAGCCAAAGAAAACAAATAAACAGCTTTGAAAAACACATTTGTTGTTGAAAACAGATATAATGTACCTGTTACAGTAGTCAAATATTTTATAAACAATATCATTTATTTACTAGGTACACTTTACACACAAAGAATCCAAATGGAATTAAAGCTAACAAGTTATTGATGATGAAGAACCATTTCATGGCTGATAGACAAAAAAAAAAAAAAAATGTTATGCTTTTCTTAGAACACCAATTAATTGGTTGCTGCATGTCACACAGGTGACACTGTCAGACATTATTAGGAAGAGGTGACATCACGTAGATGTTTAAGAAGATAATGAGAAATGTGATCAATGCCAACTGTTCAATTAGGCTCTCAAATGATTCAGTTACATATTTGTGGCAATTTTTCATTGTTAGGTGTGTGTTTTTGTAATTCAGCACCAACTTCTTAAGCCATCATTTACTCCTGTCATATACAGGAATGAGACCATATTATTAGACATTTAATCCTCAAGCAATTCGATGATAAATTTCCAAATTTGTAGTCAGTCATGGTATGATCAAAAGCACAAATACAATGTAGCTGGTAATTGATGTTTTATTTGTAATAGATAACATGGCTTAGGCATGACATGCTCCAGGGAAAATAGGGTTATGTATAATAAATTACTAAAATATTCTTTTTCAATATTTGTGTTATCAGCTTCCAGAGGATGAAGTTCCATTTGCAATGTCAAAATCTCTGTCCTCTCAGTTGACTAGCGACGTCTACCAGGGAAACAAGGATTTTACTCTGTCAGATGACACAGAAAAAATTGACACTGCTCAACAGGTAAGAGAGAAGTACATGTATATATCAGGACATTGCATGGTCAATTTGTAAGAGATCAGAAATGTAACTTGATATATATATGGTATGACTTTTGCCTCCCTGACTAGCCATCTTCTTTTTTTAATGGATTCTCTCAGATCACAGATTTTAATTTTGTATGGATTAGCTGTTTTATCATATTCTAGACTAAGCTATAGTGTCTATCACATTCGTTCAAAGAAGTCTACATTCTTGTATTTTAAACTGTGGGAATACCCAGTGGTATGTACGGTTATGTTAATATGTCGTAAAGTTGAATCATATCCGACACATATTTATTACTGTGATAAGAAAATTAGGATTTAGATGCTATTGTTCCATAGTAAATACATTCAGCTTGAACATCAGACTGTTTTTGAGCAGTATTTTACAAGTTGTACAAATGTTATGGATGATTTTTTAGTTTTTCTCCTGGTTTTCCACGGTGGAAGAAGACATTGAGAGAGATGAAGAGATAACTTACAGGTGAGAAACATTAACATTAACTGACAATTATTTGTATGTCTTTCTTTGAGATTAAAAGATTATAAACAATTAATCAGAAAAATCCAACACTAAAAATAGCAAAATATCTCTATATGTAGTGGTAAACATGCTAATAAGTGGTGTTGTGTTTGGTTGGTGTAGTAGTAACACACTCACCTTTTACCTAGTCATCTGGGGCTCGATTCACAGAAAGGGCATAGAAAGGTATGGGGTCGCCTGCCAAACCATGTGGGTATTCCCCAGGTCCTGTGGTTTCCTTCAACAGTAAGACCCTTTGTACACTTCTATCTTAGCCAACAAGAGTGATAGCTTGTTTCACAATTGTTGTAAAATAATTCGTATTTATAATTACTGTATATGGAAATTAGATGCATTGATTTAACTCAATCTTCATAAACTTCATCAAGAAATGAAACCTAAAGACTAAGAACAAGCCACATGTAATTTTAAAATTTATGCCATACTATTTGTGCATTTAAACCATCATTGCAAATCAAATTAATATAAATCACCCTTTTCGTTCAAATATTTTGATAGGCAATTGAAGGTTTCTCTTGAAATATCTATATTATAGTGAATAATAATAATAATAATAATATACAACATTTATGTAGCGCACTATCTATTTTGACAAAATGCTCTAATGCACTTCACAATTACATAATAATCTTACTACAAAATTTACAGAACATGTATAACACAGTAATCAACATATGTAACACAGTAACCAAATCAAGTAAGTAGTGGTGAAAGTATGTATATACAGGACGTCTGCGTGAGAGTCTAAAATGCAGACGTAAACAGGTGGGTTTTAATATCCCTCTTGAATTTGGCCAGGGATTTTGACTTTCTAGTAGCAGATGGTAAGCTGTTCCACAAAGTGGCCGCTACCTTTCGAAAGCATCGGTTACCATAAGTCACAGTCCGAGAGTTCGGAATGCACAACAAGGATTCTGTCTCCGATCGTAGTGATCGTGATGGCCGATAAACGGTGACAAGTTCCTGCAAATATTCAGGAGCTGTTCCATTTATTGCCTTGTATGTATACATCAAAATCTTGTACTGTAACCGGAATCGCACGGGCAGCCAATGCAATAAGTAAAGGACTGGTGTAATGTGGTCCCTCTTTCGAGTACGGGTAACTAGGCGTGCTGCGGTGTTCTGTACCCTCTGCAGGCGGCTCAGTAGTGTATCAGCTACACCAACGAGTAACGCGTTACCATAGTCTAACCTAGAAGTAACAAGAGAATGTACCAATGTCTTGCATGCATCTGTGGTGATGAACTGACGGATACCCCCAATGTTTCTGATTTTGTGATAACAGGAACTGGCAATTGAGTTTATCTGTTTCTCCATGTTCAGAGAGCTATCAAAGTGTACACCAAGGTTTCTCACAGCTTGGACGGCCTCAATAGTTTGGGCATCGACCTTTAACTGGAGACCTTTAGTGTGTTGATACTTGTGGGAAAAGACGATCAGTTCTGTCTTTTCCTGATTGAGCTTGAGCATATTTGAATTCATCCAAGCACTGATGTCATTTAGACAGGCTTCAAGACTTGCTACTATTATGTCCCAGTTGTCTTGAGGTCTGATAACCATGTAGATTTGTGTGTCGTCGGCATAACAATGGTACTGAAGGTTATGACGACGATAAATCTCCCCGACTGGTTTCGAATAAAGACAGTATTTTCTAGGTCCCAGAACGGACCCCTGAGGAACTCCGAAGTCTAAGGTTTTGCTGTCTGAAACAGTTGATCCAATGGCAACGCACTGTCGTCGTTCATTCAATATAATTTTTAAACTGGATGTGCTAATAGAAGAGACCATTGAGTATACCTTCATTTGAGGTAATTGTTTTACATTAGTAGAATGTCTTTGGGAGCTGGAATCATGATATTGCTGGAGTGTGTTGGAGGGAAGGTTTTGCATGTATTTGGACTAAGATTGATTAGATTTAGGACTGGCCATCAAACTGATGAAGCTTGATGAGTACAGATCTATTGAGAATCATTTCTAACTAAGATAATCAGTAGGTTATTGAAATAGTCTTCAGATACCATACTAATACAAACAACACCTTGTATTATAAAGATGTATAATTTATATACAGACGTTACATAGAGGAGCTTAGAGAATATCAGAAACAATGTGATCAAGTCCTGGAAGAAGTTGGGAGCGCTTTAGATTACCTCTGCAGTCTCCAGGCCCACTACATCCACGTCTCCACAAAAACAAACGCTCTCCATGATGCCTGCGAACATCTGCTTGCAGAACAGGTATTAGTTCTGGAATGGTTCTTGTTTATAATTGTCATGGATGGATTTCAGTGTTTTGCAGAATGTATATGAGATTCATCTAAAGTATTTACTCTAAGAATATCAATGAGTAAAAGCATGGGTAAAAATCACTAAATCACAGGGTCCTTACTCCAGAGTCGACTCTGCAGTCCTAAAGGTTTTGGTTGTGAGGGGAAAGTAATATCTGATTTCTTGGTATGCTGTAATACCTCGAGTCATGATTTGTAAATCTAGGATCTAAGATAAATTGAATACTGATGTGCATTGGTACACTCTAAAAATTAAATTGTAGTATGCTATATATTTGGGAGGCCAAATAATTAGCTTAATATTAAAAAACAACAGCTAACCTATATTTATGGAACATTTTTGCAGACACGCCTCATCAACACAGCAGAAAACATCAGCAATAAGTTGTCTTACTTCAATGAGCTGGACCGAATATCTTCAGTAAGTGACCCAAGCATGTTATAGTGTGTACAATTTGTATTAAACAAGTTATGTAAACAAAGCATAAAATTGCCTCACTTGGTTTGTTTGGCTTAAAGTTTTTATTTAATATCTTAGATGTAACTGAAATTATAGAAAAATTCTTTAACGTGTAAGGAAATTAAATCTTGAAGCGTATTGTTCATCAGATGTTGTCTTGCTATTGCTAAATACTTAGGAATTGTTTATTATTGAACCTATGTCACATTAACTTGTATATATTTCTTGACATGTCTCCTGTTACTTAAAATATTTGTCATCAAAACTTTTGTATTGTATTACGGTAACTAGGGATGACAAAATGTAACTGCCTAAATGTAGGTCATTGTGACCTAATGTCTAGACTTTTGATTTTTATCTAATCAAATATATTATTAGGCATCTTGGACTTTGACAATAAGTTTTTATCTCTTTTTCTTAAGAAGTACTGTACTGGATGGATCTTTGTCAAATGTTATATATAAGTTCCTCTTGGTCTCTAGCCGTGCCCTTTTGATATCTGGTCTGATCATAAAAACCAAAATGGGTTAATAGTTTACCATTTTTGATTTGACAATTAGAGATTAATAATGTTGGAATTTTCAAATTTCACATAATTTAGAACAAGAATGGAGAAAGAACATAAAAGAAGGTAAAAGACCCATCTTTTAGAAAAGAAATAAAGAGCAAACAATTGTGGGTGCCAAGATCTCTCTGGATCCCAAGATTATCTTTTACTTTCATTGCTACATCCAGAGTATGTGTCTGTACACAGTATTTCAATGTTTTACTGCAAGCAGTGGAAAGTTAAAGGAGTATGGAAAAACATTTTTGTTTCAGAAACTTGGGTCTCCCACTCTAACTGTCACCAATGAATCCTTTGTGCCCATGCTGTCCCGGTTAGATGAGTGTATACTGTATATATCAAATAATGTAAGTAAACATCATTTACAATTAGATATTAACATTATTATTTTTTAAAAAAATCTACATTTCAGTGATATTGATATATAGTTTCTAGAAGTCTAATTCTGATGATTTCTTCTGTTTTTAGGCACGCTGTAAGGAATCTGCAATTTACCTCACCAAGTTTAGACACTGCCTTGCTCGTGCTTTAAATCTTATTAAATGTCATGTGGTACACATCTTACAAATGGCTACACAGCAAGTGCAGCCAACTAAGGTCAGTACTATGAAAGTTGATAGTGATAGCACTGAAGTTTGGCTGTCATTCTAACAAAACATAGGATCGAAAGTAGACATTAGTTCATATTGAATATTTGTTGAAATTGAAAATATGCAATGAATATAGTTTCTTGAAAGTTCTGTAATTAAGAAATCAAATTTGAACAGGGAATGTGCATGTCCATGAATCTGTATTTGGTATGGAACTACAAACTACTTTCACTTGGCTTTCAAAGGCAATATGAATGCCCAGGACCCCTGTTCACAAGGGAAGGCCACTTCTGTTCATTTACATACCTTACAACATTCCTACTGGCATTTCATGAGTTGTTAATACACCACTGGTTTTACTATAGCAGTGCCATACAATGGTCAATATTAAGATGTGAAATTACTCTTGTTATCAGTTGAAGTTTTAAATGTTTCTGGTGATTTCCTTGAAGAAATCGTTTGATGAGCATAACATGAATCCATTAATTTCTGCCAGAGAGAGGGAGCAAACATCCTTAAGTCTGTATGTAAACCTCTATATGGTAATGAAGTCTACTATTGATTTTAATGGTAACTTTATTACCTGTTTATAGGATACTGTCAGTGTTGGTGACAATGCCTTCACATTATTCTATGGAAAGTTTCGAGCCAACGCTCCTCGCGTGAAATCTCTGATGGAGGAACTGGAACAGAGGGTAGATAAAAGTCCAGAGTAAGTGACATAGTGTGTATGTGATGGGAATCCAGGTATAGTTGATTCCAATGATGGACAAGATTGCCAGGAAGCTTGTGATTATACTGACTAAATTTTAATGCAGCTTTTCATCAAGTTTCCTCAAGTTTTCTGATTGATATTATTCAAATGTATGCTTGCAATGCCAACTAAGATTATTTTCTTGGTGCTCTGTTTTTTACCTGGAATGGAGGGATGGCAACACAGAGTTGAACCTCTCTAACTTGCAGTCTGAAAAATATGGAAACTTGTATACAACAGAACCATTTATATGATTTTCAGGTATGTACAGATACTAGCGGATTGTCATCAGTGTTACTTTCAACAGAGAGAGGTGCTGTTGGGACCAAGTGTGTCATCGACTGTTACAGACCTGGCTACAAAACACGCTCGTGACCATTGTGCTCTGGTGAGTATTAAGCTAATTTAGGTTGATATTATGTAAAATTTTGTTGGTCTGGCTGATTCATTCCTCCAACAATTGCTGTAGTGACAGGTTGATGTGATACAAATTGTCGTCAGTCAGGCATAATACATTCCTACGGCCACTCAGTATACAAATCCGTGTAGTGGTAAGACAGATTGGGTTTTTTTTTTATCCTCCCACCATTTTATGGGAGGGTGTGTGTTATAGAGTTAGCTTTGTCTGTCATTCGATCCCATCATGTCATGTCATGTCACTTCCCTTTCTGAATCAATGTTGTATCTTCTCAGATTTGGTTCATATTTACCACCATAGTAACCTAACATCAAATGTTACATCTGCACTTATTAAGGTTGATCTTCAGTCAAGGTCCAAGGATCAGAGGTCATACATTTGCAGGGATATTCATATCCTTATATAGAAAGACATTTTGTATTTTTTTTTTTTTATGTCACCAACCAGTCTACCAAACACAGCAGCATTGGGTATACACTGAAGTAATAAGGTTGAAGTGCTTTTGTGGCCTAATTTCGTTTTTGACTATAGTGTTTAATATAATAGTAGAGGTTTTAATGAATTTTTGTTTGTTGTTTGATATAATTGTTACAACATTATAACAGATGAGAAGTGGCTGTGCCTTTATGGTCCATGTATGCGAGGACGAACATCAACTCTACTTCAACTTTTTCTCCAAACCAACTGAAAGATTAGAGTAAGTTTTGTATAATCTTCAGAACCCCTCAAGATTTAAGACTGCTGCTTACCGTAAAGCTGTGTTGTTTGAAATAAATCTTGTGCTTCAGGATCCCCGATAACTCATCTCTTAAGAAATATGATCACAGAACAGAATATATGTAGGAATTTATTCTGAGGGATAGAGTATTTTGAAATGGAAACACTACATGTATCTCCAAGAGAAAGGTCTTACAAGTCAGGCATTTTATCCTATCATCATTTTTTAAATCAATTTATCTTGATTGATATCAATTTTCGATGCATGATTAAAGGGAGACAAATCTGTCATTCTCACAGTATAGTAAACAATCTTTAAAAGTGTTTTTCAATGTATAGATATGTTTTACAAACACTCCATTACCTAATAAGCATTCTAAATTTCAAATTTCGTATTCTTGTTTTTCATACTGTTCAACTAATGTTTCTTCCAATACATGTAGATAAATTGTACCAGTATTTCCATTTGTAGATGAACTGTACACATACAAATGTTTCTGTTCATAGTGAGATGTTAGAACACCTTTGTAACAGTCTGTATGACATGTTCCGACCTCTCATCATCCACATCAACCACTTGGAAACATTAGCAGAGTTATGTTCCATCCTCAAGATAGAGATGCTTGAGGAACATGTACAGAATAACGGTAAGCATTGGTTAGAATGAGATTGATTAATTTGGTTTAGATAGATTTAGAAGATGTTTATTTTTATTTATTGTTCATTGAATAGACAAAAGTGTAAAATGACTCTCATATACTGCTAGCTGTCTGACTGAGGTAATGTCAGTGTTTTATCCACTTCATCCCTTATTTTTCATCATTCAGATTGAACTTTAAGACACACCCCACTGTAAAATATAAAATGTTGATGTATAGATACTCTTGTCATGTTCTTGGCCATAGACAAATCAATATAATGAAATGCAACAAAAAAAAACTTGAATGATAAGTGAAAAGTCATTACTGATGAAATTCTTTATGTTATACTAGAAAAAAAGTGTCAACAAATGTTTAATGGTACATATGTACTGTATTTACCTACAAAGAGCACCTTAAAAAAGGGGTAAACAAATTAGATACAAAGCTATTTTGATCAGAAAGATGATAGTTAGCTACTGACACCACAAATGTTTGTCAAGAGCTAATAGGAATATTATCCTGTGTAGATGGATTGTACCTCATTCTGTAGTATTAAGTATTGATATTTAATATTGATTTATCGGGAAGCTTAGAACTATAGTAAAAATACCGAAATACAATGGTTTTAGTTTGATTCTGCAATATCTGCAAACCAAGCTAAAACCATTTAGGAGAGACCGCACAAATAAATAGCATGCTTGTCAAAGAGATCAGAACTGTTCCATAGCTATATTAAGGCCAGTGACATGAAACAAAACACAATACATCTTCACTGAGTTAATGAATAATTGTAATCTTAGTAATTTTGAAAACTGAAATCTTTGATTCAAAATATTTATAGTGAAAGAGCTTGGAGCCTTTGAGACAATCTGTAAGCAGATGTTGATGGATGTACAAGAGCGACTTGTGTATAGGACATACATTTGTATCAAGGCTGACATTCTCAACTATAATGCTGCCCAAGGTGACCTTGCTTACCCAGAGAAGCTGGAGATGATGGAGGTAGGAATAACTTTATGGTGTTACAGGATTTTGAAATCAGGGGAACCTTGGATTGCCTGTGATTCTCGTTATTATTTTTCCTTTACAGACTTAAGTGAATGTTGATTTTTGTACATATGTATAGATATTTCTCAGTCCCAGTCAGGAAAGAGTTTCCTATTTTATGTTCGCTATCACCTTTATACCATGTGTTATTTCATTCAAATAGTGTCACAGTTCAGATATACACATGTACTTGATTTTGTTCTAAAGTTATCAGATATATGGTGGAAATTGATTGAATTATGGAGCTAGTGCACTTCCCCATCTAGTTTTTTTACTTTCCCTCTGATTACTTTGGATTTTTCCCTCCGAGGCTTCAAAATTAATGCCCTTTGTCTCACTGACGAGTCCTAAATGGACAAAGCAGCTGTATGATAGTCTATTTCATTGTTTCACTCTTCTGTATCCAACTCTAAAATTTATTTAAAGGTGCTATTCACTTTAGTGTATTTTGCACAATCTTTTAAGAAGTAAAATGTTTACCGTTTTGCAGAGTATAGCAGAGGGTATTAAAAACAGTCAGAATGCCAAGGAAAGGACATCCTCAGTATCGTCAGTGGGTGAAGGTCACAAAAGGTCACTCTCAAATGTTTCCAATACCAGTCTGGAGGTAGCTGAGATTACAGATGGTGATCAGAAAGAGATGGGCCCACCTAATGTTGGAGGGGACCCACAACATCCTCAGGGTTAGTACAGAACTGAAAGCAGGTCTTGACCACTCAGGTGGTGGTACATTGGCCTACACAACTTCTGGTGAAGATCCAAGGTGTGTAGTTTAATGCTCCATATCGATGGCAGTTCATGTTTCTCAGGAAATTTAGAAATAGCTTTTTGCTTTCATAGTTGTGTTGTTGGTCTGGACACTTTGCTCCTGTTGTTCTTTGTTAAATTATTCACCTTACAGAATACTCAAGGTGATCGTGATCACTGAATGTCATGGTCCTTTGTTTGATGACTCACCTCACAGAACATACAGACTGGCCATGATTATAGACTGTCATGGTCCTCAGGTGTCATCAATATGGGTTCTAGTTGTGCACTCCACATTCTGAACTCATCTGATATTAAAAGTGACTACGAGCAGCCATTTATGGTTTTGATATTGGAAGTTTGTAATTCTATTTCCTAAGAACAGATGAAGGAATAATGATAAAAACGATAGATATTTTCAATAAAGGTTCAAATTGTGTATTTTCAGCTTCATTGGATATTCGAGTATGCTGTGAACTTCCAGTTTTAATTCCATATCTGCTTCATTCTTTTTACAAAAATACTACTGTTGTATCAGTATCAAACAATGAATAGAGAACAGAAATGATCAGTCGCAAATACAATCTAAATTAAAATAATCGATGGTACCGCCAAGATTCCTTTAGGATCCTTTTAAATGATTTTAATATTTTTATTTTTTGGATTATGTATATATATAGGGACCTCCATGCCTCTATCTCCTGCTGACCTCCATGGTATGTGGTACCCGACAGTGCGCCGGACACTAGTCACCCTGTCTAAGCTCTACAGGTGTATAGATGTAAGTACAATACACAACACTACTCACCACAACAACATGAAAGTATACTATATTTACTCTGGAATAAGCTAGGGGAAGTAATCACACTTCCTCTCACTTTTATCCAAGGAGTGAGAATATTTACAAAAATCATGACATTAATTTTTATTCTTGTGAACAGCAGTAGATATGACTTATCATCGCTTCAAGTGGTATCTGTTCTCTTAATGTAAATTCAGAAAATACTTTCTTTTAGACAATGTTATTTTCTGTCTGTAATTAGGATTCTGTTACACTATATCCCTACTGTTATTCTGTTATATTATTTGTTAACAGAAAACTACCTTCCAAGGTCTGTCTCAGGAGGCACTCCAGTCCTGTATACAAAGTCTACAGAACGCCAAGGATGGCATCACAAAACGCAAGGTCTGTTGTGAAAAACATCCGACATTTATGTCAACTGCTCTGTGTTTGAAAGCTGGTAGGCACTGGCAAGATGTAAACCTTTGATTCTGTTGATCTGGAAACAGGGTCTAGAAATATCAGTGATTGTGTAAATTTATTCTTCTTTTGATAGAGTAATAAAAAAGTACTCTTCTGAATAAAAGTCCTAGGTTTTGTGTGAAGTACAATAAAGTAAAAAGGTTTGAAAAGTTGCTTCCATTTATTGAAGGGGAGAAAATATGAGAAAATCCTTAGTATTAATTCCAAATTTCAATGTCTTTTTGTCATGCAATTTAATTTGCACCATCATGTTAAGGAATAAAGTTATATAGTAAAATATTGAACTTAAATGAATGTGAAAAGACCAGATTAAAATGTTGTAGTATCCTATATAAACCCCTTATTCACTGTAAACATCTATCTATATTCACCTGTTTATTTTTATTTTCAACCTTCCAGAATGTATTGGATGGAGAGCTGTTCATCATCAAACACCTTCTGATTTTACGTGAACAAATTGCTCCTTTCCAAGCTGATTTTTCTATTAGGGAAACTTCACTTGATTTCAGTAAATTCAAAGGTAGGTATAATAATGATATGTTGCAGCTTATATTTATGTGTATATGCTATTTATTTATTTTTTATGGGAGGATATATATTGAAATTTTATACTTTGGTTGAAAATAGACTCCTTTGAAATTGATCACCAGTATACATTTAAAATTTTCATAAAGTAGGTGATTACTTTGTGTTGGTTAATATTTCTTTCTTAGGTACTAGTACATGCAGCCAGACGTTCACCTCAGTACATGGTTATATAAATGGATATATATCAGTGTGTATCACTTCTACAACTTGTAGCTACATACAACACCCATGTGGTGCTATCATCATATACACATATATGTGTTATTTTATATCAGTCACATTGTGACCAAAAATATCATCAAATAATCAACATGCACAGATGACTGGTTTAGAGTAATCATGTATTAATATGTTACAATGACTTTTTTTCTGTAGATTTCTTTAGTTTTTTGGGTTATTTTGACATGAATTATTATTTTAGATTCCTTAGAAAATACCACTAAAAACAGTTTCCTTTCAGCAGTAAAATCCATATTTGTCCAGTTTGAAACACATAGCTAAAGTACATGTGCATTTGTGGTAGTCAGGAAAACTCACAGTCTAGACATAATGTGAGGGAACAGATTCCCATAACATTACTTATACTCATCAGTCAAACAAACTAAGGCATCCAAGCTAATATGATAAACCACTTTTTGAAAGTGTTTTTTTGATGATTTCTAACTTGCTAAAATTTCTGTGCAGTTTTCTGTTTCACAAGCATTCTCATCTTAATCTGAATCAATGATCTAGTGGTTTGATGTGTATTTCTGTTTTTTATAGAATTCCTTTAAATATTAAAGCACTTTGATTCCATGAAAAAATTATCACATCTTTGTAAATTTGTAGATATGAAAATTAATATGAAGCAGAGAGTGTTACTGTACCTTTTTGAAATGCCTTTAACTCATTAAAATCCCTTTTTAAATAAACATTTTGTTATGTTCGGTATACTTTTATTTTGTTCTTTAATTTACAAAGTCAAATAAACATTCATAGTTGAGAATGTTTGGAGTTTTTATTAATACTGCTACCATGATTTATTTACTGTGCAGACCTGAGTTTATCACAAGCTGGGCATAAGTTTTTGGGTAACTATTTTCTGCTGGCTTTTTTTCACACTGGGATAATTTTCACCTCATCAAGAACAGTGTTCTCTCATTTGTCTTTAAGAGTTACTTCCTTGTCTGAATGTACAGTGCCATATACTTGCTGTCTTTTATCTCTTGTTAGCAAAGCCATGCTTTGACTTTATGATTGTCTCTTTTTTTCCATAACAAAAGTGCAGAGTTGACTGAAAACATGACATTAGTGTTAGAGCCCACAACCAGTGTTAAGATATCATATTTAGCTCTGTTTCAAAATTTTCAAATACTGCAACAGTAAAATTTAGTATATAGGTAGGTGTACAACTTAAATTAAAAGTGAGGTGGAGATTTGAAGGATGTTTGTTCCAAGTTTTTTGGGTTAAAAACAAGAAATTTTGACAGATATTGGAAATTAACTTGAAATCAAAAAAGAATTATCTTATTTAGAAAACAGATGTTTTGCTGGTTTAATAAATTTTGTTGTTCTGGATTCTTGTCTTTGGAGCCATGGTCATTTCTGATCAGTAAATTAAAGAAGGGATCAGAAAATGTGTGATACTGCAGAATATTAATGTTTTTGTGTGAAACTGGCAAAATAAAACTATCACTTTTGTCATTTGTCATAATATTGCTCTTTAAAGTCAGAAAAATAATGGGTACATGTACTTTATAATAGATAACCAACTCAGACCTATATTAAGGTAACTGATTGTCCTCTCAAGTCTGAAACACACTGAAAATACTTGATATTCTCCTCTTTACATTGTCTTGGGTTTAATGTTATTAGATTGTCTAAGTGATATCAGATATGACAAGTTTGAACACTGTATATTGATAAGCCTGTAAATTATTCCCAGTATTTCATTCTGCCTGTCTGGTGTTGTCTCCCTTTGTATGTATTATCTCCCCTTGTATTAATTATCACCACAGTTTTGTGTATTATGTCATGCTGTCTGTGCAATGTTAGCATCTTAGTTCTAGCATGGTGTAGGCTGGTGGATTGCAACTGCATCTTATATTTGTCAGTTAAGGCATGCAGTGTAAACAAAACCACTGTTAAAATTTTAGCAATCACTCATCTTATGTTACTGTGATTCATAAACATATTGTCAAAGGAAATTGTCTATGCTAAGTAACATGGCTGGAAATAGTTAAGTAGAAGCTAGACTTCAGTTAGTTTGAACATATATTAAATAACAGGTTTTGTGATGTCAATATATAAATAGAGCTTTGGTAAAGCATGCATGGAAAAATATGGACAATGCAATGTCATGTTTACATGTATTTTAAACTACTTACTTTCTTGATGCCTACTCTCCAGCTTGTTAAGTTTATCTGTATCAAGTTTGCTTTTAGTTTTGTGGGGTTTTTTCTGTTGAGAAGAACAGTTACAATAAGTAGCTCATAGTGAATATAAAGTAGATAAATAATCTATTAAGTGCATTCAGTTTCTTTTTTTCTGTAATGATACAACTTGTGTTTGTGTTTTAGGTCCACCAAGTCAGCTATCAGCTATGAATGATGAGTGTGCATGTTCAATATGTGTTCTGATAAGAAGGAAATAGAGTTCAAATGACATATTTCTGAAGTTATTTTATGACTTCTGTACATTAAGTGAATCAGTTTTATGGAAAACCTGTATGAACTTTACACATAATAATCCATTAAATCACTCTGGTTATTTAAAGCAGTCTAGTGTTGTGATGAGAAGATACTGTCTGTACCGTGTTTGTCTTGTGACTAACTAAAATGTAGTTCTTTGTTTATTGTTGGTAACTGGGTATCTGTGTTAAGATTTAACATAACAAGTCAGATGTATTTAGCATCACCATCATACTAACCCTTACAACACTTGTGTTGACGGTCTGTAACATTTCCTTTCAAAGGAAGATACATGTATTCTAATGCATTCGTTAATCAGTAAATATGAGATATTGAGTGACTTTGTCATCTTAAAACCAGTTTTGCCATATTTCACTTTACCTTATTTGGACTTTGTCATCTTAAAACCAGTTTTGCCATATTTCACTTTACCTTATTTGGACTTTGTCATCTTATAACCTGTTTTGTCCTATTTCACTTTACCTTATTGATAACCTCCAAAGAATCATTTATGTTAAGTCATAATATTTGAAAACAATTTTTCTTGGATGAAACACAATTAAATTTGGCAAAAAAAACACTGACCTTGGCCTAAGATCACTTAATCAATAACATGAAAAATATGACGAAACGAAAAAGTCAGGATAGAAGCCTGAAAGATTGCAGACACTGAATGGTTTGTAAACTTTTAGAAAAAGACGACATTTCATACACTATACTATGAATGTCACTTCTCTGTAGATTGAGATTGAATGAGAGCAAAATGGATTTGGTGGATAGTGTAGTATCATTCTCTGCAGTTGAATCCTAGCTTCAGATGCCTCCCTGTTTTTATAGTTTGACATGATGATAATAATTTCCTAAACCAATATTTCCTTATCTTCCTACAATGCCTGATAATATGATTTGATTTTCAATGTAAAAAATAAATTTCTAATTGCAGGTGCAGCATATGGTCTTGTAAACAATAAGTCCAGGCTGTTTGCTTTAAACAGCACCAATGCATTACTACAATTCATACTGGAGGTAAGATCAGCATGTATGATATATCCTAAGGTTTAGATATAGGCATGTAAAATTTAATAAAGGCATATATCATTGCTTTTATGATACAGTATGATATGGCTTATAGCATCACTAGTGATGATAAGACTTTTCCAGTAAATCTGATATAACTTTATTTATAGTTTTGATTGAGTTGACCAGTCATATCGGTAATTTCTTGTCCCAGTACTGAATTCATCAATTTTTTTGTTTAAACATTTAAAACCAATTTGTAGGTGATTAGTCAGTTAACATCTAATCCTGGACACTCCGGAGGTTATGTTCACTATCACTCTCTGTAAACCTGGAACATTTCATGGCAAAATTGAAGGCACAAGAGAAGTAATTTGATTGGTCCAGAGTAGGGCTCTGGAGAAAAAAACTGACATAGTTTCTGTGTTATTAGGTCATCTGACCCGAAGGGTCCGATGACCTATAGTCATCATGCTTCGTCCGTCGTCGTCCGCCGTGCGCCGTGCGCCGTCCGTAAACTTTTCATTCAAACGACTTCTTCTCAAATACTAGAAGGTCTAGGGGGCTAATACTTGGCACAGAGGATACTGGCATGGAGCTCTACCAAGTTTGTTCAAATGAATGACCTTGACCCATTTTAAAGGTCACAGGGGTCAAATATGTTAAAATCTTTAAACAACTTCTTCTCATTAACCAAAAGGCTCAGAGTGTAGATATTGGGCCTGTGACATGCTGGGATGAAGGGCTACCAAGTTTGTTCAAATGAATGACCTTGACCCACTTTAAAGGTCACAGGGGTCAAATATGTTAAAATCTTTAAACAACTTCTTCTCAATAACCAAAAGGCTCAGATTGCTGATATTGTGCCTGTGGCATGCTGGGATGAAGGGCTATCAAGTTTGTTTAAATGAATGACCTTGAACAACTTTCAAGGTCACAGGGGTCAAATATGTCAAAATCTTTAAATAACTTCTTCTCAAATACTAGAAGGCCTAGGGGGCTAATACTTGGCCCATAGCATGCTGGCATGGAGCCCTACCAAGTTTGTTCAAATGAATGAACTTGACCCACTTTAAAGGTCACAGGGGTCAAATATGTTAAAATCTTTAAACAACTTCTTCTCAATAACCAAAAGGCTCAGATTGCTGATATTGTGCCTGTGGCATGCTGGGATGAAGGGCTATCAAGTTTGTTTAAATGAATGACCTTGGCCCACTTTCAAGGTCACAGGGGTCAAATATGTTAAAATATACAAAGGACTTCATCTCAATAAGCAAAAGTCTATGAGTGCCGATATTGGGTCTGTAGCATGCTGGGAGGAAAGGCTACCAAGTTTATTTAAATGAATGACCTTGAACAACTTTCAAGGTCGCAGGGGTCAAATATGTCAAAATCTTTAAATAACTTCTTCTCAAATACTAGAAGGCCTAGGGGGCTAATACTTGGCCCATAGCATGCTGGCATGGAGCCCTACAAAGTTTGTTCAAATGAATGACCTTGGCCCACTTTCAAGGTCACAGGGGTCAAATATGTTAAAATATATAAAGGACTTCATCTCAATAAGCAAAAGTCTATGAGTGCCGATATTGGTTCTGTAGCATGCTGGGAGGAAAGGCTACCAAGTTTATTCAAATGAATGACCTCAACCCACTTTCAAGGTCACAGGGGTCAAATATGTTAAAATCTTTAAACAACTTCTTCTCATTAACCAAAAGGCTCAGAGTGTAGATATTGGGCCTGTGACATGCTGGGATGAAGGACTACCAAGTTTGTTCAAGTGAATGACCTTGACCCACTTTAAAGGTCACAGGGGTCAAATATGTTAAAATCTTTAAACAACTTCTTCTCAATAACCAAAAGGCTCAGATTGCTGATATTGTGCCTGTGGCATGCTGGGATGAAGGGCTATCAAGTTTGTTTAAATGAATGACCTTGAACAACTTTCAAGGTCACAGGGGTCAAATATGTCAAAATCTTTAAATAACTTCTTCTCAAATACTAGAAGGCCTAGGGGGCTAATACTTGGCCCATAGCATGCTGGCATGGAGCCCTACAAAGTTTGTTCAAATGAATGACCTTGGCCCACTTTCAAGGTCACAGGGGTCAAATATGTTAAAATATACAAAGGACTTCATCTCAATAAGCAAAAGTCTATGAGTGCCGATATTGGGTCTGTAGCATGCTGGGAGGAAAGGCTACCAAGTTTATTTAAATGAATGACCTTGAACAACTTTCAAGGTCGCAGGGGTCAAATATGTCAAAATCTTTAAATAACTTCTTCTCAAATACTAGAAGGCCTAGGGGGCTAATACTTGGCCCATAGCATGCTGGCATGGAGCCCTACAAAGTTTGTTCAAATGAATGACCTTGGCCCACTTTCAAGGTCACAGGGGTCAAATATGTTAAAATATACAAAGGACTTCATCTCAATAAGCAAAAGTCTATGAGTGCCGATATTGGGTCTGTAGCATGCTGGGAGGAAAGGCTACCAAGTTTATTCAAATGAATGACCTCAACCCACTTTCAAGGTCACAGGGGTCAAATATGTTAAAATATACAAACGACTTCTTCTCAACAAGCAAAAGTCCATGAGTGCTGATATTGGGCCTGTAAGATGCTTGGAGGAGAGGCTACCAAGTTTGTTCAAATGAATGACCTCAACCCACTTTCTAGGTTTGGCTTGCTTTTTGTCAGATGACCGTTAAGGCCCATGGGCCTCTTGTTTAACATGTACTCATGTCATATTTACATAACTATAGTCCTGACCTATTGTAACATTGTAAAATAGAGTTGAGACAACATTACATGATGCCATTAAGGAGGAAAATGTCTTCAAGGCTGACATACAAAGACAGGTCTTCTACTAAATGTCCATGTAAATGTGTTTATTACCAAGAGATGAAAAATATCTTCCAAAAGGTTTTGTTTCATAAAAATTTGAAGAATTTGATTAAAAGTTTTACTTTTAGCTCAACAGATGCAGATTACTATGACACATTCTTATACTTGTTTCATAAATCTTCTTGGACCATGAAAAGTCATGATAAATCACATATGATCTGAAAAGTCTGATATATAATTAATGCATATTTTCTCGTGAAATTGTGAAGAAATAATGGGCAAAATGATGCAAAATTGATTTTGCAGGGAACGCCACAAGTGACTGAATATTTTGTTGATTCCAAGAGAGATGTTGATCAGCAATTGAAGAAAAGTTGTGAAGATTTCATACACCATGTTACTGGGCTGTTTACAGAACCACTTCAGACATTTCTGTCCAGGGTACGTATGTATGATATTGTAAATTGATCCTCTACAGAAATGCAATATAATCATTTAGTAGCATGAGGTACTTGTGATCATAGATATTAGTATAATCATGTGAATGATGTTTTCAGGCTGTGTAGATATTAGTATAATCATGTAAATGATGTTTTCAGGCGAGTGTAGTTATTAGTATGAAGACGGAGGAGCCGACCAGAAATGTAACACTACGACAACAGCCCTTTGCCACGCCAGAGAAGTTACATGATGTCATAGCAGAGACATATCGCAATCTCAAGACACGTCTCCCCACAGTCCAACGATCTATGGCTCTGTACTTGGCCAACAGAGACACAGAGGTCATTCTCTTCAAGCCAGTTAAGGTAGATCATGATAGATCACTATGAAATTTTGCATCCATTAAAAAAAAAAAACTATTAGCATTAAAAGTCATTCTTTTCAGTTGGAAAAAAGTTTCAGATATCGTCAATTTTATGTTGACGTCAAACCTTTTACATTAAAAGTAAGGGTCCTAGATCAAATGCTGTCAGTTGTATGGCCATAAGAATAATGAAGAGATATTTGTTGTTTCTAAATTTTGCTGATTGTTTGACCGATGTCTTTGGGAGACATAGCCTAATCACTCACATAGCCTTCAAACTTTTTCATGTATATGTTTTTGCCTTGAAGGTAAACATTCAGCAAACATTTCAACAAGTGGACAAGATTTTGGCTGATTATTACACAGAGGAGGACAGACAGATTGTGGCCTCTCCCAGCTCTGAACAGGTACAAATATAGTGTTGCTCAACTCCAAACAGGTGGTATAGATCATTACCTCTCCCAGCTCTGAACAGGTGCAAAAGTAGTGTTGCTTAGCTTCAAACAGGTGAGTAGATCATAAGCTTTCCCAGCTCTGAACAGGTACACAAACTTGTGTTGCTCATCTCCAAACAGGTGGTATATATAGATCATAGCCTCCCCCAACTGTGAACAAGCTATAACTATAATATTACCTTGTGGTAACAAGTGATGTAGATCATAACCTCTCCTTACCTCTCAATAAGTACAACTGTAATATTACTGGTAACTTTTATTGTAAAATTACCTAGCTCTGATCAGGTAAGATTTGTGTAGTGTGTCTGGTTGCATGATTGTAGACTTACCTAGATCTGAACAGGTAAGAAAAGTATAACATGTCCAGCTTCAAACAGGTAACACTGATTGTAGACTTACCTAGATCTGAACAGGTAAGATAAGTATAACATGTCCAGCTTCAAACAGGTAACACTGATTGTAGACTTACCTAGATCTGAACAGGTAAGATAAGTATAGCAAGTCCAGCTTCAAACAGGTAACACTGATTGTAGACTTACCTAGATCTGAACAGGTAAGATAAGTATAACATGTCCAGCTTCAAACAGGTAACACTGATTGTAGACTTACCTAGATCTGAACAGGTAAGATAAGTATAAAATGTTCAGCTTCAAACAGGTAACTCTTATTGTAGACCCTGTTTACTGGATGCATTCTTGCCTCACTACAGCACTAATACATTGTTTGATTTTGTTTCAGATTAATTTATTGCTATCAACATCCAAGTCCTGAGGAGTGTAGGAACAGTGTTAATATCTGTGATACCAGTCCCCTATAGACACTACTACAAAGTCTGGCGATCCCCAGGCATCTTATCATTATAGGGACATTTTCATGTGATTTGTTGTTATGATGTCAGGTCTCTCAGTTATGGTTCACAACTGTAAGCAATAAGTTTTACTTACAGTAGTCTAATTAGGTAGTGTGTAAACCACATTTTTCAGAATTTTTTACTGTAGACATTATAGAAGGCTTAATTTCATTCAAATTGTGAGGGATAAAACTTGAACAGAGGATAATAATTATTGAAGGAAAGAAATAACATGATTATGTAAATTAAGTCAAACTTGTGCTGGAAGTCAACAGGATATGTTATCACAAACAGATACAAGAGAAGAATTTGCTGGAACACATAAACAATCTTAATTAAAATGGGGTTTTGGTGTTATCAGAATTCAACATGATAAAGCTTCACTGCATTTACTTTTCTAAATTTTTCCCTGATCAACACAACATGTGAAAGGAAAAGAAATATTTTTGTCATAATTGCCATTGACGCCTAATATGGAAAAGGTGGGTTATTATGTTGAATGTAATTAATACCTAATAGTACCCAGATGTGTTAATTACATTGTTTATTATTTGGGTTATTTTGTGTAAATTTACATAATAGTAACCAGAGGTGATAATTTTTTTTATTTTCTTTTGAATTTTTTTTTTTTTTCATGTAGATTTATATATATATATATGGCGTTATGTTTATGATCATATCAGTACACAATACTGTAAGGTATAAGGACTATAGATATTCATATTTATGACTGACCTATTGACGTGATGTGCAATACATGAATCATGGGGACGGAGTATGTTGTGAGGACTGTATAACAAGAATTGTTTGATGTGGAGGAAACTTTATTATTGTCATAGCTAAGTAAATCTTGAAACACTTTTTCTTCAGGTATTTATTTTGCATGATAGGTTTACCATCCTAATCTCGACATGACTAGAAATTATATTTACTTTAGAAAAGCAATATCTACTGATGTTTAAAGGTCATCTGACCCAAAAGGTCATGGTAACCAATAGCCTTTGTGCTTCGTCTGTCGTCATCCGCCGTGAATAAACTTTTGACATTTTAAACTTCATCTTAAGTTCCACCAGTTGGATTGATCTCCAACTTGCATGAAATGATCCCGAGATGGTCCTGACTAAGTGTTGTTATTTTTCTGGATGGTCTGAAATCCAAGATAGAAGCCATCTTGAAAAAAACATATTTTAAACTATTTCCAGTTCCCCTGGTGCCATTGGGCTAAAAACTTGTGGGAATGTTAAAGAAAGGTAGCCAATAAAGTGTTGTTATTTTTCGTCAAAACTTTGACATGGAAGCAAGGGAGGTAATTCTCTAACATGATTGTGCAATCATAGTTTTCCTTTGCAACACTAATTTCAAAATTTCACCAGTAGCATTGAACTCCAACTTTACAGTCAAAATGTAGGTAAGGCTTCTTACAATTACCTATTGCTCACCAAACCTACCATCTTCATCATGGAAAACAGCTTGTAAGTAAGTTTTCATTCAAAGAAGAAAAAATAACCCTTCTCCCTACTGAAATTTTTTGTAGTCAGATGACCGTTAAGGCCCTTAGGCCTCTTGTTTTAATAGTGAGGGAGGTTATTTTGATGGAAATTATGTTTTTTCATTTAATATATGAGTATTGTTGATTTAAACGTAAAGATGGTACATTGTAATACAGATGGTCTAGCACTGTAAATGAAACTCTAGCTGAGGAAAGATATGGTTATATTAGAGGGATGTATATGTGTGCAATGATAAGGCCTTTGTGATTGTGCTATAACTTACATTGTATAGAATGATGTATGAAAACTTAGTTTTGCTTGCTTATTTATATGATTTGCTTGTAACTGAGGAAGTTGATACCTGGTGATTATTTCAGATAATTCCACTTGTAAGAAAATTAGAGTCTACATCCGTACACTATTACTGCAACACACCTTTTATCATGTGTGTTGTCAAATGTTAATAAGAAATTCCAAATACAATAGCAGAATTTAATTACAAATAAATCAATTATTACAGACATGCTAAGGATTGTAAACAATAATATGTTATCATACTTTAGCTTTTGGTGCATAAGAACATGTAAATTATTTATCATTAATCAGTTACTGGTTAAGTATATTGTTTCTTGTTACAAATATTAAATGTGTACAAATCCATTCATGTCATTAATTGGTTGGGATGCAATAGATTTTAGCACACCAAGGAATTATCCTGGATCAAGGTCTGTCCTTTATTTGTTAGGTTTGTGTGATTGAGTTTTAAGTAGAACAGGCTCTTGGACGGACCAAAATATCAAGGTTTTTATATATATGTTACTTATGTGATGGTCTGAGTGTATTATTTACTATCTAGCAGCTGTTACTGTATAGTTTTCACTGGGTAAATTTTATACTTGGAAAATTAAAGATAATGTGATGGAAACAACATTTTAGTTGTGCAGTTTGTACTGTCACTGCTAAACTAACATACATGTACATGTATGTTATTTACTGTGCCTGTGTTAGTCATGTGTTCTAACAGTAGTTTGTTCATGGGTTCATGAATGAAATATTTACACTTCCTTTTTTAAATATATTTTAACTGCTACCTACGAATTTTTGGAATATTGTGTTGTGGCTGTGAGTGAGAAAGGTGATTTCATTTTCCCACAGCAGGATTTCTAAAAAATGTCAACCTCACAACAAGAGACATATATACTGCAGTTGTGAAGTAATACATATGTTGTACCTACCAGGTATTGGGGCTACATTGGGATGAATTCCTTTTGCACATCCTGACAAAGAGGGATCACTCCCAACCCATTTCAACCAGCACTCAATTAACTAAGAAAAAGAATAAACATTTGTCCTAATTTGCCCAAAACACTACTATATTGATACACTTATGGAGACAGATGCCCAGAACACTACTATATTGATACACTTATGGAGACAGATGCCCAGAACACTGCTCTATTGATACACATATGGAGACAGATGCCCAGAACACTACTATATTGATACACTTATGGAGACAGATGCCCAGAACACTACTCTATTGGTACACATATGGAGACAGATGCTCAGAACACTAGTATATTGGTACACATATGGAGACAGATGCCCAGAACACTAGTATATTGGTACACATATGGAGACAGATGCTCAGAACACTAGTATATTGGTACACATATGGAGACAGATGCCCAGAACACTAGTATATTGGTACACATATGGAGACAGATGCCCAGAACACTACTATATTGATACACTTATGGAGACAGATGCCCAGAACACTACTGTATTGGTACACATATGGCGACAGATGCCCAGAACACTACTATATTGGTACACATATGGAGACGGATGCCCAGAACACTAATATATTGGTACACTTATGGAGACAGATGCCCAGAACACTAATATATTGGTACACTTATGGAGACAGATGCCCAGAACACTACTGTATTGGTATACATATGGCGACAGATGCCTAGAACACTACTATATTGATACACTTATGGAGACAGATGCCCAGAACACTACTATATTGATACACATATGGCGACAGATGCCCAGAACACTACTATATTGATACACATTAGGAGACAGATGCCCAGAACACTACTATATTGGTACACATATGGAGACAGATGCCCAGAACACTACTCAACACTATTCAGACTGTCCTTCTTAACTTGTAACCTACATTGCATTCAAAGCTATTGCCGATAATTTTTGACATTATGTCATTTCACTAGTTCTAGTGTGCAATATACTGGAGGGTTGTTACATTCGTTAATTGTTAGTACACTACTTTAGTACATTTATTGCTTTTGATTTTTATCCCTATGTCCACATGTTCTGTACGTTTCCAGAACTAGCTAGTACCTATTAATAAATTTTCTGTTAATAGCTGTCATTATTCAAGATATTTTTCTAACGTGCGTTATGTTGAGAAATATTTGTAAAGAATGCAAGTTGACACACCAGAAAAGAACAAAGTGACCAAAATATTATATTTTGACAGCACCTTTATTCAGTTCTCTCTAAAAAACAATGTACTGACTAAACAACCTGACACATGATAGAATAGCTCAATAGCTGGTTCTCTATTAGGTAGGAGAGGTCAACTACACAATTAAACAGAAAATAGTTCCACAATATAACACTGTCATTCCATTTATAGACGTTGATTCATTTGTATCTGGCGCCAATGATATTCCATGTATAGACGTTGATCCATTTGTATCTGGCGCCACTGCCATTCCATTTGTACATGTTGATCCATTTGTATCTGGCACCACTGATATTCCATTTATAAACGTTGATCCATTTGTATCTGGCGCCATTGATATTCCATATATGAACTTTTATCCATTTATATATGGCACCACTGATATTCCATTTATAGACGTTGATTTATTTGTATCTGGCGCCATTGATATTCCATATATGAACTTTTATCCATTTATATATGGCACCACTGATATTCCATTTATAGACGTTGATCCATTTGTATCTGGCGCCACTGCCATTCCATTTGTACATGTTGATCCATTTGTATCTGGCACCACTGATATTCCATTTATAAACGTTGATCCATTTGTATCTGGCGCCATTGATATTCCATATATGAACTTTTATCCATTTATATATGGCACCACTGATATTCCATTTATAGACGTTGATCTATTTGTATCTGGCCCTACTGATATTCCATTTATAGACGTTGATCCATTTGTATCTGGTGCCACTGATATTCCGTGTATAGACGTTGATCCATTTGTATCTGGCCCCACTGATATTCCATTTATAGACGTTGATCCATTTGTATATGGCCCTACTGATATTCCATTTATAGACGTTGATCTATTTGTATCTGGCGCCACTGTCATTCCATTTGTACACGTTGATCCATTTGTATTTGGCACCACTGATATTCCATTTATAGACGTTGATCCATTTGTATCTGGTGCCATTGATATTCCGTGTATAGACGTTGATCCATTTGTATCTGGCCCCACTGATATTCCATTTATAGACGTTGATCCATTTGTATATGGCCCTACTGATATTCCATTTATAGACGTTGATCTATTTGTATCTGGCCCCACTGATATTCCATTTATAGACGTTGATCCATTTGTATCTGGCGCCACTGATATTCCATTTATAGACGTTGATCTATTTGTATCTGGCCCTACTGATATTCCGTTTATAGACGTTGATCCATTTGTATCTGGCGCCACTGATATTCCATTTATAGACGTTGATCCATCTGTATCTGGCGCCACTGTCATTCCATTTGTACACGTTGATCCATTTGTATTTGGCACCACTGATATTCCATTTATAGACGTTGATCCATTTGTATCTGGTGCCACTGATATTCCGTGTATAGACGTTGATCCATTTGTATCTGGCCCCACTGATATTACATTTATAGACGTTGATTTATCTGTATCTGGCGCCACTGTCATTCCATTTGTACACGTTGATCCATTTGTATTTGGCACCACTGATATTCCATATATAGACGTTGATCTATTTGTATCTGGCCCTACTGATATTCCGTTTATAGACGTTGATCCATTTGTATCTGGCGCCACTGATATTCCATTTATAGACGTTGATCCATCTGTATCTGGCGCCACTGTCATTCCATTTGTACACGTTGATCCATTTGTATTTGGCACCACTGATATTCCATTTATAGACGTTGATCCATTTGTATCTGGTGCCACTGATATTCCGTGTATAGACGTTGATCCATTTGTATCTGGCCCCACTGATATTCCATTTATAGACGTTGATCCATTTGTATATGGCCCTACTGATATTCCATTTATAGACGTTGATCTATTTGTATCTGGCCCCACTGATATTCCATTTATAGACGTTGATCCATTTGTATCTGGCGCCACTGATATTCCATTTATAGACGTTGATCTATTTGTATCTGGCCCTACTGATATTCCGTTTATAGACGTTGATCCATTTGTATCTGGCGCCACTGATATTCCATTTATAGACGTTGATCCATCTGTATCTGGCGCCACTGTCATTCCATTTGTACACGTTGATCCATTTGTATTTGGCACCACTGATATTCCATTTATAGACGTTGATCCATTTGTATCTGGTGCCACTGATATTCCGTGTATAGACGTTGATCCATTTGTATCTGGCCCCACTGATATTCCATTTATAGACGTTGATTTATCTGTATCTGGCGCCACTGTCATTCCATTTGTACACGTTGATCCATTTGTAGGAGAGGTCAACTACACAATTAAACAGAAAATAGTTCCACAATATAACACTGTCATTCCATTTATAGACGTTGATTCATTTGTATCTGGCGCCAATGATATTCCATGTATAGACGTTGATCCATTTGTATCTGGCGCCACTGCCATTCCATTTGTACATGTTGATCCATTTGTATCTGGCACCACTGATATTCCATTTATAGACGTTGATCCATTTGTATCTGGCGCCATTGATATTCCATATATGAACATTTATCCATTTATATATGGCACCACTGATATTCCATTTATAGACGTTGATCTATTTGTATCTGGCCCTACTGATATTCCGTTTATAGACGTTGATCCATTTGTATCTGGCGCCACTGATATTCCATTTATAGACGTTGATCCATCTGTATCTGGCGCCACTGTCATTCCATTTGTACACGTTGATCCATTTGTATTTGGCACCACTGATATTCCATTTATAGACGTTGATCCATTTGTATCTGGTGCCACTGATATTCCGTGTATAGACGTTGATCCATTTGTATCTGGCCCCACTGATATTCCATTTATAGACGTTGATCCATTTGTATATGGCCCTACTGATATTCCATTTATAGACGTTGATCTATTTGTATCTGGCCCCACTGATATTCCATTTATAGACGTTGATCCATTTGTATCTGGCGCCACTGATATTCCATTTATAGACGTTGATCTATTTGTATCTGGCCCTACTGATATTCCGTTTATAGACGTTGATCCATTTGTATCTGGCGCCACTGATATTCCATTTATAGACGTTGATCCATCTGTATCTGGCGCCACTGTCATTCCATTTGTACACGTTGATCCATTTGTATTTGGCACCACTGATATTCCATTTATAGACGTTGATCCATTTGTATCTGGTGCCACTGATATTCCGTGTATAGACGTTGATCCATTTGTATCTGGCCCCACTGATATTCCATTTATAGACGTTGATCCATCTGTATCTGGCGCCACTGTCATTCCATTTGTACACGTTGATCCATTTGTATTTGGCCCCACTGATATTCCATTTATAGACGTTGATCCATTTGTATTTGGCACCACTGATATTCCATTTATAGACGTTGATCCATTTGTATCTGGCGTCACTGATATTCCATATATAGACGTTGATCCATTTGTATCTGGCGCCATTGATATTCCATGTATGAACATTTATCCATTTATATATGGCACCACTGATATTCCTTTTATAGACGTTGATCTATTTGTATCTGGCCCTACTGATATTCCATGTATGAACATTTATCCATTTATATATGGCACCACTGATATTCCTTTTATAGACGTTGATCTATTTGTATCTGGCCCTACTGATATTCCGTTTATAGACGTTGATCCATTTGTATCTGGCGCCACTGATATTCCATTTATAGACGTTGATCCATCTGTATCTGGCGCCACTGTCATTCCATTTGTACACGTTGATCCATTTGTATTTGGCACCACTGATATTCCATTTATAGACGTTGATCCATTTGTATCTGGTGCCACTGATATTCCGTGTATAGACGTTGATCCATTTGTATCTGGCCCCACTGATATTCCATTTATAGACGTTGATCCATTTGTATATGGCCCTACTGATATTCCATTTATAGACGTTGATCTATTTGTATCTGGCGCCACTGATATTCCATTTATAGACGTTGATCCATTTGTATCTGGCCCCACTGATATTCCATTTATAGACGTTGATCCATTTGTATCTGGCCCCACTGATATTCCATTTATAGAAGTTGATCCATTTGTATCTGGCGTCACTGATATTCCATATATAGACGTTGATCCATTTGTAACTGGCACCACTGATATTCCATTTATAGACGTTGATCCATTTGTATCTGGCGCCACTGATATTCCATTTATAGACGTTGATCCATTTGTATCTGGCGTCACTGATATTCCATTTATAGACGTTGATCCATTTGTATCTGGCGCCACTGATATTCCATTTATAGAAGTTGAACCATTTGTATCTGGCGCCACTGATATTCCATATATAGACGTTGATCCATATGTATCTGGCGTCACTGATATTTCATATGTAGATATTGATCCATTTGTATCTGGCCCCACTGATATTCCATTTATAGAAGTTGATCCATTTGTATCTGGCGTCACTGATATTCCATATATAGGCGTTGATCCATTTGTAACTGGCACCACTGATATTCCATTTATAGACGTTGATCCATTTGTATCTGGCGCCACTGATATTCCATTTATAGACGTTGATCCATTTGTATCTGGCGTCACTGATATTCCATTTATAGACGTTGATCCATTTGTATCTGGCGCCACTGATATTCCATTTATAGAAGTTGAACCATTTGTATCTGGCGCCACTGATATTCCATATATAGACGTTGATCCATTTGTATCTGGCGCCACTGTCATTCCATTTGTACACGTTGATCCATTTGTATTTGGCACCACTGATATTCCATTTAGAGACGTTGATCCATTTGTATCTGGCGCCACTGATATTCCATTTAGTGACGTTGATCCATTTGTATCTGGTGCCACTGATATTCCATTTATAGACGTTGATCCATTTGTTTCTGGCGCCAGTGATGTTGCATTTATAGACGTTGATCCATTTATATCTGGCGTCACTGATATTCCATATATGAACGTTTATCCATTTGTATCTGGCGCCACTGTCATTCTGTACACTGTACACGTTGATCCATTTGCATCTGGCGTCACTGATATTCCATTTATAGACGTTGATCCATTTGTATCTGGCGCCACTGGTATTTTATTTGCGGCGGTCACCATTTTGAGACACAATTTGAAAATTGTTATGTGATGCTTGGCTTTGTGTGACGCAAAAGATTTTCTCTCAGACTGTTCTGTTTTAAAGATCTTGACTCGTACTCTTCTCCCGATATAACCTGGAATACATAAATAACAATCATTGCAGCTGTAGTGGTACATCTTGTAACTTATCTCACAAAGAAAATCAAAATAATCTGGAATATACACGATAGGATATTACCATTTCTGGAGGGCAGACAGAGATTTGACAGAATTCGGCGAAAAAATTACCTTCTAGATGCGCATGGAGCCGGTGTGACCGTTGGCATAGTGTTATAATGATGAAATATCTTGTGATTTATGTACTGAAAATTGTGGATTATATTCAAATACTGTTGATGTATATTCTTAAAAAATATTCAAATTATGAATCTAGTGATCTTTATTAGTAACAGCAAAAACAAAAGTGATGTAATGTATAATAAATACATGTACTGTGTTTTATCTTCTTAATCTGGTATTTCATTATGTAAATCTGTTTATATACGAATATAAACAACATAGATCACATTTGATGTAGAATAACTTAACTTCACACGTACAAATTCAAACCACTATTTGATAATCAACAGCTATGGAGCCCCAAAAGTCATGACACGTCTCACATGTTGCATATAATTGGCATGATTAACTAACCTTGTAGATGCACAGAGGTGTAAAGGTTCCTGAGCCAGACTCAAACCTCGCACACAATCTCATATCCGTCCCCCTTGCACCCGTGTTCACTTTTCCCGTCCACAGTGAGGAGTTGGAGTCCGATTTTTCCAGATGGAACCAGCCGCCACTTGTTACTACAGCGACGTCATGAGCCTCGTTTAGCTGTAAAGAAAACTTCACCTCAGATTTGGCGGGAATTTGACCGGAGAGTGGCGAGTGAAGACAGAAATTCATCGGTACATCATGTGTTCTGCTTGGAAATGGTGCCCAGTTTGCACATGGAACCTCCGCTAAGATTATAGCATTGTGCCAACAAGTTGTTAAACCTTCCGATGTCTCCACGTAGAGCGACAAGAGGTAGGTTCCTATCCTAGGCAGCAGCACTGTACATGACAGAAGATTATCGTCCAAATTGCACTTTGTGTACACTGTCATGTCCATACAGTCCTTTCCCAGAAGTCGTAACTGTATGAAGCTATTTGCGATTTGTTCATGGTTGAATACAGGCTGAAGAACGACCTCGCCTGTTACGGGTGCTGTTGAGAATGGCGTGAGCCACTCTTTCTGGTCAAATTCTGCAACCAAACCTGCCGTGGTGGTACCAAGCTTGTTATTTGGGAATCCCGGAGGAAGAGTAACATTTGATGTTTGACTCCTAAAATCAAGCAAATATGAGCAGACGGAAACGGGAGAGTTACTAATTTTCCTACAAATGTTCAACACGTACTGTCCAGGACCTGGGGAATGTATAAGGAAGTGGGCAAGACCATCCGATGTCCAGAAAAATACATAGCGATTTAAAACTTCCTCGAATTGCTCACCTCCTCTCAGTGTTATCGATAACTCTTCACTTTCACATCTGCTTGTCATACGGAACTTCAGATGCAAGGAAGAGGCTTCACAGACAATAGATGAATCAAAACAGTTAGCAGGTGATAGGCCTGCCGTCAATGTGTCGGCACCCGGTCCCCACTGGTATCGTCCTTGAGATGTCGACGGGAAAAATGTTACGTCCCCCGAGAGCTTTTCGCAGTGCAATTTATACGAGCACAGATGCATGCATTTGTATGGGATTTCAAGGATATCCAGTCCATATATTGCAAGTACATACTCACCAGTATGAGGAGGAACGACACGAATCACTAACTCAGATATTTCAGATATTCGAGTTTCTATGAATGTACTAGAACAGTTTTTCGGTAGACTTATTTGCACAGGATTTCCCTGAAATAGAAGTTTCGCTTCAAAGAGGAGTTGGTTCCGCTCTGGGTAACGTAAAAGCACCATGACCTCGTTTTTGTTGCAAACTATTTCGTACCTGTCGTGGCTATGGAGCTGGAGGTTGTAGTGGAAGAAGTGTGGCGTCAACAGCACCATTTCGTTCCACTCTTTCCTACTTACAGGTCGACTTAACTGTTGCCAATAACGTTTCTGTGGTAGATGTGTTTGGATGAAACACAAAGGACTCACGAGCCACGAGGTACAAAATGATGGTCGATACGCCTTCCACAAATGTTTTTCGTCCCGAAATACGCTTCGTCTCGTGGTATCTATGTATTTCCAGATATCGTTTAGCAGTACGGCTGACCAGACCGACTGAATTGGCTTCTCTTTCGTCTTGTCAACTACGTCAAGTTTGTGATAACCGCTGACGGTCGCTGTTGGTATATCCATGGACCTATAACATTGTGTAAGACTCATTTATCAACTGTCACCCACCGTATTTTTATCATTAAAGCTTTGGACATTTGGGGGATTTCTGAACAAAAGAAGGGAAGTTGTGTATCATTTATCATTGATATACAATCACGTCAAACTGGTTTATATTATCAATGGTATATCTAATCTGCGACTTGTGTTTCTTACCTGCATACATGATTGAAAACATGTACTCGTAATACGTCCTCTTCGACCAATTCATTCATCAGCTCTCCAACCAGATCCTCTAGTTCAGCTCTCTGCGCGAATTGGACCAATGAAAACACACACCGTATAATGGCTTCTTTATCCGAACACGACGTCTGGATTTGCGCGAGAATGTCCTTCAGGTTGACGTTGTCCTGGAAACAGATCAATGTACAGTGTAGTTATTCATGTCTTTTTCTTGTGATTTTTACATCGTAATTCAGAATCCAAACACAATTCGGCGGAAACAGGCTTTAGTATGAAGGTCCATTGTTATACATGTAGAGTGCACATGTAAATGAAGACGTCCCGCCATCACTCAAATGGAAAGAGTATGTATGCGCTGCTGAAAGCTGAAGGTACTGAAGCTGGTAGTAATACCATGGTTACATAGAAAAGGAGTTAACATGGAAAACAAAAACTGTCTGGTGGGTTTGGTATGAAGCATTCACCGTCTGATACATTTATAGATGGTGATATAAGACGGTACTCCTTGAACGGAAATTAAAAGGCTATCTCACAAGCACAGTGGCTTAAAGGCCATTTCTTGAGCTATCATACTATACCAGAAAGGGCAAATACAATGCTTCCATAAACAGTCCATTGAATCAAACATGGGGGCATCTCATTAACGAGGGACAGAGCCTCGAACGCTCAACTTAAAGGTCAAAAGTTCAACTACATGCCCAAGCCCAGCTGGTCGGACAGCTGTAGGGAGAAGAGTGGTTTCTCAGATAATGCAGTTGAGTACATCATTTAATCGTTATATGTATATTGTAAGACGTCAAAAAATCATATCGAATTATCCCAAAACCTCCCCGACCATGTCTCTATATGAATCACTTGAAAGTCATTGAACTTAACTTACTTTGATCGACCTTGCTTTCAGACTGGATACGACGGCCTCAATCCCGCACTCAACCACCGTCTCCGGTGCTATGTACGGATGTGGTAGCACACGGCCGAAGTCGTCACGAGGAGGGACAATCCTGCTTTCCTCCCATGCCTCCTGAGCTGCACGCAACACCTTCGGAGTTGGAAAACTATTAAATAATCCATTCTGTTTATGACTTGATTTTTCAATCGCAGCTAAGTATTCTCCTGCGATGTCAAACTCACAACTATCCACCAAATCCTCCAACGTTTTTGCTGTGTTTTCAACATCTTGAGAGACGTCAGTGTTTTCGATCTCTGTCGTGTCCGACATGTCTACTTCATTTCTCTCTTTCACAACAAAATCCAATAACTCATTGATCAAATATTCAACAATATCCTGTCCAATACTATTATCTGCACGTGGTGTGCAATTCTCATCAGACTCTACCGATGTGACGTCATCGGTGTCGTCATCAACATCGTCCGAGTTTGTGGTTGATTCAGGCGTATTGTCGTCATAGATAGAATCAAACTTCTGAATTACATTACGATGTTGCTGCTTTGATGAATATAAACCCACATACGCAGTGTTGATCGGAGGAACAACTTGTTCTATAACGACACCCTTTTCCCGACAAATAAAATCAGACCACGTGACTTCTGTACCCCCTGTGGCAGCAATTTCCACGACTTGACGATGTTGTATCGGTACGTTCTGGCTGAGGGTGTCTTCGTCGATCAGTTCTCCAGCAGTGCTGTCATTATCCGGGGTCGGCGTTGGATCACGCACCTGTAGTATTGACACAAAGACATGAAAGATATACGGCATGCAAGAATACGTCCCATATCTCCACATTTATTGCATACATCATACATATTTTAGTAAATACTATGAATAAGACTGGACGAGAGCATTGATTGTGGAACTAATACATTTCAAGGGAAACCATTGACATGATTATAGATCCCGGGTCTGCTCCTACTTCATAATGATCGCCTTACATAGCGATGCGGGGGGTAGCAAAGGTATGAAATTCCTAATCGATAAGGCAGGTTCGCGCCATCTATCGGTTGCCATAAGTTCGGATTTGATTCGGTGACGATTAACTCCTTAATGTCAAAAGTCTCCTATAACAAGAATCAGTCACGTGTAGCGTACAATTTGTGGGTTATAAAAACTCGTGATGTGTGTTCAGCTTGATTTACCAATGACATTGAAAGGAGAATGGTTAGCTGGCCTCCAACATATTTTAATATTGAACACTTAAGCCTGGATTCCAAAGGCAAAGAAGCAAAATAAGAGAATGTCGATCTTCAAATCACAGAATATTGATTAGTGTAGCAGTTTCCGTCTCCCAATATGTCACTTTTTTCGTCCGTTCATCATAATAGCGGGATGCCGTTAGAATCTTACGGCCAATGATAATTCCATAATTATTTTAGATGTCTTTCCTCTTTTACCACTATATCCTTGTATAAATATGACATGTACTTACCACTGTAAGAATTCATAGATAGACAAGTTCCCGCAGTGTGTCTTGTAAGTCCCGTTGCCGTGCTAATTAATATAGTTACAATATGGTAATTAATGGGAGATGGTGTTTGATGTATCAGTGGCCTATTGTGTATTGGTGACAACAAGGGGTCGAAGTGGTTAGTTATGATAACATCAGGGACCTGACACAATAATACCGGATAGAATTATTAATATTAAAGTATTTAAAATACATATGGACATTTAGTTAATAACTATATATTATATCACCCGTTCCCTGTGAACTAATAAAGCAGGTAAGTATAATTAAATGTCTGTGTTTTTCAGTAATTAAAGAAACTTCCCCGGCACAATTACCAAAATATTTGTAACTTATCTGTGTTTTATTCAGCAATGCATGAATAGATTTTATCATATTTCTGTGTAGTCATAATCAATGTAAAGAAATGTTCACGACCCGATTTTTATTCGATTATCTTTTGTCCTATCTAACTGCATTTTATTGGATTACAGTTTTTAATTGTGTTTTAATTACTTTACAGAGCACTGTCCACACCAAATATGGTACGTAATACAAGCTGCCGTGACCATGCTTATATGCGAATGAGATTTTAGAGGTCCGTGTAGATACGGGTACACGCACGTGTCATGAAAACTTCAGCAGTTATAAAGATTTTGACCAGGATTTGGTTACGGGCACCTGTTGTATATATAATATCAATATATATTGGTGGTGTGTGTGTGTGTGTGTGTGTGTGTGTGTGTGTGTGTGTGTGTGTGTGTGTGTGTGTGTGTGTGTGTGTGTGTGCGTGTGTGTGTGTGTGTGTGTGTGTGTAGGTGTGTGTGTGTGTGTGTGTGTGTGTGTGTGTGTGTGCGTGTGCGTGTGCGTACACAGAATACGACCAGAACATCTGTCCTGGTTATTTGACGAAAACGTAAACATTGGCTATCGTGTTCATTTCTTTTTTTTTGTACATATCAGAATGTGTAACTATTAGGAATAAAACAGACCCAAGCAGAAAGCTGCTTACCTGTTGTCGGTGAAGCTTGACCACACCCAGAGCACCTGTTCCACATACACGTGATGCCGATGACCCCATCCTATCCGGATTAAAATACACAGTGTCTATATCAACTAATCCTTAACCTCAAGCAATGTAGCAATATCAATCGGCCATTAAATATGATGCGTTTCACTTGAGTTGAATTACTATTAATTACTTCTGAAATCAATTACTTTGTTTACATATAACTCCATCTCTCGTCTCGATCAAATAAACTCATTCGATATAAACACATTTTCTGCATGCACCACTAGCCATGTCCAGTAAAAATCACGTATCGCAGTACGCCAGGAGGTATGTAATAACGCCATGTTTTATTTAAAGATCCCAACACGAGCCTTTATTAATTTCTTTGGCCAATAAAACAAAAGATACGTGTACATTGTACTGGTGTTTGTGAAATACAATGTGTGTGAACCTGAAGGCAGACGATACCTCTAGAATTACATTCGAGTGTCGTATATGTGTGTACCTGTAGTCAGCTTTAGATTAAGTATAAGTCGTCCACCTGTAACAGTTCTTGTCAAGTAGAGACGAGATAGCCAAAGACAATGGGTCAGTAAACCAGAACATGTGATACACGTGGTCTTTCATATCGATATATTGTGGTTCTGTCAATTCGACTGATTCACAGCGTAAAAACAATTGTAACACGTTCATGAAAAACCCATAGGCGTGATGGTTTAGACATCAAGCGTGCAAAGTACTGTTCGGCAAGTGTATTTCACCAATTTTTTACTGAACAACAACAGCCAAGTTTCTTAATTCAAGTTTTACGTGTGTCTCGAAGTTATGCTTATACGTTAAATTTGTTTCTGAAGACCTTTTAGTTTACCGGGAATACTTTTTCAGTTTTAATGTATTTAAACAATCACTAATGACCTCGAAAGAGGAAATAGATACGTTTCGTGATGAATGCACACTTGGACATTGTCCGTTTAGAGTTTATCAATGAACTTGCTTCACTAGGTAATTTTACTCTGCTTCAACTATCAACAATATGATTTTTCAATGTTATGTTTTAGACGAAAAACTGCAAGTTGTAGAAGCAGTGTCGAAATCGACCGAAAGTTATGGGACCAAAAAACTGTAAGTGTTCCAGAAATTATAAGATAAATTTTAAACAAGTTGAAACGTTAGAAAGTCTAATCGATGCTGATTATACCACCGTATCTTCATTCTGTCGAGGACATTGCCTACCAGATGATAGTTTTCTTTAACAAATTCCTTAAGATCATTCATCGCGTAACCCCTCAGTAAGTTTCAAGTTCCACCACTGGTATTCAGTTGAATATTGCCTAAAATGATCCCGAGATGGTCCTTAGACATCAAAATACAAAACTGTAAAGTCTGAGTTGGGACGCCGACGGAACAGAATTATAGCTCACGGGTGTCTGTGATGGTCGTGTTTCTGCGGTAAGTGTTTCGGTACGATAGTGAAACAGAGATCATTCTCGATTTCAATGCTTTAGAGTGGATTCGAACCGGGGACATCAGCCTTACTAGCCAGACGTCCCGAAACCGATTTAGCTCGATCGGTTGAGCGCCAGACCAGTAGTCAATGGATTCCGGGTTTGAAAATTAGCGGAGGTAATAATGACTTCTGTTATACTATCATGACTTGACGGGAAAAGGTGAATATGTATATCTCTCCTGATTATCATTTTCTTTACCGATATACAAATGAGGATATTGTTGTAAATCAAAGAGGTTTGACGCCTTTATAATTAGTTGAGAGGAAGATGTTACTTATATTTTATATAATGATGTTCAAATGCCATATGGCGAAACAAGATATCAATTTTTAATACGTGTGATTCATTTTTCAATTTACACCTCATCACTTTAGATATTATCCGGATTTTCTTGACTGTCAATTTCTGATTTTAGACGCAATACTGAAACATCCGGTTTACAATTTGTTAAGAGTTTCAGATGCTGAAGGAAGAAATATACTAGAATAAGTCGTATACACCATGGACGCTCATGTAAGTAAACTACTTAAAAGTGAACGATAAATAAATGTTATATGATGGATAAACCCAGACGCACTCGTGGTACCATCGAACCGGTTGGGCTCAATCCCGCATTTAGGTACTACTTTATCAGCCTACATTTGAAGGATAGTTTCAACAGTGACAAGTCCTAATAAATTAGTTACTTAAATGTAAGAACGTTGGAAGTAGAAGCACATAATTCCTTTTTAATATTTGCAACAAAAAAACGTCATATAAGATAAATAATGATAATATTTTTGACAAATAACCAATGCGACAAAGTACATTTCCACACAAAAGTGAATCATTCGGTTGTGTGTGTTTTTTTTAATTACAAACTTTAACACCTCCGTTGCATATAATGTTGTTGAAGATAAAACAAAGGTAGATTCGGGCTCACCTATATATGACATTTACATAAAATGTACCAAATTGCTATACATTGTAGTCCGTGATATATCAAGTGTCTTTCTTGTGTGAATATATGTATACTCACTCTGGCTAGTAGAACTTTCCCTTTGTGGAGTGGTAGAGTGTCCGGCCAGAGGCAGAAGGGTTACTAGTTCAAACCCCATCAGAGATAAGGTGTTTTTCATTTTTCCTTCCTATTTTGATCTGGTCACAGTACCAAATTTGTAATAAGAAGGAGTAATGAAAAAACTCTACCACCGCAGGGGTTCGAAATAGCAACCGTTTGGTCTCTAGCCTCACACTCTACTGCTTTACTAAATGGAAATTCCCACTAGACGAGACTAGTAAGGCAATCTGTACTCTCAACTTTTTTTTATATAGAACTTTATGTTTCTATTTTACATGATCCTGCATTTGAGTAACTGATTGATTACTAAAAGAAGTAACTATCCCTCTGATGCAGAACTATTATCCATATGCAGGTTTGTGTCAGACCTGCTTGTTGAATTTTTTTTATACTATGCACTGATCAGCATTTATCAGAGTAACATTTTGTCTTTAGTGTGGAGTTTTTGTTTTATAACATTTTTACTGTTTCAATAGTCACAAGAAGTTTATCTGAAGAAACGACTTCAGGGCTTTCTTGGAGAGATGCTAAAAATGGGTACTCTTAAAGGCTTCAAACACTTCGCAACTTACATGAGAGGAAGAGAGGAGATGGTGATCAGCATTGTAAATGAACCACAGGTATGAAACTATCACTTGTTTCAGCATTGTAAATTTATGTGCTTATACAAGTCACAGGCAATTGAATTATTCTATATTAATTTATTCATACATGTATCTGCTGATGCTATTGACATTGAATTTTTCATGAATGTTTAGTCAATCGATTAGACATTCATTCTCAGCTAAAATTTGCAGTTTAAGCAAATTCAACCCACATAGGACTTAAACACAGAAGTCATAACATTGTTTGATTGGATGTAATATCCACTTCCCAGAGTAGCTAGATTCCTAATAAAGATATATTTTATACTTTAGATGCAATCAAAATGTTTTGTACTAGCAACATTTATCTAACAAAAAAGATTGAAAAAGGCAGTTAGTATGATATCTAATGTGATCATGATCTGCACTCACATTCCATTAACTTCATTCTACCTGATGTAGCTGAGTAAAGTATATGTGATAGATCAAGACAACATTTAAGTCAGATTGGGCAAAGACATTGTGAGGAAAATGTTTGAAATGAACCAGATTTTTTTTGTCAAAGTCAACTAAGCATAGGAAGTGAATAGATTTTCATGTAGTTTATATTACTTTTGCATGCATTATATTAATTCTGAGAAATTGATAATGTAGAATGTTTTTATTGACAGACCACCCATCACACATATGTGTCAGAGTCTAGTGGAACAGGCTTCAGCTCTCCAGACAGAAGTGGTAGTCTCACTTCACAAAACCTACCTTATGATAAGTGAGTGAAATCCGTCAACAAGCTTTAAGTCATGTATTTTAAAATTTATGTATATAAGAATAATAGCATAGCACATTATCTTTTGGTCAGGTATAGGGGAGGTGTAGACGAGTACCCGAAAACTTGTAATCTAAATAGAAATATAATTAACTTTCATTTTATTTTTCAGTTCAATTATTCACCTTTCTATTGAAAACAGTGTTGTATCTATTATTATTTGTTGAGGGTGAGTTATTTTTAAAATTTTAAATTAGAACAATTTTCAAATGTCAAAGAAACCTGTAATGGTGGGAATTTGTTTTAGACGGTCCTTGCTCATCTCAATGCGATCACAGATGAATCTGAGTACAGCTCCCACAGGTATTGGCTTGCCTCCAGCTTCACCCAGTGATCAGGAAACACAGATTGGAGTAAGTTGTGCAGCTTGTCTTGAAAATAAATTTGCAAATAATGAAGTTTCAACAAAAAAAGATAATATTAATGATAGTCAAACTAATTTTTATTGCAAAAGGAGCTTACTCTAGAATTGTTATTTTGCATATACTTGTTTGTGAACAGAGAGCATTGCACAAGCAAATTGAGCATAATATCAGGCTACCCTGCTGACTAAATATTAGAGTTTGGCCTCCAAACCACCAAATTATACTGACAAGATGTTAGAATTTGACCTCCTGCTGAATTATTTTAAACATTAAACTAAATGCACAGACCATTTAGCTCTTGTTCAACATTTTGATGCCATTATCAAATAAAGTTTAACAATCCTGTCTGTCATTTACATCCACCAAACTCTAATTACTTATGAATCAGTACTATTAGAAAAATGGCCAGTTTTCGTTAAAATCAAATGCTGTCATCTTTTACACTGTTATAATTATGAAGTAAGTATTGTCAGTGTTTCTTTGAAGGGAGAGAACTCCACTCTGTTCTTGGTGGCAGGCTATGCTCGATACTGTTGTCCCTATGTGTGGGTAAGATCCAACCATGAACGACTGATCAAGCTGACAGGTGACTCTGCTAATGACAAGGATTGCCCACTCAAGCTCAAGACTACTGTTGGCTGGAACAACTCAGGTATACACTACAGACAAGAAAACTTGTCGCATATGTATGTACAGCAGTGTGTTTTAACTCAGGGAAAACAAATAGATAGCTCTCAGCTGTATGAATTACAGTGTAATACCAGAGTAGCTTGTCTCAGTTTTCTAAATAAGCATTTTCCTTACTATGGAAAAAAATTATGAAAATATTTTAATAGGTTATTTTCTGCCTAGTTGTGTGGTGATTTAATACAAGGGAGGCAACTCCTTTGAATCATCCTTTAAGCATCCCAGGTCCAGGTCTGAAAATCCAAGTCTGTAGAAAAAAAGATAAAAAAAGAAAATGACAGTATCATTTGTAAGAAAAGTTAATACATATATGTTAATGCAACTTTAAAAACATCTCAGCTGTTTTTTAACAACAAAAGCAACAAAAGCTAAATGGTTATAACTGTCTGAAGTAAATACAGCAGTGATTTAATATTGATTGAAATATTCTACTTAAATAACATTTTATTGATTTTATGTCATTTGTTGTTGTAGATTTTAATGTGTGGGATATTGTGGCTGAGCTGGTGAAGCTGTGTTGTTATCCTGCTCCTACTAACCCATATGAGATTGACTTTGACTACTTTGATAACCTTACCCTACCTGAACAAGTGCTGTCAACAGCTGCCATGTGTAACTTTCTACAGAAGGTCCTTGTCCATGTACCAGATGATAAAGCATACATAAGTAAAGGTAAGTATTTAGGGGATCTAGAACATAAATCGAAACTGTGATGAGCATTTGAAGAAAACAGACTTAAATATTTAAATGGCCCACCAAGTGAGAACTTATTGGTCATCCAGACAACTACTACTGACTACAACCAAACCACATACAGGATATACATGTTGATAAAGATACTTTTATATTTCTACAGCATGTAATTTATGTTAACGTGATGAACAGTGTAATAATTTTCTATATCATTATTTGAAAAATACAAGTGTGGCTATGATCATTATAAGAGAAATAATTGAAAACTAGAGAAAAAAGTGAAATCAAAACTTCTGATTTTTTTTCCACACTTGAGTTATCTACCCTGACATCTGAAAATGAATTAGAACACTTCTTTAATAGATCAGAACTTACAAAATTTGTAGAAAATAAATTCTCATTCAATGCTTCACAAATAAAATTGTTTATAAATGCAATATTTTGGTTGCCATGGCAACTTTAAAATGAGAGAAAGAAATTATTTTGCTATGAAATTTTAACAAATAAGCTTTTTCAGATTCCTATTATATATTCTGGTGGTTGACTAAACTGGTTATTTTGTTATACAAACCTTTTTTTTATTCAATGAAATATGGGCAAATAAAAATGAAATTTTCTAATTTTAACAACATGAAATATCGAAAAAGCAAGCTGGTAACCAGGGCAACAACCATGAATCAATACATTTCCTTTAGATTTCTACTCCAGTAGTTCACAATAATATGAAGTGCAGAAATATTTTTATATACTCACTCCCATGATTGAAAATATTTGCTAACAATACAAAATTAATATTTTCAGCTATTCAAAATTCTGGTTGCTATGGTAATGTCATTATTCGTAAAATATTATTTTTGTCAAAAGATTTAAGAGTTAAGATGGTAAATGTATTACACTCAGCAAGTAATGACTTTTGAAATATAGAAAGTAGGATGTTTAAAAATCTATATTGGCTAGCTGGAAAATTGCCGTGTGCTTATGTGATAGTTACCTAGAAATATTTAACAATCCATGGTACCATTTAGGCAAACATGTGGCTGTGTCATTCATATTGACCCTGTCACATCAAAACAACCAGGTGATTACACTAACATTTCAATCACATCTCTTATTTGATTAAACAAAAACATGAATGATCTCTGACTTTAAAGACGAAGTATTTGTCAACTGATGCATTTCATTACCTGTACTGTCGTTTGATGAAATGTTTGTAAAATACTGCAAAATAGTGAACATGAAATAAATAATTTTTTTCTTTGATAAATACAAGATAAAGTATTGTGACATATTTTCTTTCAGTATTTGAAGAGATCCAGATTCTTTCAAAGTTGCACTTCAGTGCATTACAGAAGCTTGCCAAATCCGGGGGCATACCTATACTTAATCAACACTTGCAGGCTTCCAGTCGCCGACAGCACAGGACAAGCGGCTCATCAGCATCTTCACGGCAGAGATACCCTAGTAGTGGAGGAAACTATTGGGGTGGGCAACAGGCTCCGACCCGAGGGCACACCTTCAGTCAGTACTGATGAATGGATGGGCAGCAGGCTCTTGTTTGAGGGTATATCTTCAGTCTGTACTGAGGGATGGGCACGTGGGCAGGCAGCAGACTCCTGCCTGAGTGTACACCTTCAGTCAGTACTGAAGAACAGGCAGGCAGCAGACTCCTGTCTTTGATTACAACTTCAGTCAGTACTTAAGGATGGTGGAGGCAGGGGTGGACAGGCAGCAGGCTCCTGTCTGAGGATACAACTTCAGTCAGTAATGTAGGAGGGGGGAGAGGAAGGGATGGACAGGCAGTAGGCTCTTGTCTGAGGGTACAACTTCAGTTAGTAATGTAGGATGGGGGAGAGGAAGGGATGAACAGGCAACAGGCTCTTGTCTGAGTGTACACCTTCAATCAATACCGAAGGATGGATGGGCATCAGGCTTTTCTCTGAGTGTACAACTTAAGTCTGAGCTGAAGGATAGACAAAATCTGCATTATGGGGATGAAGAGACTGTGCTAATTATAGATTGTCTTGGTGGATTTTGTTCAGAGAGAGAGATTAAGAAATATACATGTTGTTCTTCTATGCAGGCTTATTTTCATGGCGTCTACATGTATAAATCAGTACTTGTTCTCAGTATAATTACATTGTAAGTCAATAAAGAGATTCTATGCTAGATATAGCTATTACATCAGGTGTAAGTAGGCGTGCTTTGTGTTCTGTAATATAACTGTCATATTGAATGTTTATAGCAATAAACAGCTACCATGCACAATATACAGTGCAGGTATAAGTGTAATTAAAAACCCTGGCTTAAAGTGTCTACACACTCAGAATCTTGCTTTTGAATCAGTCCTTTAACCAATCTTTTCTCCAGTTAAATGCCATTAAGACGAGTGAAGAAATTTCTGTCACATGGTATCTCTATACTTTGAAAAGTTGCTGTAATAACAAAGTAGATTAGGACTGAAGTATACATCTTTTTACTGTATTTTTTCCAGTGTATTTCGTCTCTGGATTGTACAGATTTTTAGCAGTCAATAAATATTTCTTGTTTGCTTTCATATAAAGATCATACATGTAATTAGTAACTCTCACAGAAATATAATTTTCTCCTTGATTTTAATTTGGATTGTTACGTGTATGTTAATTTCTTGGCTTTAATTTCAATCTTCTTTTCCATAATCACGTATATATGGTATAACAGTAAAAAAATTGTAATCAACATAAGGATTTTAATGTGAAAGTTGAGGTGTTTTACATTCATTTAATGAAATTTGTTAGTATTCTTTGTGTTGTTACATGTCCTTTCACACTTTGTGGAGGCATTGTGATGTATATCTAGAGGACAGTGATACAGATTTATATATAGATGGGATATGTAAACATGAAATATCAATTAGATAAAATGTCTATTTTGTTGGCATATTTGAGCCTGTCGGCTCCTTTCAGGGATATATACTTATATATGTAACAGTGTCTGTTATATTGATTTCTCTATTGCAAATTGTATGTTAAATAATGGTTTGAAAATGGTGTATGTGTATGGTATCATGAAATGTATAATCATCCTATTTGGTATTTAGTCTAAGGTTTAAAAAAAATGTGTTTATGTTTATAGAATAATCATTATATAACAAGTTATATTTGTGAATGATAATGATGAGTTTATGGAAGCTTGTTAGTGTTGGTGGCTAAGAATTGTGTTTGACAGATCAATTATTGTGATGGCTGGGAATCATTTTGATTCCAAATTATTGCTGTATATCAGCCTACAATGTTTCTAAAACATGGTACAAATACTGGGATCAGGTATTGTAAATGTTGAATGTCTAATTATCTGACATATCAAATTTTTAATTTGTTTAAGTGGTTATTGTAACATAGAAATACCAGTTGATGATGTGTTTGAGGTTTTGTGATAAATGCCGTGGTAATTAATATTTGACATGTCTAATTTAACAAGATATTCCACAAGTTGCTCTTAAACTTCACCATCTAGTGTCAGTTATAAAATGGTGACAAAAACATACAAACATATTTTACCTGTAGATTAGTGTTTAAAAAGAGTTTGAATGTTCAAAAGAGATAGAGGAATAATGATTTTATATTAGTTATACAGAAACTGTGTATATTTGAAATTTATATCGTACTCTGTATTCTTTATTTGAAAGTTTGAGGTATTCTGACATGTAAGTCCTAAGATGTGTAGAATGTTGAACAGCCTATATATCTACACAAGATTGATTTCATTGTTATCATTCTGGTATTTCTGGAAAAAAAAAATTCATGCATCAATATTGATGAGGGATGTTTTTTCTTAATTCATGGTTTTTTCTTTCTGTGTTTCGTTTTACGTTTTCAGTGAGGTTATACTGAATTGTTCGTTTTTGTGCAATCTTTGTAGACAAGTGGCAAGGTGATGCCATTTTGAATGTAGGACACATATTTTAGTCTCTTGTTGGTGGCTTAAAAGCAAGAAACTTATTAGTAAATTACTGTGTATACATGCATGTTATATTCTGCTATTTTTGGGGTTTTTATTTTCGGGTGAAATATTAATGTTAGTTTATTATTTTTTAAATAAAATTAAGATCAAATGAAGAAATCGATTTAAAGCTTTTATATTGACAACCAAGTGTGTTTACATGTAGGAAATTCCTGTGAAAACTTTCAATATTATTTTGAAGCAATGGGTACAGATAAACCACTGGTTTATATAGGTCATATGAGAATTCCAAATGGAATTAGAAAACACTTTATCTGTTCAAAAAAGACTTTGTTAAGCTGTGTTTACTAAAGAAAGATAAACTTAGATTTTGAAAATTGTCATACCTGATCTCCTGATTTCTATTCAGTATCCTCACTATTTCCTCAAGTTTCTCACGAACAGGATTATTGAATCTTCTGTATAAATTTACAATATGCTTTATAGCTATTTTGGTAAAGATATTTCTATTCTGTAATTTTGTGCATCTTTCATTGTTTCAAACAATATAATTTTTGCTGAAATTTTCTGCTTGAATGCAGCTCTCTGTGACAATGAATCTTTCTGCTGTATTTTATTCAGTGATTTTGTCGTACAGTGTACAACAAATGTAACTGAGATTTTTTTAGTGTGAAATGCTGACTTTATTGTAGTAGTAATGTGTATAAATCTTTATACCCTGAACATGATATGTGCTGATATTTAAAGATCTTGCAAATAACTTTGATGTGATGATGAATATACAATTGATGACCAATTTATTGTATGAAAAATACAAGATGTAGAATGTGATGACAAATAAATTTCATTAATATCTGCCTTTGTTTCTTTTTCTTATTAACAAAATTGAAGGGGAAGAAGGATTCAAATCCTTCAGATGTTGCAAGTTTCTAAGCAAGTTTTTTGAAGCAGTTCCTGATCACTAACATCAACATCAAGATTATTGCATAGTTTAAGCATTAATACAAATTAATACAAATAGCTGTCAGTTTATCAAACCATGTATTTCATCTTTCACTTCTGGTGACCAAAAGGTTAATTAGACTTTGTTCAAAAAAAGTCTAGGTGTATAATATCTGAATTTTTCCAGCAAGGTTTTTTAAGGTAATGGCGATGTTATGGACCAAGGTTTAATATGGAATGTTGCTAATATGTTGATTCATATTTTTTTCAAATTTGTAAGTTCAAAAAGAGGCTAAATGGACAGACTTTTGAAATTTTTTCAGCAAGTGTTTCATAAAATTTCTTCACTATCAAGTACAAGTAGTGGTCAGGAGTGAAAGCTGAAAAATATATATCTCATATTGTTGATTATCCAAACAGGTTGCCTGGGAGAAAACGAAAAATAAATACAGGACCTAGTTATATCTTGTATTAGTCTCATAGTTTATGGTGACACGTAATTAAGGTAGTATGACACTTACATAAAACATGTCATCAATAGGTGAGCTACTTTCTCAGATCATCACATCATATGTTTTGTCATTATGTCCTTGGGATGGAGTACAGAAATATATCCCCATTTATGTCCTTGGTATACTTGATAGTTTTAAAACTTATTCCAGAGTTGAGCAGCACATAATTTATACAAAAATACCTTAAATGGGACATCCTAGTCTTCTTGTAATTTCTATTACACGCAATTACTTTTCAAAAACATCACATTGTGATTCGAATACCAGAGGTACATTTCATTTGCAAGTTTCTTTATACTGTGCTAATTAAATTCCGGAATCGGGATAATTCCTATTTTATTGTTGCCTTTCAAAATTATCTCCCTTGGCACACTTCTTGTCGATTAGCCAATCAAAATTCACCATATACTTACTTTTCCTTAACAGCATACTTTGTTTCAATATGGCGACTGATGGTCTGAAAACAACCTGTTGCGGAGCAATTTTACGTTGGTGCGGGTATAGATGGACATGACCGTCGTTTACGTGAATTGAACCGCAATTTCCTTAGCTGTTATAACAAAATAAACGTAAGTATGCAGCTCCCGCGTAGAAATAATTCTGTTTTATACGCTCTCAACATCATTTAAATATTTGTTTTTCAAAACAACTTAGCACAGGCCTAGAAAACACATGATTTATTATGACATGCATTTGTCAGACCTCGACACATTCTAGTATCCTTTATCTAACCTCGCTAAAAGGATAACTGAACGATTCTTACATGTTTAATATACCAGGAACGAAGACGCTATGCCGATATTTATGTTTTATTTTATTGTAACGTAATGAATTGTTTCATAAATTGCACAGACCTCATACGATTTATCTGTTATATGACAATATTTTAAAATATAACGTTTACACTGTATTGTATTCATTTTGAATAAATGATTAATCTTGTTATTTATTTAATTTCATCTCATAAAATTAAAACAGATTTTTTTTTCATCAGTTGCAGATTAAAAATGTGAAGTGGTTTTAGCCAAACAGAATAACAGGAGATTTGTTGTTGTGAATGGCCGTACCATGGGAGATAAATATGGCTCCGATGTGTACCTGCCGATGCCAGTCAACAGAGACCAGCTTGGTCAAAGGAAGGTGGAGAAGATTCAACGAGAGATTGAAAGATTGGAAAAAGAGCAGGTGAACAAGAAAGAGTTGATTGAGAGACTCAGTCGTTTACAACAAAATGAAGACAGACAGAAGGAAATACAAAACAATGTCTTAGTAAGTGTCCACAAGGCAACATACCAATTAAAACTCAAAGTGATGGGATGAGCTCATTGAAGGACTCATTTTAAGTTATATGGTATAATGTTTAAACTTTAATCACTTGACTAAAAGTCTATGATTTATATTAATTCATTTAAAATCTCTTGGTACTTCACCATCCTGATTACACTTCATATCATGTAGATGTGGTTCTGGAAAACTCTATCTAGAACAAGAGCAATCATCGTGTATTTCTTAACTTGATTTTTTAAGTGATCATGCATATGTAATTATAATTATCTAATGGAAAAAAATGTGAGCTGGTTGATTTTGCTCAATCAGATTGTTTTTCATTTCCAGAAAAAAAAGTTGATTGATAAAACTTCATCCTTGCATTTTTTTATCCCAATTTTATTTTTCTTCATTTTGCAGAATCGACACAACAAAGACCAACTTTTATTGGCAGAGAAGGAGCGTACACATGGCAGGGACAGTGTTGCAAGCATAAAAAATGGTCTGTTTGATAAACTAATTTAACATTAAATTACTGGTTAATATTATCAACACTGAACACCTATGTTAGACAATTTTTTTCCATCATATTTGGTGAGCTTTCAATATGTCTGACTTTTTTTGAATGAATAAAGATTGTTATCAACTATGTGAAAATGATAGTAGACAATTCAAATTGCATTTTGTTTTTCACTTTTTTCAAGTATTCTTAATGGAATGTGCACATTTATTGATTAATATAGGTGTCCTATAAGTTTGCAACATCGTGTCTTTCAACAAGTCAACTAATTACAAAGATCTGTCTATACAAATGTATATTTCAATGTTGTTACAGGTGAAAATATAGATAGTGTCATCGCTCAGAGAACAAAGGAATATTCAAGGCAACAGAATGCAGTAGAATTAGAAGCAAGGTAATTGTCTACATTATACAATGTATATATAAATTTGCAAAAGTTACTTCTAACCTTTGGTAAATCATGGAGCTGGCACCCCATTCAAGTATAGCAAGTATATGCAGCTTTGCCTGTTTCCTTTGGTCAGTGCATTTTTCCCTACTTACATGTGCTGAATAATTATGTACACAATCAAGTGACTATGTCTTCCCATGAGTAAACAGCTGCAAGACTATTATTCCAAATGAAGTTAACCCAATAAGTTTTGAAATGATACACCAGACCATTTATATGTTATTGCATTTAATCACAGTGGACCAGAAATGTGGGCTATTTTTAATATACTATTTACATCAGATGACTTTTGAAGGAAATTCACAAGATAAAATATACATTTTTTGGGCAAATTCCATATGAAACCATGTGAAAGAAGATATAAAAAATTAAGAAACAGTTAAATATTGTGTGCAAAGTAATAGGTTTTCATTCAATTATACAATTACCGACAAGTACAGAGTACTGGTCATGAACATCATCGGTGGATCCCTAATCAAAGATAAGAAAGTCAGAGGAGGTAAGGATACATCAGGGTGGAAGTTAACATGACATCTAAAGATGTAACACCTATTTAGTCTGATGTCTACTCATGAAATAGTGATCAGGATTTAAATTAGAATGAATGCAATTTCTTGCTCTTGAGGTCAAAGATGATCAAAATGACTAAGTAGTGATATGAAGCATAAGTGGTTATGTTTTCATGATAAATCATGATTCTATAATAAAGTCTGTACAAGAAAAGTCTTAAGATCAAATAATATCATTATGAGATTCACTATTCAGCCCCTTCTTATATTGTAACCTGTCTAGCAAGTCTCAAGTCCATACTTTAAACATTGACTGATGTTCTGGGAAAAGTCAGGTAGACTAACAAATGTGCTTGCCTGAATGTACACAGGAAATTAAGTAGAGTTATGTACCCTCAATGTTGTTGAACAGGGGATATCCTGTATAATAAATGCTGGAAAATACTGAAATTAAAATAAAATGATTTGACCTTTTCAGTGAAATTATTACAGGAGTGACCTTTGTCAGACATTTGTGAATTATGAGTCGGATTATTGATTCTGAATGATATTTTTGCTATTGAGAAGAGCACAATAGTAGATACAAATATTTTGTAGCTTCTGTAGATTATCAGAATCATATTGTACCAGTATATAATTATGTAAATTGTGCATTGCAAATGTAGCTGATACCTAACTATATCTTATAAAAGTTAGTGATTACAGAATACATTTAAATTTAAGTATAGCATCTTCAGTATTTGTATTTGGTATTCTACCTGACAGATTTCTGGTCCAGGAACGAGACCGATTGCAAGCAGCCAGGGAGAAAGTGAGGGAGCAGAGACGTGCACTACAAACCATGACACCTGCGGGTAAGATTCAGAATGAACTTACAAATCCTTCTTATCATGGTCACCGTGATAAACGAGACCCTACAAAACGAAGGGGGAATATTAAACAAGCGGCTTGGGAGTTTGATGTTTTAGGATTTCTAAAGTCCTTAGGACTTTATCACCATGTGGAATCACCAGTATATGTTACTACACCTTTACCTAAGAAACGGAGAAGGAAATTCAGATATTTTCCTTGTCCTGTTCACAGACATTTCCCATGGACTTGGTGAACATGTACACATTATTCATGTTGTGCAACAACCATTATCATTCAGTAAAGTGTTTATATTGTTTACTAAGAATAGCTTATTGGTCTGTAATGTACTGTATTTATCCTGCAATAAACCAATATTTTGGTCAGAAATCCATTCATATCTATTATGTAGAAATATCAAAATAAAATGTCATTTTTCATTATTGACATGACAATGGTTCAATCCCATCCTTCCATGCTTTTTTGACTCAAGGATTATATATATGTTTTACATGGTTGGTTCATTGCTTGATAAATATGCTTGGTTAGTTGTTAGGTGAAATCTTATAAAGACAGAAACAGTGAATACAAATGTTTTGTTTTAATTTTACTACAACATTGTCAGTGAATGATGATACATAGATATGTACATTAGAGCTGTGAGTGACTAAAGTTTCCACAGTTCATGTGTCCCTAACTTTTTCTTCAATGGCTGAAAATTGTTGCCCCCAATCATTCTTGCCGAGAACTTTGTTATAAATTAAAAAAATCAAAATAATTGTATTTGCTGTTCATGACAATATTGATCACATCAGAGGTGTACTGACCTGACAATTGGGACTCTGAGTAAAGATTGGGCTTTATTTGGTTGAAATTTTGGGTGGGGGCTAATGCTTTAAACTGTAAATTGTACACCTCTGTTATTCTAAAAAAAAAAAAAAAAAAAAATTATGTTAGTATAGATTGTGTAGTTCACTTACTTATATTCTTAAAGTTATCTTTAAAGTCTTTGCATGACAGTGATTAGGGAGTATGTAAGATATATTTATTTATATGGTGTCATGCCTAATGTTTTGTTTGTCAATGTTGTATTGAATTGTTATATTGTAGCGCGACAAGGTAGAGTATATTTTGATGCAGTCTCACATTTGGTTGGATAATTTGTGAAACTCTGGTTTCCCTGATAAGTATCTTTGTACTTACATTTACTAACAATAACAAAATTTACACAACTTGTTTATGTTTTATTGTTAAAATTTTTAACAAAATATTTATCCAGTTGTTAACTTCTTCTGAAAAGATTTTGCTCCCTTGTTTTTCTGTGTGTTTGAATAAGTTTTGGTTCTGAGTAAGTTTATATACTTTTTTGTAGTTATGAGAAAACTTGCTTATTTTCCAAAATTTGCATCTCACCTTATTTATGAAATTTTAAAGAAGTATAACGTGATGGGTTTGTCTTCAATAGAAATAGATTTGTTCTTAAATGATAATTAATGAGCTGTATATTTGCAATTTGAACTTCCACATTTCATCATCAGATTCCAAAATACCTGGTTAACATCCTATACTTCAGTCGTCACACAGGGTCATGTACTAGTGTTGTCATATATGATAAAATTAGTGATAAATACTATCACTAATTTTAATATGTAAGGAATATACTTGATTATGTCCTTGTGGTCTTTGGTGAGATATTTGGACTTTGATGTACAGTAAATTATATACGAAGACAACTACTCAATCTTAGAGTATGCTTGAACCATTATATATATGTACCCATTCTTAAAACTCAAGATATAATTATTTTCAAGGGCAGTGAAAACTTACGTCTACTTGCTGACTGTAGTTACAATGCATAAATTTCTCTCACTGAATAGTAATGATAAACTTTATGAAATCAAATAATTCTAAATGTCACTGATTTTTAATAAAATGTACATAATTATAATTATATAGAAAAAGTAATGAAATAAATTGTTTTAATATTAAGATAAAACAATAGCTTATGCTACATTAAAATAACATTTCATTAAAACATGTTTTTGTTTGATGAAAAAAAGAGGGGGGAAAAACAAGAAAAATAAAAGGGCTCATCTTGTTCAGTTGGGTGTTACATATATTTTGTTAGAAAGAATGATCTCTCTAACAACATTCTGATTTATTCCACTGTGAAGATGGTGAAAAGATTTTTACTGGATAATCAGTTGTAATTATTGAATCTTGTCTGAAAACAATTTATAAGAATATTCATTGTAAATGAATAAATTGTTTGTTTATTTACTTATTGTTTGTCTTGATTTATTTTCATTATGTTGCATTGTTTCAAAGAATACATAGTAAACTGGCAGTTCTATGAGAAAATTTTCTTTCATTGACCATCTTTTTAAAAAGTGTACTCTTATTGTTGATTTTCAATTTATTTTTCTTTAACAAACACAAACAGAATCATTATGAGAACAAACAGTTCCTGCTAAAGTCACGTAAGGATCAGTTTAAACAAGATTTCCCATTTCTATAATCACAAAATACTTTCATTTAAGAACTTTTTATAACTGAATAATATATTTGATCTGTACAAATTATAGAAGAATAATATATAGTAGTGCATGTATATCCTTCAGAAGAAAATGTGAATATGTGTTAAAAACTGATAAATTGAAATCAAATATGAGTTTTTCATTTCCTATCTTAAAGTGGTTTTCATATTCAAATTGCTGCCTGCCTTTCAATGATAGAAGTTCATGCAAAGGAGTATAGATTAAAGGACCTGTTGTAACGGTCTACTGAGCACATGGAAAAGACACATCCTTTGCCTTTCATACTGTATATAATGGATGTTCCTTTGGCTGTCATTCAAGTTTACACAGTAAACATGTAAAGAACTTTTATGATGTCATGATGAAAAGACTTCATCTCAACTCCACAATATTTGTTTAAATCTTGTAGCTTTGCCAATAATTTGTTCTCATAATGATAAAAATTAAGGCCAAACAAACAGAGAAATTTTGAATGAGATGACAGTATTCAATAACTCCTAACAAATTATTTGTGTGAACAATATATATATATATTTTTTTTAATTTATTCGCCTTTAATCAATATCAACACAATAAAGTTATGTAAAGATAAATTTTAAATCAGTGCTTACCTGTAATAACTACCCTCCCATTTTACATTGAGACCACCTTTTCATTGATAGGGATAATAGCCCAGCTTTTCCTTAGGGGTGTGAAGGTAGATATTACAAATATTTTCTTTTTCAGTATTGATGTAAACCGAATGTATTTGTTTGGGTACCCTTTGACTTATATTGTGTTTGTAGTGTAGCTGTGTAGCTGTTATACATTAACTAATGCTTCTTGTTTTAACACCTGTTATGTTTCTTTTGTTACTTTTGTGATACTATTTGTGATAATGATAAACATGTATATAATAATAAACTTTCTTTATTTTACAACAGTTGCGAAGCAAGTTTTTCCAACTTATATAAATCACTCTTGTTGGCTTGGATGGAAGCATGCGAGGGGTGTTAATGTGGGAGGAAACCGAAGTACCCGGGGAAAACCCACGTGGTTGGGCAGGTGACCCCATACCTTTTCACATCCATTCCGGGAATCAAACCCCGGATGGCTAGGTGAAAGGCGAGTGTGTTACTACTGTGCCACCCAACCACCCATAAACATGTATATTATGACATGTTTAATTTTGATATGAGATGGCTTGTCATCCTATATGTCTTTCCATTATGACAATAGCAATAACTCAATATCTTACCATTTCATCCTGCTCTATGCTCAGGGGGCAAGGAGGCAAATACATCACATTTGATGGGGATGGGTTAGGTGGGTGGGGATGCCAGGACGGATATTCCAAACTACATAACCTCAGATGAAGGTCCAAGGTGTATGTATCAATGCTCTATTACTCAAAGTGGTTTGTGTTTCTCAGGAAGCTGAAAAACCCAACAGTCCATACTGATGTCATTGTGTTCTTGTGCAAGACATGTTACTCTAATTGCTCTAAATGTCTTGCGACTGTGATGTAGTCACTATCTACCTCAAAGTGACCCTGGATGTTCACAGTGCAATGAACTCAACAAAACAAACAAAACAGACCAATACAGGACAATTAAGTAGTAGTTGTTTTATTGTTAATATAAATAGATGTAGGTGTACATATACTACCAGGCATGGATTATATTTACAGCCTGGTAAACTGGTAACAAAAACAAGTTATTAACATTGAATGTCAGACCACATTGTGATATTAAATTCTGTTATGACGTGCATTTGATAATTAGATATACCATAATAGTTAGCTCATTTGTTGTCTGCACACTTTCCTTTATTAACCTGTATTTAGACTTATTGAAAAGTGACCTTTATGGTCATTTTTGAGAACTTTAAAAGAAGTCATAATTTGTCTGATGTATTTGTCTTATATGAGATACTAAAGTAGATTTATATGAATTGATATGACTTGAATTTGATTTTGTTAAAATATTAAGATTATCTTTTTTTATAAAATATAGCTTGATTTAGGAAGAAAATATGTCATTTTAAACAAATTTCTTGAAATCTCTTGAAATAATGTCGTAAAAAGTAATATTTTGTTGTTGAAAGACCAAAATAAAAGCGCAATATATCTTTCATTAAATATGATATTTTTCTTCCTATAAGTCTATAAGTAAAACTTGCAATATTTTGGCACATGTACCAGTGTTATTAATGCTCTTGACAACTGCATGGACAAAAATTCAAAATTTCAAAAACAAAATTTCACCTACCAAACATAAATAATGTCACCATTCTATGAAGTACAGAACATATTTCAGTAGGTGATTGTGAGCATGACACTTTAGATTCCTTTGGACTTTCATAATTGTATTTTAAACACAATTCACTTTCTTGTCCATAGACTCTGTGTTGAGTGCGCCTGACATTGTCCAGAGAGGAGGTGGGTCTGGGGCAAGGCCTTACTCCCGTCTCAGTGTGGCTACTCCAGAGAGAGCCGTACATAGTGTGGATGCAACCATCAAGGACACAATCAAAACTCTGCCACAGACAGTTGATAAAATCATGCGTTTGAGGTAACGTCATCCTGTCTTGTCTTCTCTGTGTTTTTACTGATTGTATTATTGATATTTTGAGATTTAATGTATAATTGAAATACTGGTAATATGATGCAGATGATGTTCTATTAGTCATTTCACATATCAAGAAAACAATTTGAAAGGAAAGGGATTTGCCAGTTTGTACCAAACCTAAAGTTTTGTAGTAACTGGAAACAGGTATTTAATTGAGTTTGCATTTGTAGTGGTCTATATGTGTTGAAGCACCTTTAAATAGATAAATCAAACCAGACTCTGAATTACAGACAGGATGTTCAGCGGCATTACGAGAAATACAAACGGCCATACCGCGGTGAGATGGGCATCCAATCTTACAAGCCACAACAAATAGAACACTACTTCCTTGTGAGTTTTACCTAACATAGATGTATTGTCTGATGCTTGAGAACTGGAACTGATCACCAGTTTTGTTATTAGTGTGAAAATCTGTGCCCTCTTATTTTTCCCATCTATAAAGTTGTTGAGATGCAAAATGACTTGATTTCCATTGTGTTTTTGCTTAGCTGGTTACTTTCCAAAATGAGAATTAACATCATTTTAAAGGAAAATTAGAAATATATTTTCTTTAAATTTCCATCCATGCTGTATTAATATCGATATATAAACAGTTATAAGATGAAAAATGATTGCTTAATGATTTGTCCACAATATTAAATTAATTTTAAATGATGAAACTTTATACTTCAAAAATTTTTCCATTGTACATGAAATATTTCAGAATCTGTCTTAATGTGAAAAACTTAACCAATATACTTGGTAACTTTCGTACACATCTTACTAATTAACTGTACTCAGGTGAGAGCCATCTTGGATGATGTAGTGACAGGATTCTTGGACTCCTACTTCAAGCCGGCCATCCCTCTAGTAGAGAAGGAAGCCTACACGTAAGTAAACATGTTCTGGAGGTAGAGCTGCCATTTCACATTCCATATTTATCAAAAATCTTTCGGATCTACTCATAATTGTCAAAAATGCCCATTAAGCATGTTTTTGCCAATATTCAGACACCATTACATACAAAAAAAATCATCCTAAACTATAATGAAAGATGAAACATGCATGACTTTCTCATCAATATAATGTCATTATACTGGATTATATAGTATTTGTGGAGAAGGAGGCAGTATAACTCATTTCACTTTTACAGTTTTAATGAATGAATTCATTGATGGGCTTCACATTCATTATTATCTAATGATAAACAATATAGAATTTACAAGTAGTCATGATTTAAGGTACCAAATGTACGGTATGATAAGGCTTGATTATGTTCACAGTACTACCTATATATTTGTAAATGATGAAATACTTACAAAAGCCTGATTCTCACTTCAGAATGACAGATGTCCAATCTTGAAAATATAGAAAATGTTGCTTGTAAGGGATTTGCATGACTTTTAGAAATCATGTACCTTGTAGAGGTAGGATTTGTGAGAGTGTGTGAAAGAAGGATTGGGAGGAGGAATGTTCACAGAGTTGCTATTTCTGTACAGGGCTTTAGTAGAAAAGGACAGCAAGGACCTGGAAAAAGCAGCCATTGCTCTGTCAGAGAGGAAGGCAGTCCAGCTCATCATGGAAGAACTTGTACTAGACGTAAGTCATCTCAGAACTAGGCCTAATTCACCATGACAACATGGCTAGGGCCTGGAGAAGTCACCATGAAATCACAGCAATGGTCTGTTTATGTCACCATGACAACATGGCTAGGGCATTGATATAAGTCCCATGACAACATGACTAGGGCCTGGATAAGTCACCATGAAGTTACAGCAATGGTCTTTTTATGTCACCATGACAACATGGCTAGGGCCTGGATAAGTCACCATGAAGTCACAGCATTGGTCTTTTTATGTCACCATGACAAAATGACTATGGTCATTATATGACATATTGACAACAATGTCAACAAGGCAACAGTCTGTAAAAATACCACTGACCAATTATCATGGAAATAAGCTTAACTTTACCTTATACTTAAGTATTATAGTGTAAAACCCTGTTTTTTTTTCATTTCAGAGATCTGTAAAGTTTTTTTCAAGTAGTTGAGGTTTTATATGCCTACTTTCTCACAAATTAGGTGCCACAAAAATAAGTGATATTATATCGTGATATGGGATTTTCTACTTTTTAAAAATCTTACTAAAAGAAATGTTTCGCATCAACAGACAAATCAGTTCTGATATGTGTTGACAGGTGACAGCTGACATGACCAAGGAGGCAGTGGATGAACAGAAACATACATATGGTATGGTCAGGAACATGGCCTTCAAGGAACTAATGAACAGGACTGAGGTAGGTCTTTATACAAAACTGCTAAAATATGGCGACAAATGCCAGAGCTGTGATGAAAACCATATATATCAAATTACGCACTTTGTGGTACAAATATATTTTATAGAAAAGGTATGAGTAGACATTGCTAAATAAGTCAGGATATTTTGTTATTGTTTTGGGTGATATAAATTGATATAACTTAAAGACTAGTGAGATCTCTTCTGCCTAAATTGTGTTTACCTATGCTAAATGAGGGTAAGTACAGAACTTCTGTATCTTATTGTATGATTGGAGGGTTAATGTGTGGTCTCCAGGAGAATCTAGAGTGTTCTTCGTGGTCTGTTACTTAGGACACATTAAGAAATTGACCTGTATTCCAGTGACAATTCTTGTAGCTACATGTGTTCTCTTTAATGGCGGTTTATATTAGCTAACTTTAGAGTCCATCTGTTTTTGACTTTATAAAAAGTGTGAAGATATGGAATGCTGAATAATACTAAACCAAATAAAATGTCTATTGAAATTTATTAAAAACAGGCTATAGTACTTGGAGAGGATCAAGGGAGACAACCCAATGATCAAGGATACAGTATGGTTACAAAGACATTCTTTGGATACCAACAACAGAGGAACAGACAGAGGTAGGGAAGAGAAGCAGTTACATATTTTTTCCATGGGAATATATCTGTTATGTTTCAATAACTGTGTTAAAACATCATACTACCATATGAAATCTTTCTCAAATTTCATTCACAGTTTCTATTTTGTCACATTCAATTTGAGAATCAATGAAAATTTTTTTTTCTTTGTATCTGTCCATCCTTCTGTCCTTCATTCTGCTGTCTTGTCAAAACTGGAACTCATATTTGGGTTATGGGTTAACCTTGGTTAGGCAGTGTGCCATGTATCATATATAGTTCATTCTCAGCTGTTGACCTAAAGCGGAGAATAAAGCTTGTTCTGCAATAATTTTACATTTGTTTAGGGATCGTAATTTACTGCATTGTCTCGTTATTTTGATCTTGACCTTAGGATGGAACTTTGGGGTCACTCTCAGCCATTCACAGTCAAGGCAGCACCACAACGCATCAGAAAGAAAAAACCTGAAAAGAAGAAGAAAGAAGAGGTGGCGGATGAAGAAGGGGAAAAGTAAGTCACTTACTCTGTATTTGTGGTGTATCAAGTTTGTCTCAATTAACATTTACAATTTACAGGGATTTGTGATTGACACATGTTTATGATGTCACTGTCACCTTGTTTTGATATTTGATTCACAACATCAAAATGCTTAACATGATTAGCTATTTTAATTTCTTCAGGTTTATTTTTTTTATTAACCTTTAAGATATGAAACAACAAAGATATAATATATTTGTAGAAAAGATAACTTTAACCTTTTTTTTTAAAAAAATTGATTTGTTTTATTAATATTTTAATATTGATAGATTTATATTTAATATTTACTTGTGTTCAGTTGTTGTATGTTAGTCATTGATTACTTGGAAAAATTAGACTCATTCGACTTATAGACTAGGCTTTTGGCTTATGTGAAATGTACAGAAGTATGCATGATCATGTCACACTACCATGTGTAACTTTAATATCAAACTGCTGTCTGTTATATCTTTCATTAGAGAGTTTCAAATTTGAAGAAGGTTGCCATCAATCAAATCAATTTTATCATTGCATTCAGCACTAACGGTTGTACAAAAATAAAATAACAAATCTCAAGGAAATATTGTTTGCTTAAGAAAAGTGGGACTACAAACATAATTATTAATTTCAGTTTTTAGATTTGAAGATTTATAGAGTTTTGTTGAATTGAGACTACCCGGTATATGGACTGACAGTTAAAATCTAAAAAAAGAGGTGTTTTTGTGACTATTGAAATTGAATCTTAAGCATTATACCTAGGTACTTATGACATCATTTTGATACCATGATCATGTTTGGGAAGAGAGGGACCTTTGAAAAATTCACACTTTATGGTTCTAAATGCAGGGTCATGCGGATATGTGTGGGGTGGGGTGCGGGGGGGGGGGGGGGGGGGGGGTCATTTACTTCTTATTTGTATTTCCTTGAATTACAAATCTACCTTTTGTACTTTAATACATAATACTAGAGGTATAAATGAAAACTTTAACAGAGCAGATACTGTTAGTATGATTAATTCACTTCACTGACACTGTTTATATTGGATGATGTATGTTTGAAGTAGGAAGTTTACATGGAAGTTGATATTTTGATATTTGAATCTTGTTGATATTTATTCTACTTTTGTGTTTTACTGCAGTACTATTCATTGATTTAGATATCAACCAGTCTTTTGAAATGATTACAGTACCATTTATACCAGAATGTTGGATATTAATTTTCTGGGTTGTCAAATGAGTAATTAAAATTGATAGTTAAATCATGTACACAGAGAAGTCTTACAAAACCTGGAGAATTCTGTTTATGTAGTTGTTATAATCTGGAATATAAGCTTACTGGACACAATGTGCTTTTAATTGAATTAAAATTCAATTAAAACAAAATAATTTAAATAAGAAAAATATCAACTTTCACTACAGCATAAATTCAATGATATATCTGGTCATTGTTGTGGTTCTGGCTAATATGTGTTACATCTTTAAATACAATGTATATCAAAATGGTTCTCCTACCCATTTACAGAATGTCTGTCTACTTTATTTGTCCTGTAATAAGCCCAGGTTGCCAACATATTACTACAGACTCAAAGTCAGGGGGTGGGCTTATCACAGATCAAGTATATTTGGTTTAATTGTTGCTTAGTTCCAGTATTAACAGCATGGGTCAGAAATCAATATTTGTTGGAAATTCTGCAAAGCTGACATAGATATATATAGGCTTTTTACAAGTTAACAAGGTCAGATATATTTAATAAATAACACACATCTACCAATGTAATGTCTTTTGGTTATGATTAAAAACATTAATATAAATTATGTATGTAAGGTTGTGAAAGGATGTCTGAATTGACACCGTAATATTGACCAGCAGACATTTTGCAAGAAGTGTGTTAAATATGTAATCACATGTTCACATCACATTTTCACCTGTTTGATGATTTGGCAGAGTGAGGCGATATTGAGGAGGAGGTAAATATTTGTCATCATAGCTAGAAATATTGTCTGGGACATCACTAAATTATCTCCCTTATTTCACAGTAAAACTGTAAGGGGAGATAATTTGATAGTCACCATTGATATTGTATGTCTTAGATGTTGCAAGAAATAGTATAAAGAAGTTATATCATTTAACTATTTAGAGGATTTAATCATCCATATTTTGAAATGTATAATGTATCGTAGCATAGTTTTTTTGTATGTCTTATTTATATTTTTGGAGATATGATAGTGCATAGATTTTATTATCTTTTAAAGAAAAGGTGGTGGAATTTTTTGCACGTGTATTTTTTTTTCTTTATTTTCACTTCATTGGTAGTATCTGAAAGAATAAGTGTCACTGATAAAAAATTAAGGGTTTATTAATATTCAATTTTCACTCAGAAAAATAAAATTTACCAATGTCAGATTTGTGATCCAAGTATATGTGTTGAAACTCAAATATTTTATTTTTGTCTCATCAGAGGCTTCTTAAACACAGACTTTCTAGATCTTGCTTGAATTTGAAACTCATTTAAGAATATCTTTATTATCAACACCCTATACAAAACATTTCAGAGGAAATCAATGCTTTCTTTATACATTTTTTTTTTCGTTAATTGGCTGTTTTGTTGCAAACTTTTAAAAAGTATACCTTTCTCTCCAACTACTACAAACAAATAAACAAACAAACAAACATCAATGATAGAAATGTAGTTCACACAGACAGTGAAATGTAGTGCACCGTGTGGAAGATTATAGAACCACAGCCATGGAGACTTGGCTGTGAGCTTGTTTGCACGCATTCACCATGCTGATATCAGGAAAGCTTTAGTGTTAGTCAGTACATGTGTTTCCTTAGCTGTTATAGATATACATGTATGGAATTCTCTTTCAGAAGCTGCGAAATGTATATATTTTTCAATCTTAATGTTTGATAAAAGTCAAGATAAAGGAGTATTCAAAACAATTAAAAATTCTTTATTATTTAAACAAAAAATGATTCTCAGACAGAAAAGGTCCTAGTTACCATGTCAGTAACATTGATACTCATGGTAGCAGTTTTAGTAACAGTGATATTATGTTACAGGGACGACGAGGAGGACCCAGACATCATAGTACTAGAATATCATCAAATCATTCCTGTAGATATTAGGGCATATGAACCTATACGCACTGACACACCAGATGTCAAACGAACTAAACGCATTTATCAAACATATATGAACAAGGAAGTGGAATATTGGTCGGTGAGTAGATAGAACCATTTCAGTGATAAACCTCTTCAGGTAAACCATAAAACAACATCTTAATTTTTTTTTTTTATCATTCTAATTTTTTTTTTAATTTCATTATTATGACAATAAAAATTTCTGAAACATTTACACGACATTTTAATGGTAAATGTTATTTGTTTTCAACAGAGGATGGAGGCCACTCTACATCGTATAGATCTGCCTAAAAGATGTGGAGGTGTACTGTCCATGGCTAGATCCCCAAATCAACGTTTTCTTGCAGTGGGAACTATCCATGGTATGGAAGTTATCACTGTCACAAGCAAAATTTTACAAATTTATGTAGATTTGAAATCTTAAACAATATTTCTTGAGTGTTAAACTCCAAGACCTGTTGTAGCAAGGTAGGGAGATTATATGACTGTACATGTGTACATATGAAAAAATGTTTGTCTTTGGTGTTTTGCTAAGGGTTAAGGTCACATATGATTCCCTCTACCCCTTTTTTTGTAATTTCAATTTTAATGTGTTTACTTTTGGTAAACTACATAACATGATACATATATTATCATACAACAAGATCACATGGACAAATTATTATTAATGATCAATCTAGACTGATTTCCATATGACCTTTTTAATTTTATTGCTGGAAACAATAGGTCCCACAATGTAAGATTAGGTTTCTACTCTCCTTTTTCACATTAACTGGTGACAAGGACTGAGAATATGAACACATTCATCAGTTATTTAAACTTTCTGAAACATGTTAACTTCACTGTTTTTCATCCTAGAATAAGCCTGTCAAAAAGATTTACTCTGTATTCTTTCCCTTTATCAGCAAAACTGGAGTGGCAGATGCAGGGGGTTGTGGTTGGAATTAATATTTCGTACACATTCTCGACCATCTACTTTTTTTAGAGAAGAAATATTTGTTTTGAGAAATCATGAAAAATGAGTTGATTCATTTTCAAATAATTTAACACTCATTTGACACATCTACTCAGTTTGAGAACTACATCAAACTTTCATTTTCACATTTCTGCACTACAGGTGAAGTTAGTGTAAGGTTGTATTTGTAATAAATTGTTGTAACTGTTACAGTGACATTAAACAGTTCATGTCATAGGGGCCTGTATCTGTTACTCATAATTATATACTGTTTACCTGTCACTGAAGTCACCTTATGATTGTTGATGAGTCACAGGGGTATTAATCTATTACTGATAATTATATACTGTTTACATGTCACTTAAAAGTCACCTTATGATTGTTGACATGTCAAAGAGGATGTATCTACTTCTGAAATTTATATACTGTTTACCTGTCACTGCAGGAACCTTATGATTGTTGTTGTATCACAGGGGCCTGTATCTATTACTGATAATTATATACTGTTTACCTGTCACTTTAAAGTCACCTTATGATTGTTGACATGTCAAAGAGGATGTATCTACTTCTGAAATTTATATACTGTTTACCTGTCACTGCAGGAACCTTATGATTGTTGTTGTATCACAGGGGCCTGTATCTATTACTGATAATTATATACTGTTTACCTGTCACTGAAGTCACCTTATGATTGTTGTTGTGTCACAGGGGCCTGTATCTATTACTGATAATTATATACTGTTTACCTGTCACTGCAGGAACCTTATGATTGTTGTTGTATCACAGGGGCCTGTATCTATTACTGATAATTATATACTGTTTTCTGTCACTGTAGAGATCTTATAATTCTTAACATGTTACAGGGGATTGTATCGTCTATGATACTTGGACAGCGCCATGGAGACCCATTAAAGTCATAGTGAACAATCAGAAAGGAAATGACGCCATTTTGTATATTGCCTGGAGTCTGGACAACTCTCGGCTCATTACAACTACTGCCTCCGTACGTATACACATTTCATCAGATCATTAGATTTCGTATTTTCAGCCCATTAACATGCATTGCAATAAGGCTATTTCACCTAAGCAGTACACCTGTAAAAATATGAAGAACTGGGAAGAGAAAATCGTTTGTAGATTGAGAAGCTTTCTGATTATAGGCACCACATGATTTCTGTGGCGTCCTGTTTTCTGTTACCATATTCAACCAAATAAGTGTTCCATTAGATGTTATAGAAGTGATCTTCATTAAAAACATTCCATTTCAAAGTTTCTAAACAGTATGTGCTGAGATATAAAACAGCAGAAAACACAAACTAAATTAAAAAAATTGTAAATTCCTGCAATATTACTTAAAGGCTCAATATATGAGTACATATATATCATATTTCTTTAAAAAATGTACAGTATTAGGCAAATAAATACTGACACAGTATTTTAGGTGAATTTTGATTGAAAAATTTCCCAAGATCTAAATTTAGGGCAGACACATCAACAGTAATTAAATACTCTTTGTCTGTATATCTTTATGTCTACATAAATGAAGAAAACTGTTTAACAAATTCATTGAGGTTGATTACATCATCTATGTCCAGGGTTTAGTCAATATATGGTCATTCTTGGGTGGAGGACTGAGGAAGGCCGACACAAAGTCACTAGGTATCCAGCCAGACTCAGATGGTCAGCTTCCTAAACAGCTGGGACTTATGTTCCAATTTGATGTAGATGAGAATGATTTCATGTTTTACCAAGGTAAGCATCACTAAGATCAGTTTTGTATTTCCCTGATAATGTTATTTATTATAGATTTCCGTATCTGCCTGCCTGATATTTAAGATCATCTTGGTCAAGGTCACTTATCTTCTGAGTAACAGAATCAAGGGTGTTAAGTTAAATCTTGATATTTCTTGGTCAAGGTGTTTGCTAGGGTCAAATATTGCCAGGGTTTTCAGATCTGCTGGAAAACAAGAGTATGGAAGATGGAAAAATTATTTAAGCATTACGAGCACATTTGTATATAAAAGCTCCAAAAATGTGCTGGAATACAGTAAATGATACAGCTTTATTTATGAAGTTAGCTATAAGGAAGGCGAGGTAGTTAAGCATGTCAGTGCACCTAGAATACATCAGTTTTACTGAAATGTAATGTATCAGTGTCATTTTCCATCATATTTCAATATTTACTATATTCTATCATATCTTGAATACAGAGTTGATGAAAGTATCTTTTGTGTTGTATATATGGAGTGTATTTTTTCTCTGTTCTACACATAACTTTTTAGTTCATAAGACACCTAAATTTTATCCTTTTAGGGCCATTTGTGGAACAGGAAACTCTAACCCAGAGCTTCACACCAACAGTCGCCTCTTTCTACCCTAGTTTTACGCTCTTTGGAATCCAGGTAAATTACTGTGCAAACCAGAAATTTCATTCTCGCATGCAAAATATACCAAATCTGTAGCAAATGCTATATTCTTTAATTAACATCTTTAGTGAGAAATTCTGCTCATGAAATGAACATAGCTTTGGTATTGTTGATTTAGGTTTTTCTATGTTAATAAAGACGTGTGTTATAATAATTATTTTTCTGTTACAGAACATGATCTGCATTGCTTTGGAGAACGGAGATGTCCTTAAAGCTGACCTGGAATATGCTCTTGGCAGCTCTGGATCAGCTGAGTTTACAGAGGCCCCGAAGATCCTCAATCAAATGAACTTTGTAAGATAGCAATTCAAGTGGGACGAGTGGAATCAGTAACTAACAAATAACAATGTGCACATTTTATAGACCTATAGGTCAGAGTGACACTACATCTACACAAAAATTGTTATTTTAGAGAAAAAGTTGTGGATAATTTTACTTAGAAATATTTTTTTACATATATTTGTCTTGTTGTTGAATTCAGTTTGTTTTATTGACATACAAGTGTTGTCACTAATCTTATGTCATATTAAAATACATTAAAAGGTTTCAGCTTCTGTAGTGAGGTGCAATTTAAGTTGAACTCCTTTTCCCCAGTTTAGTTATAAGGCTGTATGATTACACTCAGATTTTCTCAATTGCTATTTATGTTCAGAGGTGAAAGGTCAGGTCACCATTACTATAATAGAAATGGGAACATACAGCAAGAAGTATGAATGTAACTTGTAAACATGATGAATTACAACTGACATAGTAGTTCATCTTTTGCACGAGGTTCACTTCCCTTTATCAGGCCATGAAAGCAACAAAATAGACATTCAATCCTTAGAATGAAAAATGCAGTAAGAGATATGTGTATCTGAATATATGTAAAACAAAATATCCAAATTATCAAGATATCCAGTGAAGATTACGACTTTTAGTGGCATGTGATGAGTCGTATTGTTTGTAAGTCGGGACTTGTTGATTTGTCCTTAGGAGGAGCTTGAAGGTATTAATGTAATAGGGAAAGGCATTGAGGCAGAGCTACTGAGACGACATAAAACCATCATCACATTCATGGGATATGTGGACAACATCAACCGCATGGTCACTGTTGACACCGATGGTTATATCATGCTGTGGAAACTTGACAGGTAGGAACTTACCTGACACCACAGGTATAAGTTGATATGCTGGCATGGCAAGTAGGAACTTACCTGACACCACAGGTATGAGTTGATATGCTGAAATGACAGGTGGGAACTTACATGACACCACAGGTATGAGTTGATATGCTGAAATGACAGATGGGAACTTACCCAACACCACAGGTATAAATTTACATGGTGAAGCAAAAGGTAGGAACTTACCTGATATGATTACCAGGTATGAGTGTGGAAATTCAAATTAAAGGCATGTGACAGACCTCCAGTATGTTGTTCAGTGAAATACTACCAGCTATTTAAATGAGACCCCACCTCAAAGTCACACCTGACTGTTCAAGTATCAACAAAGCCAGCAGCAAATCAAACCTCCAGTAATTAATTTTTTTAATGTTCCCCAAATGAAAAGCACATAGTCATCGCTTTGTCCATCTGTTCGTCACGATTTAGTCCGGAGCATAACACAAAAACTATAAGAGATATGAACATAAACATTGTAGATAGATAGATCTTAACAAGGAGAAGTGCAGTGCACAAGAATTACCATTCTCTTTGTAGGAGTTATTGCCCTTTGTAACTGTTCATACTTAAATTTTGTCCTATTCGGAGAGCGTAACCAGTCTGAGGGCCCTTGTTTCTATAAATATGTTTTTTTCTTTTGTATACTATGCAGCAATTAACAATCATTATAATTTAGATATCTGATTAGAAGATATTGCTCTATTTCTGTACTGTAGTATGTGTATTTTGTGTATTTGACCTGCTGGTGTTTCTCTAACAGTGAGAATATGACCACAACAGGATGGTATGTTCCTGAGTTTAAATACCGGATTGCCGCATCAAAGGCCATGTACACACCAATCACCAAGGAGAAGCCAAAGGTAAGAGGTCATATCAGTAGGTTATACTTCATAGCATTAGGTTAGAGGATAGATAGTATGGTTAGAAGTTAAAGAGTAAGTAAAGAGATCATAGCATTAGGTTAGAAGACATGTCATTAGCTTAGAGAATATATCACTAGGTTAGAGGTCATAGAAATAGTTCAGAGTTCACAGCATTAGGTTAGATGACATATCATTAGGTTAGAGAATATATCACAAAGTTATAGCTCGTAGAAATAGTTCTGAGGTCATTGCATTAGGTTAGAGAATATATCACTAGGTTAGAGGTCATAGAAATAGTTCATAGTTCACAGCATTAGGTTAGAGGACAAATCATTAGCTTAGAGTTCAAATGTTTATCACGATGTATGTTGTAAATAATATTATATCAAACTGAACTATAGGAGGACAACTTTTTATTTCATGTGACAGAAATATGAGTAAGCATTGTAACACTGATTTTTACATCCCTTCAGATGATTTTCACAGACCGACTGTCACAGATGCCTGGTGAACGTCCAAGGACACTTCAAGAGATAGCCAAGCAAAGAAAGACAAGTAAATATCATAAGTCGAATTATTATTGACAATACCTTGGATATATACTGGGATATATAGTAGCTAGTTTTTGTTTTCTTCAGGAGAAATCTGTTCTGAAAATTTTTCAACATGATACACTGTCGTGTATATCGTGGTACAATAAGATGTTCTTTGAATTTAATTCTGTAAATAGGATAATGAGATCATGCTGTTTAACCTGCAGCATGCTGGAGTACATTCTAGTAAATGGTACACATTAACTTACCTTCAAGGTCAAAGAGGTCAAGTGTGGTCTAATATATCTGATTGAATATTTCCGTCGTTCTTTATCTGGCAGTGATAAGGAGTTAATAAGTTTAGTTTGGTCTACCAGACTGTAGCATTGTCACCTTCTGGTTACTTGTGTTTTTAGTTCTGTTTATTTTATTATTCAGTATTTGCTGGAATCATAGTATATTTGTTATTTTGTTTTTTAATTTTAGCACAGACCACCTTAGACAATATGCAGCTGGGTGATCCCTGGCATAAAGAAATTTTGAGGGACGACGGCCTCACAGTAAGTTTTTAACATGAATGAAAGATTTTTTTAATACGATCCATGTTCTTGTTTATGAAATTTTGCTCTGTTATTGATGAAAACTTGTACAAAAATAAATTATAAATATTGACAAATCAATATATAGAGTTGTATTAAGTATCAAGTGTTTGATTAGAATATGAGGAAATGAATGATAAAATCTCAAACCTACACCAGTTAAGGAACATAATGATGATTGACATCAAGATCCTATTAATTAGGGGTAATGCTACTGAATTTTGAAAGTTTTGTAGTATATCATCAATTGAGTTTTACTGGGAACATGTAACAGAGACAGTATTACAAATACTGTAACAGCATAGTCACATTGTAACTTTCAAATCACAGGAAGGTTATCCCCGTTCTAATTTTCATAGATTTAAACAAGCAAAAAGCATGACAATTCAGTGTCTGTTTTGTGCACAATTTCAGAAATCTGAGTTAATTTGCTCAGTATATGAGACACAATTAACTTTTTGAAACCAAGAGAAATCTAGTTGATGTTTGGAGTTCTCTATCATTCCTGACATCACTTTAATGATGTAATTGGGTCACTCGGAATCATCAACGTCATTAGAAATCATCCAAGTCAGATATTATAAAGGAAACATTTGTTGATGGTATGTCATGGTTATTTTAATCGTCCAATCAAATGCCATGACACATCTAGTATGAATTAGAATTGAGCTAGTAGGCTCAAAAAGTTGAGTTTCTTAGTTGATGAAAGCTTTAGAGTTTAAAACTTGGCATGAACAAAAAGATGAATTTTTGATACACTTTTCCGGGTGAATTTCTGTGTGATGGTAAATGATATTGTTATATAAATTACAAGTCACATTACAAACTGTTTATTTTATATAACTGATTTTTCTCTCTCTTATTATTTGTCAGCTGTTAGTGTATGCCCCAAAAGGTGGTGTAAAGACTACAGGTGCCATGTTCCATCTTGTCATGAGACACATTGAGACTGACACGCTTTCTTCCTACGTAACACGCATGTACAAACCCATAAAGGTAAGAAAACGCCTAACTCCTGACACAAATGTATAGTATTCTGAATTAAACATTAAACAGTACTTACATGTGTGAGAGTCGTTCAATAAATACTACATACAAGGAGAGTTTTGCCGTCGTCTTACTTGCCCCTTTTTCTCTTTATAAGGAGAAGTTAAATTTCACAACATTGTCAATGTTTCACTGCTCCTCACTGTCAAAGTGACAATTATTGTAAAAGTGAATTTAAAACTGTGTTTTCTAGGTTTGTAACTTGCATTTCCTTTCAGGTGAAACACACTAAGTTGTTTGAACCCAAGATGTCTATCAACGGGCGAGATATGATCTTTCTTATGCTTTTTCCATCATACCCTCCCAAAGGTAAAGTGAATTCTAAAATTGTATCCATGAATTTTGAATTTTTCCTATAGTATCTTGATACCTATATCTGTTGGTTCGTCCTGGTTGAAGATTGTTAATAGTAATTTCTCTATATGTTGTCTGTTGTGCATTGCTGTTAAATCTTGTTTTTTGATGCTAGATCTCAAGACAAAACAAAACGTTGGTTGATGCATTTATTCACAATATTTTAACAAAAAGATAAATATCATCTGGGACAGTGTTAGCATGTGGTCAAATGTTTTCAACATTATTTTCATGGTTTTGTAGAGATGATTGAGGTCCTGTTAAATTTTTCATTGTGGGACAGGAGACAGCAGTTCTTATCTCATGTGACTAACTGCCGTTGAAAACTTGTTATCAATTTTTTGATAACATGACAGATGTAAAGCTTTTCAATTTGATGTGTCATAGTAATCAGAATTGCCAGTTTTTCTGGGAAAGACTATGCTGTTCCATTAAAACTGGCCAATATGTGGTTACATGATTACAGTTATTACAGATTAGAAAATATAAGTAAAATGTTAGATTTTCAATAGTCATACAACAAAAACAATGAACAATGATTACTTGTTTTGTTAGCTGCCCACCTGACGATTGTTGTGTGTGACCTGACTATCGGAGAACTGAAACCTTTTAGACGCGACATCCACCTCACTACTGCGGAGTACAACGACATCCTAGAAAATGATGTTGTACAGTATGATGTAAGTCCTTTATAATATTCGGGATCATTCAAGTTTGAGATTACCAGTCAATATCTTTCTGGCGGAAGTTGACTTAAGCGTAATTCCCTTAGCATCAGAGATAGTATTGTATTAGAGGTGACTGATATACAATGATAGTCCCCCTGGTGTCAGTGTCAGTATTGGTAATGGAGGTGACTGATATACAATGGTAGTCCTCCTGGTGTCAGTGTCAGTATTGGTAATGGAAGTGACTGATATACAATGATAGTTCCCCTGGTGTCAGTGTCAGTGTTGGTAATGGAGGTGACTGATATACAATGGTAGTCCCCCTGGTGTCAGTGTCAGTGTACAATGACACTGTACATTGTACACTGACAATGTGTACAATGTTAATGGAGGTGACTGATATACAATGATAGTTCCCCTGGTGTCAGTGTCATAGTACAATGACACTGTACATTGTACACTGACAATGTGTAAAATGGTAATGGAGGTGACTGATATACAATGATAGTTCCCCTGGTGTCAGTGTCAGTGTTGGTAATGGAGATGACTGATATACAATGGTAGTCCCTCTGGTGTCAGTGTCAGTGTACAATGACACTGTACATTGTACACTGACAATGTGTACAATGGTTATGGAGGTGACTGATATACAATGATAGTTCCCCTGGTGTCAGTGTCAGTGTACAATGACACTGTACATTGTACACTGACAATGTGTACAATGGTAATGGAGGTGACTGATATACAATGATAGTTCCCCTGGTGTCAGTGTCAGTGTTGGTAATGGAGGTGACTGATATACAATGGTAGTTCCCCTGGTGTCAGTGTCAGTGTACAATGACACTGTCATTGTACACTGACAATGTGTACAATGGTAATGGAGGTGACTGATATACAATGGTAGTCCCCCTGGTGTCAGTGTCAGTGTACAATGACACTGTACATTGTACACTGACAATGTGTACAATGGTTATGGAGGTGACTGATATACAATGATAGTTCCCCTGGTGTCAGTGTCAGTGTACAATGACACTGTACATTGTACACTGACAATGTGTACATTGGTAATGGAGGTGACTGATATACAATGATAGTTCCCCTGGTGTCAGTGTCAGTGTTGGTAATGGAGGTGACTGATATACAATGATAGTTCCCCTGGTGTCAGTGTCAGTGTACAATGACACTGTACATTGTACACTGACAATGTGTACAATGGTAATGGAGGTGACTGATATACAATGATAGTTCCCCTGGTGTCAGTGTCAGTATTGGTAATGGAGGTGACTGATATACAATGATAGTTCCCCTGGTGTCAGTGTCAGTATTGGTAATGGAGGTGACTGATATACAATGATAGTCCCCCTGGTGTCAGTGTCAGTATTGGTAATGGAGGTGACTGATATACAATGGTAGTCCCCCTGGTGTCAGTGTCAGTGTTGGTAATGGAGGTGACTGATATACAATGGTAGTCCCCCTGGTGTCAGTGTCAGTGTTGGTAATGGAGGTGACTGATATACAATGGTAGTCCCCCTGGTGTCAGTGTCAGTGTTGGTAATGGAGGTGACTGATATACAATGATAGTCCCCCTGGTGTCAGTGTCAGTGTTGGTAATGGAGGTGACTGATATACAATGATAGTCCCCCTGGTGTCAGTGTCAGTATTGGTAATGGAGGTGACTGATATACAATGGTAGTCCCCCTGGTGTCAGTGTCAGTATTGGTAATGGAGGTGACTGATATACAATGGTAGTCCCCCTGGTGTCAGTGTCAGTATTGGTAATGGAGGTGACTGATATACAATGATAGTTCCCCTGGTGTCAGTTTCAGTATTGGTAATGGAGGTGACTGATATACAATGATAGTCCCCCTGGTGTCAGTTTCAGTATTGGTAATGGAGGTGACTGATATACAATGGTAGTCCCTCTGGTGGTGTCAGTGTCAGTATTGACAATGTGTACAATGGTTATGGAGGTGACTGATATACAATGATAGTTCCCCTGGTGTCAGTGTCAGTGTCACTGACAATGTGTACAATGGTAATGGAGGTGACTGATATACAATGATAGTTCCCCTGGTGTCAGTGTCAGTGTTGGTAATGGAGGTGACTGATATACAATGGTAGTTCCCCTGGTGTCAGTGTCAGTGTATTGGTACTGACAATGTGTACAATGGTAATGGAGGTGACTGATATACAATGATAGTTCCCCTGGTGTCAGTGTCAGTGTTGGTAATGGAGGTGACTGATATACAATGGTAGTCCCCCTGGTGTCAGTGTCAGTGTACAATGACACTGTCAGTACTGACAATGTGTACAATGGTTATGGAGGTGACTGATATACAATGATAGTTCCCCTGGTGTCAGTGTCAGTGTACAATGACACTGTACATTGTACACTGACAATGTGTACAATGGTAATGGAGGTGACTGATATACAATGATAGTTCCCCTGGTGTCAGTGTCAGTATTGGTAATGGAGGTGACTGATATACAATGTTAGTCCCCCTGGTGTCAGTGTCAGTATTGGTAATGGAGGTGACTGATATACAATGGTAGTCCCCCTGGTGTCAGTGTCAGTATTGGTAATGGAGGTTGCTGATATACAATGATAGTCCCCCTGGTGTCAGTGTCAGTATTGGTAATGGAGGTTGCTGATATACAATGATAGTCCCCCTGGTGTCAGTGTCAGTATTGGTAATGGAGGTGACTGATATACAATGATAGTCCCCCTGGTGTCAGTGTCAGTGTTGGTAATGGAGGTGACTGATATACAATGCTAGTCCCCCTGGTGTCAGTGTCAGTGTTGGTAATGGAGGTGACTGATATACAATGATAGTCCCCCTGGTGTCAGTGTCAGTGTTGGTAATGGAGGTGACTGATATACAATGATAGTCCCCCTGGTGTCAGTGTCAGTATTGGTAATGGAGGTGACTGATATACAATGATAGTCCCCCTGGTGTCAGTGTCAGTATTGGTAATGGAGGTGACTGATATACAATGGTAGTCCCCCTGGTGTCAGTGTCAGTATTGGTAATGGAGGTGACTGATATACAATGGTAGTCCCCCTGGTGTCAGTGTCAGTATTGGTAATGGAGGTGACTGATATACAATGATAGTTCCCCTGGTGTCAGTTTCAGTATTGGTAATGGAGGTGACTGATATACAATGATAGTCCCCCTGGTGTCAGTTTCAGTATTGGTAATGGAGGTGACTGATATACAATGATAGTCCCCCTGGTGTCAGTGTCAGTATTGGTAATGGAGGTGACTGATATACAATGATAGTCCCCCTGGTGTCAGTGTCAGTATTGGTAATGGAGGTGACTAGTAATTGTGGTAGTTCCTCTTATGTCAGTATAGGTCATGGATATGACTGTATAATATATATGATAAACTATGGTATCTCTTTGTTGTATATGTATTATTGTTTAATTCATTTGTCTCATTTTGTGCTGATCTACCATCATACACTGACAAACCATCCAATTGTTTGTAGGTCAGTCAGACGTATGGACCAACAGGTTCTTCCTACGTTTTTGTCAACATCCGGGGTGAGCTGAAAGCTTTTTCTCTCACCTCAGGGCGACAAATTGTTATGATGGAACGCGAGGAGGACAGATTTTCAGGTAAACACAAATATCTTCACTGATGTGAAATAGAGAGAGTGTTAGAGTTCAGATATCACAAAACTTTCAGAGTGATACAATTTCCTAACATCTTATACTGTTGGCCCTGTTTTAATGAAGCATGGCTATCCTGTATGTGTGAAGTGTATTTAATTTTTGTGTTAGGTTTCCCGGGCTGTCTTATTGATGCCTCTGACTGGGAACTGCCACGGAATTTGGAGGTCAGTCTGGTGTGTTCCAAGGGCAAGATGTATGCTGTTTTCTATGGACAGGTAACATTCAATTCTGATAACCCCTTCTTTAATGGTGTACAGTTTACTATAGACTGTTAACGTTCAATTCTGATAATCCATTCTGATAAGAATTACAGCAGTTTACTGGCACCAATAATACATGAGATGATTTTGTCTTTATATCTACACTGATTTTGTATATTATTGAGTCACAAAAGCAACAAAATATCTTATTCTTGAAATAATGTTTCTGAGCTAACAATAGTTTGGTACAAGATTTTGTGTTTTTGTAGAAAATTAACTACATCTCAATCATCACTTTCACCGACACCAACTCCTACAGACAGCGGAGAGCCATGTGGAAGTCTTATGAAGTCTGGTATGTGGTACAAATATGTAATGATTGTTTGTCATTCAAAATTTATTGATTAATTAAAGATTGCTGGATTTGGTTGAATCTTTATAAAATGTTAGCTTATGAGGTAATATAGAGTGGGATTGAGTTTGGGGTCCAAAGGTCAACTACAAATGATAACTTGTGATAGTATTGACCAATTGTTTTGAAACTTGATGAAATCTAATATTGTAATATTATTAGACAATATATAGGGTTGGATTGAGTTAGGGGTCAAAAGGTCACCTGTGAAGGCAGTGAAGGTCACTTATTACAATAGACATTTATCACCATTTTAATGACACTACATCAAAGATGCGGGATGCAAAATTTCTCAGAATAACACCAGTTGTCAGCTGACCAAATTTCAAGGTCACAGTGTTAGAAAGTCAAGGTCAAATTTTACATTGTCGTATACGGGTGTAAAGATGTAAAATTGATTAAAATGGTTAGATTTACCCATAAATGTCAGACACAAAGCCGAGTCCTTTCTGACATGTCAGTGATTTAGTTTGTTTTCCACATAATCACTTATTTGAATAAGGAGTGACAAACTTGATTAAAACTTCATATAGTATTAAGCACAAGGGAGTGCATATAAAGTTTGTTTAAATGTTATTTCCTGGTTTTTGCATCCTTCCTGTCTAGACACCTCTTTTCGAAAGGAAGACTTCCAATTGATAAAATGAGACATCTGTTCATTGCTATCAAGGTCAATTTTGCTTCGAAATTTTAGATAACGGCAATCATTTTAAGTCCTTTCACATTTTGTTTAATTGAAATATTTTACTGCTGAAACAATAAATTTGATTGCTGTCATACCAAGAGACATTAGTCGAATCTTAATGAATTCACTTGCATGTTTTATATCTTCAACAGGACAGAGCACCAGGTTATGCCAATTGAACAGCGATGTAACTTTATTACACAAGAATTGGCAGACACCCAGCATCCTAGTGTGTACATGCGTAGTCTTGTTATAGAATGTATGGACAAAGCTATTAGGCAGTCGGATGGTGTGGACTTCACCAATGACTTCCTATTTGAAAACCAGGCTATTGACAAAATAGAAAATTACCTTGCTCTACAGGAGGAGGTAGGTATTCTCACGATACCACAATTTCAACTTATTCCATGAAATCCTACTTCCTTAAACCTGTGTTACTGTAATACCCCCTATTCATCAAACTCATTACATGGTCCAGACCAAGTCCTTATATATTCTTTGTTATTTAACCATGGATTCCTGGAATATTCTCCTCAAATATATTTTTGTCATCAGTCCTTAACTTTCAAAGTAATTTCCCCTCTGTTCATTGCACAGGTATTACCCTTGTCAAAATTTACCCATGCCACACATGACTGAGCAAACCGGTTTTGATGAACTCCTTTTTGTGTCGGCTGTCTGCCAAAGTGTGACATATAGATATTCTATGTCAGCAGCGGTATCATCTGCACAAAGGTTTTTTCATAAAAACCTGAGTTTGTTACCTTACCGAAAGTGTTCGCTTGGGATCACTTTCTGCTCTGAAGGTCAAGGTCACTGTTATTTTAAACAGAAAATTAGTTTTTTCACAATAACTTCAGTTTCGTTCGGCTGATCAATCTCAAACTTCATACAGTGATTCTTTACGCCAAGTGCTTCCTTGGAATAACTTTTGAGGTTTGAAAGTCTAAGGTAAAGGACAGTGTGACCATATATAAGAGGTTGGTTTTCATGCATTTTGTTTGGACAATTACACTTCATGAAGTGTTTTCATACCAAAGGGGCTTGCTAGGGATTGCTGTTTAGGTTTGAAGGTCAAAGGTCAAGGTCACTGTTACTGTAAATAGAAAGTTTGTATCCATACAATTACTTACCAATGGTACTTGCTTGGGATTGCTTTAAGATCAAAAAGTCAAAGGCCAAAATCATTGCAGCTGTGAAAAGAAAATTGGTTTTGTATGATTGGGGTTTTTTTTTTGTTTTTTTTTTGGGGACAATTAGACTCAAACTTCATACAATGATTCTTAACCATAGGGGCTTGTTTGTCCGGTGGGTTGTCTCTGTCCCTGCCATATTTGGAGCAAATCAGTATTTTTTTTTTTTTTTTTGTTTTGACACTATACATCTGATTTGCAAGTTTACCCAGGACATCTCAGACAAATGGACAAATTACATAAATGCAATGAATATCTATGTCTGTTGTTCTATAAAACTCATCTCCAGAAATCTTGCTGGGCAGGCAACACATCCACTTCTGTGGAATTCTTGCTGTTTATACTGGTGTCTGTATGTACAGTAGATACACTATAAACAGTGGTATGATTACCTGCCTGTACTGCGAACTTTATAAATTTTATGACATTGACAAAAGATATTATTTCAACTTATATTAATCACTCTTGGCCCGGATAGAAGTGAATGGTGTCATTGTGGTAGGGAAGTGGAGTACCCAGGGAAGCTGTTTATATCCTATTGTTTACTTTACATGAATTTAACTCTATCAAATTAAGTGGAGTAAAAATGTATTTGATGGTGTTTTGGCTGTGAAATACAGTATATATGGGATATAGTTTGTTAAGGAAAACAGTTGTAAGAAAAAGTGACATTTTATTACACAAAACAAGAAAAAATACAATTAAAATTTCGATCTTGCATTAGTTCAGGTCTCCCTTAAGACAAATGGACTCTGAAACTTGACACATAATAAACAAATTATTGTTTGGTTTCCATTCTGCAGGTTGAGAAATCCGACCTTTTGATAGACACGGCTGCAAAACCTGTGGAAGAGGATCCGGAAGAGAAAGACAAGACAAACTTTGCTCCTGAAGATTACCTCATCTCTTAAGGCTTACCTACCCTTAGAGAGAAGAATTGGGTTTTTAATTGTCAGGTGTGGAGGATGAAGACGTTGACTCAAAAAGTATAGACCTTGAAGAGAGAAATTAGCATGAGCTTTGATTTCAAGTTTTTGTATCCTTCACATGTTTACCTGCATAATAATTCAATCTTTCTTCCAACGTGACTTGGCTTTATGGAAAAGACCATAGTTTGTTTCACTGTATTTACTTCCCATATCATTTTTAGATCATCTGACCGAAGGGTCTGATGACCTATTGCGATCGCTTTTTGTACGGCATCGTCCGTTGTCCATCGTAAACATTTTCAACTTCTTCTCAAGTTCTACATGTCTCATTGAGCTGAAACTTACCTGAAATGATCATGACATGATCCTGACCAAAGTTTGTTAATTTGGGGTTGGTCCGAAATCCAACATGGCTGCCATCTTGAAAACATATTTTCGACTTCTTCTCAAGTTCAAAATTTGAAATCTTGTGTTTTATGTCAGATGACCATTAAGGCCCATGGGCCTCTTGTTTAAGTTGTAATGTTGTAAAATCTAGTTATCAAATGTAACATCAATTATCTTTAAATGATAAAACTTTTTGCTTGTCCTAGACTTATGTGTCAACACTTTTCCTGCTTTGATAGTGATTGAATTTGTCTGATAAACCCAAAGATATCTCAAGCAGTACTTAGTGTATTTAAGTTTAGCACAAGGCTTGGACAAGTGCGGAATTCGAAAAGTCTTACCTCAAAGGCCCCTGCTTTTCACAGAATTGTTTATTAATTTTTCCCACACTTTGAGTATTTTTTCATTATGAAAGTGTGGGAGAAACTAAATAATTCTGTCTATGAAATATCACAACACAAAAGCTTCAATTCTGTTTTGTGTATAAAATAGATGTACATATGTACTTTTACAGGACACAATTTTAATTTTTGGTTTCATGTAAGAAAACAAAATGATGTGTTTTTTTTTTGTTTGATGTCTGGTGTTCATCTTATGTAGATAACGTTTTGTTTTATATTTAGAGTACAATGTATATACATTATATGGGACGCAAGTCATAAAACATGTCCATTACACAATGCTATTTATGTTAGAGTATATTTTAAACAAAGCCCATTGTATCCATGAATGACCATCGGTATCATTAGATTTTTTTATCGATCTGTGTAAACATATGTAAGGTGTAAGAACTCAGAGGTAGCTGTCAACCATACAACACATTAAATATTTCCAATGTTTTTTTTATTTTAAAGCATATTTCTGTACATGCAAGTCACACAGTCTAAAATGATGTCAGGGTAATTCATAGAAAGACTGTATGTTTATATATATATATATATATATATATATATATTTCATTATCAGAATTCAGTTTTAAATAATGACGATGATCTCATTAACCATATTTGGAATTTCATGTATGTACTTCTTTAATTTATCACTTTCCAATTAAAATTTTGTCAGGGGAATTCATGTTAAGATTGTTTATTTATGAATATTTTCATTATTAAAATTAAAATATCATTTTCATTTACCTTCATTGTATTGAATTTTAATTGAAAATGATTTATGTACTTTATTATAGATGATGATGAGGTTTATACACTTTCTAAGTAATTCACATGTTATGATTGCACCACTACTTATCTGTAGACATCATTGTAAATGGTTCATTATTTAGATTGCTATGAGGAGTTGTGCTGTCCTTATGGGCAACATTTGGTTCAGGTGTGTTATACGGTTTTACTGTGGGTGATATTTGGTTCGGGTGCATGTTATGGTTTCACCATGGGTGATATTTGGTTCGGGTGCATGTTACGGTTTCACCATGGGTGATATTTGGTTCAGGTGTATGTTACGGTTTCACCATGGGTGATATTTGGTTCAGGTGTATGTTACGGTTTCACCATGGGTGATATTTGGTTCAGGTGCATGTTACGGTTTCACCATGGGTGATATTTGGTTCGGGTGCATGTTACAGTTTCACCATGGATAATATTTGTTCGGGTGTATGTTACGGTTTCACCATGAGTGACATTTCATTCGTGTGTATGCAATGGTTGACCCCTGACTGATATTTAGTTCATGGTCTGTGAGAATGCTATTGGGTTCATGAGTAAAGATGTTTGTTTCATGAGAGGAAGTGTTGAACTCTTGAGTAAATGGCAATTTTCATGAGGTCATGAAATTTGATTCATGAGTATTCAACATTTGTATACAAGTATGTGGCGGTTGGATCTTAGTTATATTTGAAATATGAGTGACATTTGGTTGACCATGAATACAAAACAGAATTTATAAGTGTCAGCTAGTTAATGTGTGAGAGAATCAGATTGTAGTAAAGTAGCACCTGTTTCATGTACATACCTTCAACCCTGTTAATGTGCATTACTCTGGAATCTGTACACAATCTTTTTTTTTCTGAATGTCCTGAAACCAAGCTGTGCGATTTGACTGCTGCATTTTGGAAGTTCTGCATGATAACCTGCTCAACATTTAGATGACATTTCCTGAAAGATAAAAGAATATGATTTAAACAAAATATGTGCATAATTTGTCTGCTACATTCTGTTGTTGTTTTTTGTTTTTTTCAATAATGATAATCAGATATGACTGTGTTCTGATGAAGATTGATTCTTATTCACATCACCAGCGAAATATCTGGTTCAATCAAAATCCATCAGTTCTAAAGTTGCTCACAGTAATTACATTAGCTAAATGTGAAACATTGTAGATAATTTGTCAGGAAGGGAAGTAACTCTATATTTTGGAATTTAAATTTTCTGACAAATGTTGACTAACAATACTTATTAATGTAGGAATGAAAACATAGTAAATTTCTTTGGAATTTTTATGATTGTTTGAATTCCAATTACAACATTGCATATTCTGATTTCAATAATGAATAATGATGATGTTTATCATCAGTTACAATGTAGTTATAATTTTTTCTATGATTTGCTTCAGAATACCAGCTATAAAACTTATTCTGCTAACAAATGTCTTGTAAATACCTCCTTTCTCTCTGATAACATCAGAAGGTAGTTTTGACATAGGTGTTACAGCTGGTACTTTTTTTATTGTGTGACAATGTTACAACAACGGGTTCCTTAAAATTCCTGGTGGGTCATTGAATTTATAGTCATCCCTCTGTCAAAAGTTACTCATACAGTTACAAATAGTACAAATCATTACAGAATATTCTATGTGAAAATATAATGAAAATTTGGGTATTTGAATTTCTTATGATTGGAAATTGTGTGAGTGTTTGTTTTCAGTCAGAAGTGATTACATGTTGTTTAAAAAACCCTATTTTGGACCATAAATCTTCCATAGTTTGTAATCTGTTTGTTGCTTGTGGCCTTTGCCAATGTCTATCAATGTTAAAACAGAATGTTACATATATACATACCTCAGGCACCTGTCCTGGATTCCTTACTGAACATTTCTGTCTGTTTATGTTAGGCCAGCTTTGTCATACTGAACTGCCATATGGTTTTACTCCAAGTACATTACAAAACAAGTACAAAAATCTAAATAAGACTTTTTAGAAATAAACTCTCAATGATAAACTTGATGTTGATGTCATACCATTAGTCAAAGACTACCATTGACTTACCTTCTTAATCATTTATTACTAGAAAGGGTGGTAAGGAACAAAGTTTGTGATTGGCTATGACAGCATGTATAACATAGTTTATCACCTTTAATTACCAGATTTTATAAGTATCAACTAGTTTGAACTCTGTCCATGTACATACAGAGTTATGACCCTTTGTTTTGAGATGAATTAAAAGTTTGTCTGAATTTGTTTGGATGTTGGTAATACTTTTCAATTTTTTTTTCCTGGTTTGAATTTGTGATATGGTTATACTATACTAGAAAAATCGTTTATTAATGGTATTTATTTACCTTGTGTAAACCTGTAAATTTTTTTCCAGTGTTACGTTCATCCTAAAGCAATGAAAAACATACAACTATAACATCCAACCTGAATCCATGCTAACTTTTATTTTTGCCTTAAATGGTTAAAGAGAAAAATGGATGAAATTTAAACTACATTGGAAGGTTCTCCTTTACAGATGCTTGGAGTCAGAATTGTTCAATGGCTATTCATAGTAACATAGAATTTGTAAATCATCTTTCCAAAGTTTTGTTTGTATTTGTACTGATGTGTAATAATAATATAGAATTTGTTTTTATTATTTAAACAACCCATTATTTCAAGGTCGTTCTCACATGAATTCGTTGAAGCAGACGCATTTTTTCATCACACATGATTTTTTTTTCCTGGGAATGTGTTCAAATTTAAATAGAATCAATATTGTGTACATACACATGAAAAATTCTTATTTTTGTGCAAGATTATCTGAAATATGGTTGATCATGAACAATTTGTTAAAACATTTTCTGAAGTTTTGTATGAAATGTTGTGTATTGATAGGTATTGACATTCAATTACTTTTTGTCACAGTTACTGGTGAATATCTTGTAGTAAGATTTTATCCCCTTCAGTAAAAACATGTAGCAATGGTAAGTCTTGGATATCAAAACATGTTCAATAATTGATCTCTATCTATCTCTCTCTCTCTCTCTCTCTCTCTCTCTCTCAATACAGAGTTATGTCCCTTGGTAAATTTCAATCTTTGGTCACAGATTGGAGTTTGTGGATTACATACAATGTTTGAAAAGTCTCCTAAATGCACTTCCATCCAGACTCAATCTTGTGGTCAAAAGTGTATATAATAGCACATTACAGAATGTAGCTTATCCTTCTAGAACACCTGGTCTCTGTACTTTTTACAAGGCTGTCCGATATTAAATGTCATACCGCAATTGATGTCTTTCCGAAGACATGTACTGTGCCTAATTATTTTTATTTTCACATTAGAGAAAGTATAATTGTTATAAATATTTTTATTTAGTTTCATACACATTATGTAGGTTTTTTTTTTTTTTTTTTCACATTTTTTTTACACATAGCACAATCACATTTGATAGAGTCATTTATTTATTGGGTTCATCCGTCCTCCTTCAGTAGTGTGTTTATATAGAAGGTAATTTCTTATTGAAATGAATACATGATTAGCTTGTAAATACATTTAAAGTTGTGAATATAAATTTGATGATATCATTGCACCAAGAATAATGTTACACAGTGGAATATATTAATTCAGTACCGGGTATATTGATTACTGATAATTATTAATGTAATTGTGTTTTGATGAGATGAAAATTGTTCACAGTTATAATAAATGTAGATTCGTATTAATCAGCTATCTTACTAGTCTGTTATATTGATAGAGATATGACTGTAGATGGTGATTTAGGCTGTGTTACAGGAGAGTAGTGAGTAGTTTTAGATAAGACATCCTGTAGAAAGTGGGTTTTAGTTAGGATTTTACTTGTCTGCTTGATGATTAGAAAATGTCCAATTAGTCATAGTTAGTTTAAGACTGTTATTTTTGATTTGTACATATCAGTTACACAATAAAACCAAGATTTCAATTGTGTTGGAGGGAGTACCAGGTGAAATGATTAACTTATTACCAGTAAGTATAGACAGAAGAAATTATCCTTCATCATCAAGACTCTGAGGTGTGGAGATACAATCCCTGTAACATAGAAATATTTTGTACAATGATGGTTAAATTACTGTACCTATTATAGGTAACCTTTCTGTAGAGAATGGTGACATCCATGTCAGAAAACCACAAAACATATTGGAAACCTACAAGAACATCTACATTGTGTTTTATATACATCATATTTTATATACATGGTAGTAATGTTATAATAATATACTATAGTGGCGAAGGAAGGGGGTGGGGGTGGTGGGTGGGGGTGGTTGGGCGGGGCGGGGGGGGGTGGGGGGGGGGGGGTTGACCCTCACTTTTTGACAACTTCCTACACCACTTTGTAGTATTCAGTGTAGAGAGGAAAAGTATGAGGCTTCCCTCCTGATATTGTAACTGGTCACATTTCTATTTGTGGAAATGACTACATACCAAAGGAAATGACCTGTGGTGCTGAAATTACTTGGAATATTCATTCCTAAATGTGGCCATTTGTTATTTGATAATTGTCATAAAAAGTGTTTCCATTATGAATGTTTCCTACTGTAGTCAATGTGTCAATGAAAGATGAACATGGCAGACAATTCTGGTCAGATTATACAGGTAACTGTTAGTCAATGTTTGATTTTATGACATGTTATTGGTTAACATTAACCTATTAAATAAGTGCTGTTAGAAATAAACAAATGTTAATGTGACTTTATGAGATATTTGTGTACAATATCAGAGGGTCAGAAGAATGGTTTACAATGTAGCTTCACTAATCAAGACATTGCTACAAATTAGAAATACATTTATATATTGTTCTAATGTAAATTATATTTTTACAACAATCCTATATAGATGCTACCTAATAGGGGCTCATATGTTGTCTCCAGATTATAGATTGATAGTATCTCTACATACAATGTAAGATGGGAGGGCTGTGTTGTACAATACCCTGTACACTTATAGATTGATAGTATCTCTACATACAATGTAAGATGGGAGGGCTGTGTTGTACAATACCCTGTACACTTATAGATTGATAGTATCTCTACATACAATGTAAGATGGGAGGGCTGTGTTGTACAATACCCTGAACACTTACAGAATGAAAGTCCAACTTTCAATGTCTTCCATTTCATTAAACAAGAAAAATAAAAGGAAAATATGACTATATTTTAGCTTTTGACTTGGTGTTTTTATCCTGTGAAATATTACAATGTGTACATTGATAATGACATGTCAGGGATCTATATATCACAGGTACATATTGACTATATTACAGTTTTCTCTCCACTCATCACTAGTGTCCTACAACTACAAACACAACAAGAACGCAAATATCTATTGGCCGTCTAGCCAGCCGTTAATAGAACTACAAAGAATGGGTGTCGTATGATATCAAAAACGAAAGACAACAGAAAAAACACCCAAGATTTAATAACTGGATATTTATATAAGTACAAACCTAAATTCTATGTCACTTTCAACAGTTTACATAAAGAATTGGCTATATAGCCATCTTTGCTAGACTCGGTCTTCCAGTGTCCATGCCTTTTGAAACAATGTTCCTTAACGTCGTTATTGGCCGACCAAACGTTAGGAACAGTACAGGCATATAGCACAAAGGCGCTGAAAGAATGTTAGAAACAGTACAGGAGTATAGCACAAAGGCTGACAGAACGTTAGGAACAGTACAGGCTTATAGCACAAAGGCTGACCAAACGTTAGGAACAGTACAGGCTTATAGCACAAAGGCTGACAGAACGTTAGGAACAGTACAGGAGTATAGCACAAAGGCTGACAGAACATTAGGAACAGTACAGGCATATAGCACAAAGGCTGACAGTATGTTAGGAACAGTACAGGAGTATAGCACAAAGGCTGACAGAACATTAGGAACAGTACAGGCATATAGCACAAAGGCTGACAGTATGTTAGGAACAGTACAGGGGTATAGCACAAAGGCTGACAGAACGTTAGGAACAGTACAGGCTTATAGCACAAAGGCTGACAGAACATTAGAAACAGTACAGGAGTATAGCACAAAGGCTGACAGAACATTAGGAACAGTACAGGCATATAGCACAAAGGCTGACAGTATGTTAGGAACAGTACAGGAGTATAGCACAAAGGCTGACAGAACGTTAAGGACAGTACAGTAGTATAGATAAAGGCTGACGGAACATTAGGAACAGTACAGTAGTATAGATAAAGGCTGACAGAACGTTAGGAACAGTACAGGATTATAACACAAAGGCTGACAGAATGTTAGAAACCGTACGGGCATATAGCACAAAGGCTGGCAGAATGTTAGGAACAGTACACAAGTATAGCACAAAGGCTGGCAGAATGTTTGGAACAGTACACAAGTATAGCACAAAGGCTGACAGAATGTTAGGAACAGTACAGGAGTATAGCACAAAGGCTGACAGAACGTTAGGAACAGTACAGAAGTATAGCACAAAAGCTGACAAAACGTTAGGAACATTACAGGAGTATAGATAAAGGCTGACAGAACGTTAGGAACAGTACAGGAGTATAGCACAAAGGCTGACAGAACGTTAGGAACAGTACAGGCTTATAGCACAAAGGCTGACAGAATGTTAGGAACAGTACACAAGTATAGCACAAAGGCTGACAGAACGTTAGGAACAGTACAGGAGTATAGCACAAAGGCTGACAGAACGTTAGGAACAGTACAGTAGTATAGCATAAAGGCTGACAGAACGTTAGGAACAGTACAGGATTATAGCACAATGGCTGATGGAACGTTAGGAACAGTACATGATTATAACACAAAGGCTGACAGAACGTTAGGAACAGTACAGTAGTATAGATAAAGGTTGACAGAACGTTAGAGACAGTACAGGGGTATAACACAAAGGCTGACAGAACGTTTGGAACAGTACAGGAGCATAGCACAAAGGCTGACAGAATGTTAGGGACAGTACAGGCATATAGTACAAAGGCTGACAGAATGTTAGGGACAGTACAGGGGTATAACACTAAGGCTGATAGAATGTTAGGAACAGTACAGGAGTATAGCACAAAGGCTGACAGAATGTTAGGGACAGTACAGGCATATAGCACAAAGGCTGACAGAATGTTAGGAACAGTACAGGAGTATAGCACAAAGGCTGACAGAACGTTAGGAACAGTACAGGCGTATAGCACAAAGGCTGACAGAACGTTAGGAACAGTACAGGCGTATAGCACAAAAGCTGACAGAACGTTAGAAACAGTAAAGTAGTATAGATAAAGGCTGACAGAACGTTAGGAACAGTACAGGATTATAGCACAAAGGCTGACAGAACGTTAGGAACAGTACAGGAGTATAGCACAAAGGCTGACAGAACGTTTGAAACAGTACAGGTGTATAGCACGAAGGCTGACAGAATGTTAGGGACAGTACATGCATATAGGACAAAGGCTGACAGAACGTTAGGAACAGTACAGGAGTATAGCACAAAGGCTGACAGAACGTTAGGAACAGTACAGGCGTATAGCACAAAGGCTGACAGAACGTTAGGAACAGTACAGGCATATAGCACAAAGGCTGACAGAACGTTAGGAACAGTACAGGAGTATAGCACAAAGGCTGACAAAACGTTAGGAACAGTACAGTAGTATAGATAAAGGCTGACAGAACGTTAGGAACAGTACAGGATTATAACACAAAGGCTGACAGAACGTTAGGAACAGTACAGTAGTATAGATAAAGGTTGACAGAACGTTAGAGACAGTACAGGGGTATAACACAAAGGCTGACAGAACGTTTGGAACAGTACAGGAGTATAGCACAAAGGCTGACAGAATGTTAGGGACAGTACAGGGGTATAACACTAAGGCTGACAGAACGTTAGGAACAGTACAGGCGTATAGCACAAAGGCTGACAGAACTTTAGGAACAGTACAGGCGTATAGCACAAAGGCTGACAGAACGTTAGAAACAGTACAGGAGTATAGCACAAAGGCTGACAGAACGTTAGGAACAGTACAGGCGTATAGCACAAAGGCTGACAGAACGTTTGGAACAGTACAGGAGTATAGCACAAAGGCTGACAGAACGTTAGAAACAGTGCAGGTGTATAGCACAAAGGCTGACAGAACGTTAGGAACAGTACAGAAGTATAGCACAAAGGCTGACTAAACGATAGAAACAGCGTATAGTCAAAGAGCCAATCGGAAGTACACCTGATGATTTGACGGGCGCTTGATAAACTCCGGACAACATCACGTAGTATATCTTGGCATGAACTGAGGCATAAGATATGAAAATAGCACTTTGAGAATATTGTCTTTAACATGTTAAAACGCATAAAAAATCTAAATGAATTCAACCTCAGGAGTAAGAAATCTTCACCTTGTCTACCCCAATAATGTTGCCTTGATTAAGTCGAAACATAAGAAATCTAAATGATTTCAATATAAACTAAAATATTGTCTTTAATAAGACGAAACGCCAACGTACTAATGTTCAGGCATGATATTCGTGGTGGAGATCAGAAGTAACACGGGAAGATGATCACGTGGCACAGGATACGTATGTAGTTAAAATATACCATGTAACTCAAATGACAATAAGGACAGGCTGGTTAGGAGATGACGCTTTTGTATTGGGAATATCCATGGAAAGGAACAGAGCAGGAGCCGAGGTTCGTTGTAAATATTTTCGAGTTTTAGTGTAAATATTTGCAAGATTTGGTGTAAATATTTTCGGGTTTTAGTGTAAATATTTTCGAGATTTGGTGTGAATATTTTCGAGTTTTGATGTAAATGTTTTCGAGTTATATACTTATCCATTTCTATATAACTTTTGATTAATTCGGTGCCTATTTGTATGTTACCTTATTTCTCCTTTCATATAAGAAGAATAGGGGGCTCATGGGATTAACCCGGCATCGCATTTCCAAGTAAATGTTTTTATTACTCTGCTCTGTATAATTATATATATGTAGTTTCGGATTGTGTGGTTCAATGAAATGAAATGAAATTAAATTTTTTTTTTTTTTTTTTTTTTTGTAAATTTTCGGTTGACGTTAAGGTTTTGCTGCAACTTTCGTTTTGTAATTATTGTTTTGTACTAGATATGCTGATATTTGGTTTGATGTTAGTTTGAAGTTTTGCAGTTTGTACTAGATATGCTGATATTTGGTTTGATGTTAGTTTGAAGTTTTGCAGTTTGTACTAGATATGCTGATATTTGGTTTGATGTTAGTTTGAAGTTTTGCAGTTTGTACTAGATATGCTGATATTTGGTTTGATGTTAGTTTGAAGTTTTGCAGTTTGTACTAGATATGCTGATATTTGGTTTGATGTTAGTTTGAAGTTTTGCAGTTTGTACTAGATATGCTGATATTTGGTTTGATGTTAGTTTGAAGTTTTGCAGTTTGTACTAGATATGCTGATATTTGGTTTGATGTTAGTTTGAAGTTTTGCAGTTTGTACTAGATATGCTGATATTTGGTTTGATGTTAGTTTGAAGTTTTGCAGTTTGTACTAGATATGCTGATATTTGGTTTGATGTTAGTTTGAAGTTTTGCAGTTTGTACTAGATATGCTGATATTTGGTTTGATGTTAGTTTGAAGTTTTGCAGTTTGTACTAGATATGCTGATATTTGGTTTGATGTTAGTTTGAAGTTTTGCAGTTTGTACTAGATATGCTGATATTTGGTTTGATGTTAGTTTGAAGTTTTGCAGTTTGTACTAGATATGCTGATATTTGGTTTGATGTTAGTTTGAAGTTTTGCAGTTTGTACTAGATATGCTGATATTTGGTTTGATGTTAGTTTGAAGTTTTGCAGTTTGTACTAGATATGCCGATATTTGGTTTGATGTTAGTTTGAAGTTTTGCAGTTTGTACTAGATATGCTGATATTTGGTTTGATGTTAGTTTGAAGTTTTGCAGTTTGTACTAGATATGCTGATATTTGGTTTGATGTTAGTTTGAAGTTTTGCAGTTTGTACTAGATATGCGATATTTGGTTTGATGTTAGTTTGAAGTTTTGCAGTTTGTACTAGATATGCTGATATTTGGTTTGATGTTAGTTTGAAGTTTTGCAGTTTGTACTAGATATGCTGATATTTGGTTTGATGTTAGTTTGAAGTTTTGCAGTTTGTACTAGATATGCTGATATTTGGTTTGATGTTAGTTTGAAGTTTTGCAGTTTGTACTAGATATGCTGATATTTGGTTTGATGTTAGTTTGAAGTTTTGCAGTTTGTACTAGATATGCTGATATTTGGTTTGATGTTAGTTTGAAGTTTTGCAGTTTGTACTAGATATGCTGATATTTGGTTTGATGTTAGTTTGAAGTTTTGCAGTTTGTACTAGATATGCTGATATTTGGTTTGATGTTAGTTTGAAGTTTTGCAGTTTGTACTAGATATGCCGATATTTGGTTTGATGTTAGTTTGAAGTTTTGCAGTTTGTACTAGATATGCTGATATTTGGTTTGATGTTAGTTTGAAGTTTTGCAGTTTGTACTAGATATGCTGATATTTGGTTTGATGTTAGTTTGAAGTTTTGCAGTTTGTACTAGATATGCTGATATTTGGTTTGATGTTAGTTTGAAGTTTTGCAGTTTGTACTAGATATGCTGATATTTGGTTTGATGTTAGTTTGAAGTTTTGCAGTTTGTACTAGATATGCTGATATTTGGTTTGATGTTAGTTTGAAGTTTTGCAGTTTGTACTAGATATGCTGATATTTGGTTTGATGTTAGTTTGAAGTTTTGCAGTTTGTACTAGATATGCCGATATTTGGTTTGATGTTAGTTTGAAGTTTTGCAGTTTGTACTAGATATGCCGATATTTGGTTTGATGTTAGTTTGAAGTTTTGCAGTTTGTACTAGATATGCTGATATTCGGTTTGATGTTAGTTTGAAGTTTTGTAGTTTGTACTAGGGATTTCTTAGATTAGAATTTGGCCTTAATTCTTTTCTCAGTTTGCCCAGTTTAATGTTTTCTGCATGTGTTGAGAAATATAGACAGGTTACCGTGACCTTATTTCTTTCTTTATTTATTTTTCAATATCATTTGTTATTCAAACGATTTGAATATGTCACCAACAGACGGACTATGCTCAAACAGCTCTTGATTTAAATGTTGATTTGGTGTCTACAGACTATAAATGTGGATTTTTTCAACGAGGACCAGATTTCTTATTGTCAGGTATGAATGTGGCATGCTATTACTTGCCGAGAGACTCGCGGAGACAGTTGTAACAAGTCTACTGTAACAGTTGAAAATATTTGACATCACTGCAAAACGCTTTTGCATGATTTGGAATCAGGGATATTTTCACACACGGCTTTCTTAAAAGTTGAACTCATATGAATATTCATATATAATGAGATCTTTAGAGACAAACAAATGGTGAGAGACAAAATTGTCACGGATCTACAATAGAGCACTGATTCTGTGGCACTGAAAATGGCGATGGAAAGAATTCATATTTACATTGGAACGTTGTTTCCGTTTGGAGAATAACGAGAGACTAAGTTGTGGTTATCTCAGTCATAAAAAATTCAAATGTTTTTATCGTCACCTGAAAGGTCAATAACGTGCTAAATTTCACAGAGGTCATTTCCGGCGCCAGTCTATTTTCGCTTGAACTGGTGACCAAGAAAATGTAAATGGCCGACATAGTATTTATAGACAAAGAATAGGGTTGGGTCATGAAAGATCAGTCGAGAGTACAAAGTATTCAACCTCAGGTAAAGATACAAAGTGTTATCGTGTGCTGTCTGTTTTTCGCAGGATGCTGAAATAACGATCCGCGTTGTCGCGGTTGTCTCTTTTGGCAAGGCACTTTACACCAATCGATCTAGAAAGCGTGCCTCCCTCTTTTGTTCAGCGATGTGGTCACCAGCTACAATGTAGCTATAAACAACGGATATAAACCAATCAGTTGAGTTGATCATTAAACGTGATTGGTCAAGGCAGGGGGCTAACAACTGTGCACTTAATTAACTCTGTACAGTTAATTATCACTGTCACTTAAACAATCATGAATTTAACTTAATAGTTACAGCCAAGTTTTAATTAAATTATTGTAGATCGCTACTCAGACTGGAATATATTTGTAACAAATGAAAACTCAGTAATCAACTGATGATATAAAGTGGGATTTTATTTTAGCCATGTTGCACCGAAACACTAACTTCTGATGTTCTGCATGTTCTGTATTGTTCGTCAGTACAGTGTTTCGAGGTCACGGATTGACACCAATCTAAACGAATTGTTAGGTCATATTATCTAGGGTTATTGTGAGTTCGCGTTTGGAGACACTTGTTGTCAAGAAAGAAACGGACTGATATGACCTTTAGCTTTATATGAGAAGAAAATGGTCGAAACAGGTGTGTTGTAGGAAGCACTCGCTCTAGAAATATAAATTTGACTTGCCATTCCCGTGTTGTCCGTCTGTACGTTCGATCAGCGTTCAGAGAAGAATCATGTTGGTTTTAATACTTGTCTGTTTTTTCTTGTCTGTAACTGGACGAGAGATTCAGACACGGGACACGGAATGTCTCCCAGAGTTCGGCTGCTTCAGCTCGCACGGACTCGTCCCTGTTCCCCAGGAGCCGGAGAGGGTGAACACGCACATGAGGATTTTTACACGCGCGCACGCGCACAACCCTATCGTAAATTTTGACGTGGATCACTATAGCAGTCAGATTGGACACTTCGCCTCGGCGCTAGACACATCAAAAGAAACGAAAATCGTTATCCATGGTTACCTTAACTCCGGATCAGATTCCTGGGTGGTCCAGATGACCAGCGAACTGCTCAAAAAAGTAAAATTTTTATTAATGACGTAAATTTATTGACATGTCACCAACAGGTACATTTTTAGCTTGTAAAATTGTCCTGGTATGTATCTTTGTAGCCGAGTTGTCATAAAACAACTCTCTTTCGATTTGTGTGACGTCAGATGGTGTGATGTCATCTTAGATATGTTTGTAATATTGGGGTCAGTTCCTTACAGTGACGGTAACACAGTATTGAATGACGTTACACACGAAGTGAAAGCCTTTCACATGGAACACTGCTGATTTCTTCCTCTTTTTATTTAATTGGTATCACGGGGTCATTAGTTATTTAATGCCTCTGCTAGGATTCGAACCCGGACTGTGACTGATTAATTTCACGTTTAGTCGATCCAGCTAAAGGAAAGGTCTCTTTCGACCAGCGGTAAATTGCCGCCAGATGTTTAAAGCAACCCCCACCCCCCACCAAAAAACAGACTTTGGGTTTTTCCATCAGTTGTATTTTGGTGATATTCATTTTTCGCGTTTCTCCATCAGTTGTATTTTGATGATATATTTTTCGCGTAAAATGTTTATTAAATATCGTCTGTTCCCGGCGAAATTATAATTTTTCATTGAAAGATTTTATTCACTTGTGTGTCGTTTGTACATTTTTTTAGGATTTCTGATTTACATTGTCGTTGTTGTTGTTAAGAATGTGTTTTCATTTTAATATCGTGATTTTTCTCCAGGGTGACTTCAACGTGATTGTGGTTGACTGGCAAAGTGGAAGTAAACAGGCGTACGGCCACGCTGTGGGCAATACGTACCTTGTCGGAGCGGAAGTTGCAAAGACGCTGACTTATCTCCATAGCAACCAATCACTTCAGTACAACAAAGTACACATCATTGGCCACAGTCTTGGGGCACAAATAGCCGGACACATCGGATACCGTGTAAAGGGCATTGCCCGTATTTCTGGTACGTAAAACCTCAATGCTATTTATAATGTACCTCAAGTCATTACAGGGTCAAGGTCATCATAGGACAATGAAAATTAAGGGTCACGATCATTGGCTGCTTTCAAGTAAAGCAAAGGCAAAGGGTTAAGGTCGTAGGATCTTCCTCCAAAGGCTTGCAATGTATTCCCGGTAGTAGGGTGCCAACCGCTGTAAAAAGATGGTATAAAACAAAATTGCCCAAAGATAGTAATAAAAACCTGATATACATCGAATGTTTAACTCTTTAAGGTTATGCCATGGTGGGTTGCATTGTGGTTATGCTTTATTTTCGTGGATCTTCTCTTTGATACCATGATGCAACAGAAAAAATGTGACCGGAAGCGACTTATACTTTGCAGGACTAGACCCAGCTGAGCCAGACTTTAAGGGTCAACCTACTGACCGCCGACTTGACTCGTCTGATGCCACCTTCGTCGACATCATCCACACAGATGGGTCAGCTTTCCTTGGAGTTTCGGGTGCGTTTATAAAGCCATGTTTTAACGACGCTGTCTGTATTTCTGCAGTCGAGTGTTCAATATCCGTCATACTTGCTTTCTGGTCACTCAAATAATTTTATTTTTCCGTATCTCTTGATAAAGATTTCAGTAAATCCGGTACAAAGAAACCCGATTCAAAAACACGGATTAGGTTATATGGATGTAATGGCACCATTTTAGACACTTCTTGGTAAGTCGATAGTCAGTGATGCAGATAAAACAATACTTTAACCTTCTTTATGTCGATGATTCAGATGGTTGGTAATACATATAAAACAAATCCTGTTTTGTAACGGTGGTTTATAAAAGTGGGAAGATTTTACGAAGTTAGAAAAAAAATTGAAAAAGACCCTACTTAATTGTAGCATTATAAAATGTTGAAGCAAAGTAATTTTCACGAAAAGGACTTAGTTTTCTATTTAAAAGGGGAAGTTTATTGTAAATATGTTATCAGCACAGCAAAATGTCCCCTGTTCTATCAGTGATGTGGACGGTATGTAACACAGAATGTCCCCCTGTTGTATCAGTGTTGTGGACGGTATATAATGTAACACAGAATGTCCCCTGTTGTGTCAGTGTTGTAGAGGGTATATAATGTAACACACAATGTCCCCCTGTTGTATCAGTGTTGTGGACGGTATATAATGTTACACAGAATGTCCCCTGTTGTATCAGTGTTGTGGACGGTATATAATGTAACACAGAATGTCCCCTGTTGTATCAGTGTTGTGGACGGTATATAATGTAACACAGAATGTCTCCTGTTGTATCAGTGTTGTGGACGGTATATAATGTAATACAGAATGTCCCCTGTTGTGTCAGTGTTGTGGAGGGTATATAATGTAACACAGAATGTCTCCTGTTGTATCAGTGTTGTGGACGGTATATAATGTAACACAGAATGTCCCCTGTTGTATCAGTGTTGTGGACGGTATGTAACACAGAATGTCCCCTGTTGTATCAGTGTTGTGGACGGTATATAATGTAACACAGAATGTCCCCTGTTGTATCAGTGTTGTGGAGGGTATATAATGTAACACAGAATGTCTCCTGTTGTCAGTGTTGTGGATGGTATATAATATAACACAGAACGTCTCCTGTTGTATCAGTGTTGTGGACGGTATATAATGTAACACAGAATGTCCCCTGTTGTATCAGTGTTGTGGAGGGTATATAATGTAACACAGAATGTCTCCTGTTGTCAGTGTTGTGGATGGTATATAATGTAACACAGAACGTCTCCTGTTGTATCAGTGTTTTGGACGGTATATAATGTAACACAGAATGTCCCCCTGTTGTATCAGTGTTATGGACGGTATATAATGTAACACAGAATGTCCCCTGTTGTATCAGTGTTGTGGACGGTATATAATGTAACACAGAATGTCTCCTGTTGTATCAGTGTTGTGGACGGTATGTAACACAGAATGTCCCCTGTTGTATCAGTGTTGTGGACGGTATATAATGTAACACAGAATGTCTCCTGTTGTATCAGTGATGTGGACGGTATATAATGTAACACAGAATGTCCCCTGTTGTATCAGTGTTGTGGACGGTATATAATGTAACACAGAATGTCCCCTGTTGTATCAGTGTTGTGGACGGTATATAATGTAACACAGAATGTCCCCTGTTGTATCAGTGATGTGGACGGTATATAATGTAACACAGAATGTCCCCTGTTGTATCAGTGTTATGGACGGTATATAATGTAACACAGAATGTCCCCTGTTGTATCAGTGATGTGGACGGTATATAATGTAACACAGAATGTCCCCTGTTGTATCAGTGATGTGGACGGTATATAATGTAACACAGAATGTCTCCTGTTGTATCAGTGTTATGGACGGTATGTAACACAGAATGTCCCCTGTTGTATCAGTGTTATGGACGGTATATAATGTAACACAGAATGTCCCCTGTTGTATCAGTGATGTGGACGGTATATAATGTAACACAGAATGTCCCCTGTTGTATCAGTGTTATGGACGGTATATAATGTAACACAGAATGTCCCCTGTTGTATCAGTGATGTGGACGGTATATAATGTAACACAGAATGTCCCCTGTTGTATCAGTGATGTGGACGGTATATAATGTAACACAGAATGTCCCCCTGTTGTATCAGTGTTATGGACGGTATGTAACACAGAATGTCCCCTGTTGTATCAGTGTTATGGACGGTATATAATGTAACACAGAATGTCCTCCGTTGTTGCAGTGTTGTTAATAGTAATACCTTAATACGTTTGTATTTGTCAGAACTTTCACATGTTGTAGGTTACGGTATGATGGACGCTATCGGCCATGTTGACTTTTATCCTAATGGCGGCCAGCATCAGCCAGGATGTAACGAAAAACCCCTTACCAGCGCCATCAGTAACATTCTTCACGGGTCAGTCGGAGGTAAGAAGTAGATTTTATCATATGGTAACAAATCCCTCGATCTTATACAGAATATCCTGATTTTTAAAAAAAGATTTAAACTACATTCCATGGATTCGAAACTCAAATTAATAATTGATATAATTTAGTACAATTACAAGTACACAACATCACTGAAATTTAACAGAGCCAATCAAACAGAAGTAAAAATCTTAAACAGAATATTTTTTTATTTGTTTCTTAAAACTATCAATACAAAACAAATGTTTTGTTGACTCATGATTTGGTTGAAACATATCTGACTCTATATAAACGATAAGAATAGCTTGTACTGGTTTTAAAAAGAGTTCTTCCTGAATGTAGTTTTCTCAAACGGACATTTGAACATGTTGAAAATTGATCCCCGATCCTCCCCATAACTTCAAGGAAGTGAAGTGTTTTTAATTTTTCCAAATTTATTTTTAAGTTTCAGTTCTCTCATGAGATTAAAATTCACCAGTATCCAGAATGCAGTGTCTATACAATTTTCAAAACAGCTACCAATGTGTGTATAGTGGAACATTGTCACAAGGACGTTATTTTAAAAACCTAGCATTTTAATTGATTCGGATATACAACGTACCTATTTCGATATGAGAGTTTTAATTCAACTTTGAACTACACACCGAAGTCTTCAACAAGTTTTCAATTTTTCTCTCCATCTATTTCAATTTTTGTTTGTATCTAAGGGTTTGCCTCAGGGAAAATATACATAGCAACAGTTTTTGAAAAATCGTCTTCCTCTCACTACACATTACCCCATTCATAACCCACCACTCTGTATCTACTCACATTTCAACACATTTATTACAGCAAATAATAATGATTTTATTGTTTATGCATTACATGTATAGTTGCAAGCCATTAATGAAAAGTAGAAATAAGCAAGGGCCTGAATGTGCACCTTGTGGAACCATGAAAGCTACTGCAATCAAATCAGTTGTGCCCGTCCGTGCTGGTTTTTAACGCTGTTGATTTCGTCAAGCTTGATTTTAGTGATTTTCGAGATGACCTTAGCTCCTCGTGTACATTTTGCACGTTTCAGGCGCCGCTGATTCCCTCGCGTGCAGTCACTCTCGAGCAATAAATCTGTTCATCGAATCTATTAACTCACCGTGCAAATTCTATGGTCACGTTTGCTCGTCTGCGTCACAGTTCGACAATGGCGCGTGCCTTGGCTGTCCAACTGGTGGATGTCCAGTGATGGGATACGAGGCTGACCAGACAAGTCAGAGAGGATCTTTCTACCTTAGCACAGCCGGCTCATCGCCATACTGTGGTCAGTATTACTGGATGTGTTTGATAATGTATTTATCAAATATGAGATTTCAACCCTAGTGTAATAGTTTGATATCTAGCACCACATGGACGCAGTAATTTCATTCTATCAAATGGTCAGCGCTGATATATATATATATAAAACATTAACATTCGGGGAATAATACGTTCTGAGATGGCCCCAATTCGGTTACTCATGGGCGGAGATGATCGACTTGTTATTTGTTAAGGCGTCACTTACCCTCCACCTCTGGGTCGCGGTTCGATACCTACCGGTACCTACGGTGGTTTTGTTTTGTTTTTTTTTTTTTTTTTTTATTTTTTGTTTATTATGTTCATTAAATGACTCTGGCTGTTACTTCTGCTGCTGCTTCCTCACTGATTAAGAATAAAACTGAATTGTTAAATCATTATTTCTCTCCATGTCATAAATGAAAACACAGCTGAAGCTATTGTTCGCAGTGCTGGTTTATGTAAATCCCAGAGCGATGGATCAACCCCAGTCCAGGATTATCCCCCTTGTTTCCATATCTGTCTAGTTTGTATAGAAGAAATCTATGTTATAATTTATTAACAGTGATAAATCCACACACCCTTGTAAAATTTAAATGTTGTCCTCATTGTCAAAATATTTGGTCTAGATCTCTAGGTGTCTATTAAAGTTGTGTGGTGCAAGATTTTTCCGGGCGAAGTTGTTGATTTGAGAAATGTTTTATTTCATGTGGTCATGATGTCATATCTTGTATTTTTGTAGAATTTCTTCAGACATTGATGGTATCGCTTTTAGTAGATATTTGCTATTGAGTCTGTTAGTTGTCGTCTCTCATATTTAATATTGAAGTATCAGCTGGAGTGGTTAACATGAAACTGTAATTCTATAGAATACTAATTTCTAGCTCTACTAAGGACTACTGATCGTTATTTTTCTACTGTAAAGATAAAATGTCGTATTTGAGTTAGTTCGAATAGTGACACGGTTCAGAATATACGCTTGATCTTGACGTTTCGAAATTGTAAAAAAAATGGAATTTTCGGGATTAGTACTAGCAGTGTCAGCAGATTATTCACTGCCATTTCTAGAAATAAAAAGAGTACGCTTTGTGTGACTTCTTAACTGAAACACATTTTGCAGCTCACGAATATTCTGTTGAAATCCACGTGTCGTATTTCTCGGGAACAACATACGGGGAACTGCTCGTCACTTTGGTGGGAGACAATGGTAGATCAGAAGAAATCAAGTTTTCTCCGTAAGTAAATATTGATATCAGTTATGCTGCTATCGTATTTGTATTCCTTTTTAATTAATGGTAATGTAACTGTATATTAATGTGTGTTTCTCGCGAAGCTGATAAATGTCTCAGTATTACTACTGACATCTGGAAGAACAGTCTCATTACCTACCGATGGACCAATATGATTTTCATGACTCCTTTTCTCTCTCCTTTGACATGGAATATCGTATGAATACTATCTACAATAAAATAATTAGACAATAAGTGTGGCGAGGGCTTCATTGAGTTTGTATGGGTTGTGCAGACAATTTCTAGAAACATTCTGGCAGTGATTAGACAAAAAGTTGCAGTCTTTCTACGCCTAGAAATAACCGGACACTACTTAAACACTGTTAACTCGGTGTCTGTAATAATATCTTTACTACAACCAATCAGAGCTTGGCTGAAACAGCTAAAAACGGGATCAGTGCTTTTTCTGTTAACACACGATTTGGTGCCGCTTACGTTTTTGCCGTGAATGCTCTGCAACACAACGTTTTTGCAAGTTGTGTGAGTGATGGTGTGTATGTGTGTGTGTGCGTGAGAGTATCTAGCCACGCTGAACGCTGTGTCTGGGTTTTTCAATAACCTTTCTAACAACTGCGATATTAAATGATCGCGGAAATGAATAATGCGCAATGTTAACCAGATTATAGACCGACAATACATTGTATTTTCAATATATATATTTAGACGTAATGAGTACTTCCGTGCTGGTCAGGTGGAGAAGCACGTCATCGCCACAAACATGGATATCGGTCAAGTGACGTCACTGCGCGTGAAGTATGACGAACCTAACCGAGATTCTCACACACACCATACTGCACATACAATCAAACTACACAGCATCCTCGTCCAGTCTACAGAGAACACTAATCAGTAAGTAAACAACAGTATATATATATCTAATGAAGTCGAATGGAAAGCTAACACGTGAACACTAAGGTGGTGTGCTTAGTTTGAAGGTCAAGGTAGTAATGTAAGTTCAAAAATCTTTTTTTTTTATTAAGAAACATGTACTAAGAACGGTATAGAATGTGCATACATCAATATTCAGTACACACGGATGTTTATATTGTTTAATGATGTACATTGCATTCAATTTTTTGTTATGAAGAGTAGCAAGACTCACACGTGTTGTCTCCTATCAGTATTGTAGTTTATTAATTTCCATTGCAAAGATTTATGTTTGTGAACAAGGCATTTGGACACGGTCAATGAACAAGATATTTTTACATGGTGTTGTGTGTTTTGTTAAACACATGAAACACACATTTGTTCAAAATTGTTTTTTTCATGTAGGGTGAAGTTTTGTGGACACGAGAACGGGATACACGCAGACCGAACAATGACTTTGTCATCTCACTGGGGCTGCTAGAGAGCGGAACTCCTTTGTGACGTCACTGTGATTTCTCCAACACTGACGTTATGCCAGGCTGTATACAGAGTCTCCGATCACGTCTGCAATTTTAATTATTCTTAAATGATAATTTCTGCTATTTTGGTTTGGTTATGAATCATGAATAAACTTTTTTTGTTTAAAAACTCCAACATCAGTCTCCTTATAACATTACCTAGATATAATAGGACAGTCGGTCTTTTCTTCTTTGGAAGATTTCCGTTATATATCTATACGTTAGCAACTTCATCTGTCGGAAACACGTAGGACGTGCATGTATTCAAGTACACGACAGTTCGGCTATACAATACTAATGTTACCACGTCGGTGATTGTTCACAAACCAACACTCAGCGATCGCTTTGTTGTCATGCCTTAGTCAAGTGTTCACCTCGCTTATCAATAATCTTTTAATTAAAAATTTCTGATAAATTTGACCTTATAAGTCATTCTACAACAGACAATATTTTTGTCCTGTATTCCCTTATCTCAATATAGTTTTCACTGGGAAAAAAAACTATTGTACGTTCAGTGATTTTACTAAAGCATTAGATTCTGTAAGGAGAGTCGGTCTGCGGCAAAAGCCTCAAATATGCAAAATTACTGGAAGTTATTTACAAGTTATACGATAATACCAAACCAGAAATGGACGTGAACAGTCGGGTTTGTTCGATTGTGAGATCGGGGTAAAACAGGTTGGAAATTTATCGCCATTTTTGTTTCTAATTTATCGAAATGATTTAGAAACGTATCTTGATGAGAAAAATGTAAATTTTATTGAAAAAATAAATAAACTTTGTATTGACGAGATTGGAATGTACCTCGAACTGTTCGTTATCTTACATGCTGATGACACCGTTCTGGTATCAGAAACACCAGATGGTTTACAATTAGCATTAGACGAATTTTAACAATACTGTAATACTTGAAAGTTAATGATTAATTCAAGAAAAACTAAAGTGTTCATTTGCTCGAAAGGGAAATATACAAGAACTCCCCATTTCACATTATGTAACATGGAATTAGATATATTTGAAGAGTACACATATCTAGGTGTTTTATTTAACTTCAACTGTAGCTTTTTAAAGCAAGGAAAACAGTTATTGAACAAGCACAGAAATTAGTTTTTGCAGTCTACAAGAAATTAAGAAACATATCACTACCAATTGATTTACAATTGAAAATATTTTATTCAGTAAGCATGCCATTTTTCCTGTATTCATCAGAAATATGGGGGTTTGAAAATATGATTATTATAGGAAAAATCCATGCGCCATTTTGTAAAAATATACTTAACGTAAGAAAAACCACAGCTAATTTCTTTGTTTATAGGGAACTGGGAAGATATCCACTAGACATTGAAATACGATGTAGCATAAAAGTATTCTGGTATAAGCTGATTACCACTAAGAAGTTATCAAGTATTATCTATAAGTTAATGTATACGTTACAAGAAAATGGAACCATGTCAGTTAAATGACTCACAAATGTTAAAGATATATTCCAAACTGACCTGAATTATGTCTGATAACAAAATTGTGAAATGGTTTAATGGTCGATCTTCTTAACTCCTCTAGACGGCAGACATATTCCATTTTTAAGACAAAATTTGAACAAGAAAAATATTTCATTAAGAGTAATACTTAAGATAAGAACATAATTGTGAAAGTTTCGTTCTTCAAATATGCATTTACCTTCAGAAACAGGAATATGGTTAGGTACTCCTCGTCAAGAGAGAGCCTGTACTTTAGTTAATTCCGACATTGGAGATGAATTTCACTATTTATTTAATTGCCAAAATGAATCAGTAAAACGTATAAGGGAGAAATATAAACAAAATTTTATTTCACTTATCCAAGTCAAATTAAAATGCAATGCTTGTTTGATATATTTATTGTAAAAATCTTCACAAAAAATTGTAGATTTATAAAAAAAAAAAGATAAATTATTGATTTAATTGCTGTACCCTGTTGTGCTCTTTCTCTTTGCAATTATGCAAAAATGAATTATCATTATTTATAGAAGTTGTTGTAATTTTTGTACTTATTATCACACACCATGTATCATGATAATTATATGTGTGTGATCTCTTATTAAACACGTTAATGTGTCAGAATGATTAGATAAAACCTTGAACCCTTACAACCTGATCACACTATTTCCGTCGTGCTGGGCGTTGGTACTATTGTGTGCTATTGGTGCTATCTCTTTATGTTTGTCGAAACAAGATTCTTTTATTCACCCATTAAGATACAAGGCAAATAAAAAATGGCGAGCAATTTTCTCCTGCTTTCAATCGGATATTTAATGTGAACATTTGAGATATTTCATTTCCATTTTTACACATGATTTGATATCAGTTTACATACCATATAACACCTTGAATATTTTACCTGTTGTATTGCTATTAAGGATATTTTCTTAAGTGTTTTACGGTTCACATTACTTTTGAAAACAGTGTACCTTTTCTTAGCGTCGTAAAATTCTTTTCGTTTCATGTGAAATTCACGTGTGATCCAGGGCTGATCGTCCCCTGACTTATGAATGTTTTACTTGCATAAGCCTTTTTTTTTATCACAAGACCTTTTTCGTCGTTCCTCTTAAACATATCACTTATATTAGTAATTAACTCATTTACAGTGGACTTTGCTATTTCTTGGGGGATTACTTCATGCTCTCAATTTCCGTATCTAATTTTATTTGCCCACTTGCAATTATTTTCAGTAAAAGAAATTTCTTCTTTATTTACAAACAGCCAATTATGACATTCAATATAAAACTCGCAGAGTGTGACCACTATAACAAATCGATTCCTGTAGTTGTAGAGTGTGACCACTATAACAAATCGATTCCTGTAGTTGTAGAGTGTGGCCACTATAACAAATCGATTCCTGTAGTTGTAGAGTGTGGCCACTATAACAAATCGATTCCTGTAGTTGTAGAGAGTGGCCACTATAACAAATCGATTCCTGTAGTTGTAGAGTGTGGCCACTATAACAAATCGATTCCTGTAGTTGTAGAGTGTGGCCACTATAACATATCGATTCCTGTAGTTGTAGAGTGTGGCCACTATAACAAATCGATTCCTGTAGTTGTAGAGTGTGGCCACTATAACAAATCGATTCCTGTAGTTGTAGAGTGTGGCCACTATAACAAATCGATTCCTGTAGTTGTAGAGTGTGGCCACTATAACAAATCGATTCCTGTAGTTGTAGAGTGTGGCCACTATAACAAATCGATTCCTGTAGTTGTAGTGTGTGGCCACTATAACAAATCGATTCCTGTAGTTGTAGAGTGTGGCCACTATAACAAATCGATTCCTGTAGTTGTAGAGTGTGGCCACTATAACAAATCGATTCCTGTAGTTGTAGAGTATGACCACTATAACAAATCGATTCCTTTAGTTGTAGAATGAGACTTCTATCACAAATTGATACCTCCGGTTGTAGAGTGTGACCTCTATGACAAATTGATACCTCCCGTTGTAGAGTGTGACCTCTATAACAAACAGGTTCTTCCAGTTGTATATGGTGACCTCTATAACAAACAGGTTCTTCCAGTTGTAGAGTGTGACCTCTATAACATACAGGTTCTCCGGTTGTAGAGTGTGACCTCTATAACAAATTGACACCCCCGGTTGTAGAGTGTGACCTCTATAACAAATTGATACATCCCGTTGTAGAGTGTAACCCCTATAACAAATACATCCCTCCCGTTGTAGAGTGTGACTTCTATAAGAAATACATCCCCCCGTTGTAGAGTGTGACTTCTATAACAAATATATCCTTCTCGTTGTATATAGTGACCTCTATAACAAACACGTTCTTCCAGTTGTAGAGTGTGACCTCTATAACAAACACGTTCTTCCAGTTGTAGAGTGTGACCTCTATAACAAACACGTTCTTCCAGTTGTAGAGTGTGACTTCTATAACAAACACGTTCTTCCAGTTGTAGAGTGTGACCTCTATAACAAATATATCCCTCCCGTTGTAGAGTGTGACTTCTATAACAAATATATCCTTCTCGTTGTATATAGTGACCTCTATAACAAACACGTTCTTCCAGTTGTAGAGTGTGACCTCTATAACAAACACGTTCTTCCAGTTGTAGAGTGTGACCTCTATAACAAACAGGTTCTTCCAGTTGTAGAGTGTGACCTCTATAACAAACACGTTCTTCCAGTTGTCCAGTTGTAGAGTGTGACCTCTATAACAAACACGTTCTTCCAGTTGTAGAGTGTGACTTCTATAACAAATATATCCTTCTCGTTGTATATAGTGACCTCTATAACAAACACGTTCTTCCGGTTGTAGAGTGTGACCTCTATAACAAACAGGTTCTTCCAGTTGTAGAGTGTGACCTCTATAACAAACACGTTCTTCCAGTTGTAGAGTGTGACTTCTATAACAAATATATCCTTCTCGTTGTATATAGTGACCTCTATAACAAACACGTTCTTCCGGTTGTAGAGTGTGACTTCTATAACAAACACGTTCTTCCAGTTGTAGAGTGTGACTTCTATAACAAATATATCCCTCCCGTTATAGAGTGTGATTTCTATAACAAATATATCCTTCTCGTTGTATATAGTGACCTCTATAACAAACTCGTTCTTCCAGTTGTAGAGTGTGACTTCTATAACAAACACGTTCTTCCAGTTGTAGAGTGTGACCTCTATAACAAACACGTTCTTCCAGTTGTAGAGTGTGACTTCTATAACAAACACGTTCTTCCAGTTGTAGAGTGTGACCTCTATAACAAACACGTTCTTCCAGTTGTAGAGTGTGACCTCTATAACAAACACGTTCTTCCAGTTGTAGAGTGTGACCTCTATAACATACAGGTTCCTCCGGTTGTAGAGTGTGACCTCTATAACAAACACGTTCTTCCAGTTGTAGAGTGTGACCTCTATAACAAACACGTTCTTCCAGTTGTAGAGTGTGACCTCTATAACAAACACGTTCTTCCAGTTGTAGAGTGTGACCTCTATAACAAACACGTTCTTCCAGTTGTAGAGTGTGACCTCTATAACAAACACGTTCTTCCAGTTGT